TCAATTGCGTGTGGACGCCGCCTTTCCTCCAGGGGGCTCGAGGCGGCGCACATAGTTCTTCTGCTCCCCATTTTACCCGCACAACCACCCCGTGAAATAAGTTAGGCTGAGAGTTGAGTGGCCGCCCCCAAAGTCGCCCAGGGAGCTTCATTGGCTGAGTGGGGATTTGAACCCAGGTCTCACAGGTGGAGTAACGGGGGAGGGGGCGGAGCTCACACAAATTCGAAGCAAATTACCATTTCAGCATTTATTGGTTGTCTCCAATGGTTTAAACACGTTTTTTAAATGAAATTCATATTGGCATGATGGTTTATAATTTAAAAAAAAACCAACAACAACAACAATATATTTGTACCCTGCCCATCTGACTGGGTCGTCCTAGCCATCTGGGCAGCTTCCAGCATATATAAAAACAGAATTAAACATTAAAAGCTTCCCTAAACAGGGCTGCCTTCAGGTGTCTTCTAAAGGTTGTATAGTTACTTATCTCTTTGACATCTGATGGGAGGGCACTCTATAGGGTGGGCGCCACCACCGAGAGGGCCCTCTGCCTGGGTTCCTGTAGTAGTAGTAATAGTAGTAATAGTAATAATAAATTTAATTTAGCACTGTTAGTGGAAAGCTATTGCAAATGGGGCCCTGCCCCACCATTATAGTCCAATATGGCAAATGGGGCCCTGCTCTACCCGCCTCAGCCAGCCTTCACCTGCCTGCCTTCTGATTTTCAGGGGTTGGTTCTGCCTGCCAGCTTCCTCCCAGTTTTGCTCTCGTAAAACTCAGCAGGGAGGAGAATGGAGGCAGAATAATACTTAGTGGGCTCCCCTTAGCTCTGGCTCCATGCCCCTGGCCCTACAAGTCCCAATGGGTGCCAGCCCTCCACTGCCAGATACCCATTTAAAACATATGGATTAGTCAATGTGAGATTTCTTTAACCAAAATTTGATAAATTTGCATACAAGAACAGCAGTTTTGAAAAAAACGCACACTGTCTTCGCCCTGATGTGCACGCAGGAGTCACTGGGGCCATCATCTTAAGCCATGTACACACTTGTATCTCCAAAGCACATTCTCCTCCTCAGAAGAATCCGGGGCACTGTCGTTTGTTAGGGGTTGCTGGGATTTCTAATTGGCCCTGTCTGCACAGCGGCATTGTACCACCTGAAGCAGTCGTGACTTTCCCCCCAGGTGCTGAGATTTGTTCGGAGACTCCTTGTCACAGGAGCATCAATAATCACACAGTTCAAAGGAGGAGTTTACTCTTTTATTAGGGGGGGAAAACTCACTCTCTGGAAGGTTGGTTGAGTGTCAGGCCTAATAAGCAGAGAAGCTCATTCCTAGTGGTCTTCCTCCATAAAAATCACTTGCCGAACCTGCCAGTCCCCACCTCCTCACCAGGGCTTTCCCCAAGCAATTGGAGAATGGACCTGGGTGCAGCCAACCTCTCCTTCAACCTCTTCTGGTTCTGGGAGACAAGGGTCAAGGGCAGCAGGAGAGAGACACCCATGATTTTTCACCAGCCTGACTCTTGGTCTCCCTCACCCCACTCTTCTGCCACAAACTCTCCCCTCTCACTAAGCCCTGTCACCTCCTCAGCTTCCGACACTTCCTCCTCTTCTCCCTGTGACCCCTCATCATTGTCCCACCACAGCTCCCTGGACTCTGAGCCTTCTTCCCTTGGTGGTTCCCCAACTGGTTCCTCCCACCATTCCTCTGTGTCCAGGCAGCCCATGACACAAACCTACAGTTCCCAGAATTCCCTGGGAAGAGGTAAAGGTAAAGGTAAAGGGACCCCTGACCATTAGGTCCAATCGTGGCCGACTCTGGGGTTGCGGCGCTCATCTCGCTTTATTGGCCGAGGGAACCGGTGTACAGCTTCTGGGTCATGTGGCCAGCATGACTAAGCCGCTTTTGGGGAACCAGAGCAGCGCACAGAAATGCTGTTTACCTTCCCGCTAGAGTGGTACCTATTTATCTACTTGCACCTTGACGTGCTTTCAAACTGCTAGGTTGGCAGGAGCAGGGACCGAACAACGGGAGCTCACCCCGTCGCGGGGATTCGAACCGCTGACCTTCTGATGGTGTTTCCTGCTTGGCAGGGGGTTGGACTCGATGGCCCTTGTGGTCTCTTCCAACTCTATGATTCTATGATTCTATTCTATGATTCTATGATCGGCAAGTCCTAGGCTCTGTGGTTTAACCCACAGGGCCACCTGCGTCCCCTGGGAAGAGGTACTGAGTGTTAATCGCCACAACATCTATAAACATTATTTGGGAACGCTGAAATCAAGAGCAGAAGCAGTTAAGTGCAGTGGTGCCCGGTGCCCATTGGGACTGGAAGACGGGTAGCTTGGGCAATAATAATAATAATAATAATAATAATTATAATTATAATTATAATTTTTATTTATATCCCGCCCTCCCCAGCCAAGGCCGGGCTCAGAGCGGCTTACAAGCAATAATAAAAACAAGTTGAATTATTACAACTTAAAAACAAAATTAAAATACAGTATTAAAATATTGAAACATTAAAATATTAAAATGTAGCCTCATCACAGGAGGAGAAGGAAAAGAAAAAAGAAAGAGAGGGAGGGAATCAAATTGGCTCCAAGCCAAAGGCCAGGCGGAACAACTCTGTCTTACAGGCCCTGCGGAAAGAAATCAGATCCTGCAGGGCCCTGGTCTCATGAGGCAGAGTGTTCCACCAGACCGGAGCCAGAGTTGAAAAGGCCCTGGCTCTGGTTGAAGCCAATCTAACTTCCTTAGGGCCCGGGACCACTAGAGTGTTGCTATTTACAGACCTTGAGGCTCTCCGTGGGGCATACCGGGAGAGGCGGTCCCGTAGGTACGAGGGTCCTAGGCTGTGAAGGGCTTTAAAGGTCAAAAGCAGCACCTTAAATCTGACCCTGTACTCCACCGGGAGCCAGTGCAGCTTGAAAAGCACTGGGTAAATATACTCCCATGGCAATAGGTGGAGCCCAAGCTAACGGCAGGCAGAGCAAACTCATTCTAGTTTCGCCCCTGCTGAATTCTACACTGAAACAGAGGAGGAGGAAGCCGACAGTTAGGATCACCCCCTTGGACTGGTCTTAATTAAGAATCCTGTCCCACCTTGTGTTGCCTGGGGGGGTAGTTTGTCCCCTTTTCTAGCACCCCTGTTCACCGATGGTGGGAAAATTGGGAGGCCACGTTGAAGGAGAACCACAATTCAGCTTTTTCAAAGCAAGCGGGAAGGGCTGTGTTGGAGAACACCTGCTTTGCATGCAGAAGGGCTCAGGTTCAATCTCCAGGTATGGCGGGAATGTCCCTTGCCTGAAACCCCAGCCTTCTGCTGCCTGTTTGTGTAGGTAATATTAAGCTAGCTGGACCAAAGGTCTGACACAGTATAAGGCAACTTCCTACATTTTTAAGTTCAAATTAGAAAGCAATTGTTTTAAGTGCTTCTTTACCAGAGTTCACTGCAGCCCTATTAACTTTGTATTTCGCGAGCTGGTAGCTTGAGCTACGGGCGGCTGGTTCTGCACACTTCTGTATTTTAACTTAGCACATAACTTAGAACTGGTTCACACATGCATGTATATCATTCAGTTACAGTTAACAATATACTGAGGTTTACACAGGTCCGTGTCCAATTTGTCTTTTCGTAATATACTCTTTTTTAAAAACCCTGCAATATTGGTCAGCTTTACCGTCCTATTTCACATGGAGTCGGGGCCTAAGAAAGAGCACAAGTTGCCTAAGGCAAACTGGTGTTTTATGCTGTTGTCAGTTTTATTGCATTTTAAAGTAGCTTTTGTTCTACTTTTTTCTGTGTTTACATGAGACAATTGGGAGGGGCGTGTGACGGTTTTTAGGGCTGCAAAGCAGCAGAGAAATAATGTTACAAACAAAAGGAGTTTATGACAGAGATATTTAAGTAAGGGGGGGCTGTATGGGAAAAAAACTCCTCTTGGTTGCTTAGTCACTACACAAAATCCCAACAACTTGGACTACTTGCCCCTTAATTAATTAATTAATACCGGCCTCGGCCCAGTATACCTGAAGGAGCATCTCCACCCCCATTGTTCAACCCCAAGGGCCTTCTGGTGGTTCCTTCACTGCAAGAAGCGAGGCTACAGGGAACCAGGCAGAGAGCCTTCTCAGTAGTGGAACGCCCTCCCATCATATGTCAAAGAAATAAACAACTATCTGACATTTGGAAGACATCTGAAGGCAGCCCTCTTTAGGTAAGTTTTTAATGACTGATGTTTTAATGTATTTTTAATCTTTTGTTGGAAGCTGCCCAGAGTGGCTGGGGAAACCCAGCCAGATGGGCAGGGTATAAATAAATTATTATTATGACTATTATTATTATTATTATTGTTATTAACAACACCACCCTTTGGGTGAGAAATGCTGCATTCACTGCAATATGGAAGTTCCCTCTTGGACGGCTCCTTTCGCCCATGCGGTTCCCCACTTGCTGCAGACGTCAAGCAACAAAGGTGCACATGGGGAAATACTCTTTTGTCTACCCTGTTCTGTGAAACGGATGAAGCGTGAGATGATGGTTGTCTATTAAAGCTGCAGCTGTAGAACTTTCTGCATTTTGCGCCTTGTCTTTTCTGGCTCCGGCATCTTCAATGCATCATCTTTCCATTGTATCTTGTTCTATGCACAGCTCCACCTATTTTATTAGATTAGCCCTCTAGGACTGTTGCAAATACCAGAGTTGCGCAGCGCATTCTTCATCGGGCAAAACAGGGGCTTAATTATGAATCACTTTATGCAGGGCTTTCCCTCCCAAGTTTCATTCTACATATGATCTCACAGCAGTGGCTTTCCTACTGTATTTCGGTGAAACCTGAGAGTTCCTCTGAAACTCAACGAGAAAAATCAGTTGCTTTAGGAACATAGGAATCTCTCTTGTTCTAAGTCAGTCCATTCAGCAACACAAACTGGTAGCAAGTCTCCAGGGTCTTTTGCTGTTGTTGTTTCAGTCAGGAGACCCTCGTAGCCCTACCTGGAGATACCAGGGATCAAACCTGGGACTCTGTGCATGCAAAGTTGATGCTCTACAGCTGAGCTACAACCCTTCCCCAACTCATCTCTGGCTCCAGTTCACAGTCATAGAAGTGGGGCTTGCTCTAGAGGCAGTTGCTTGCTTCACGTGAGACAATGAGGAGACCAAACGAGCCTGGCCTATGCGAGTTGATGCTGTGTCTGTCCTCTGCATGCATCCAGAATCTTTGCAATATGCAGATTCCTCCGCAGCAGGTGCAGGAAGCTTGAAGCTAGATCCATGCAAACCTTGTTTTTCCCCCTCTGGATAGATTCCCCCAGGGAATAGCTGGTGCAGCTTATGGCGAACCAACCCAGGATATATTCTCATGAAGGACAATGCAACAATTCTCCAAATTTTTGTTAAAGGGGCGGTTGAAATTATTAGGAAGGCTGGGCACTTTCCCGATTAAGATCTAGGATTCAGAGAAATATTACAGGGTGAGAAAGGAAGGCAGAGGTTTACATCAGTGAAATGATGCAAAGAGGATAATATTGGTGCAGTGGTTGGAGCGCAGGACTAGGACCTGGGTAACCAGAGCTCAAATCAGCACTCACAGGGCGAGCTTGGGACCAGTCACCATCTCTCAGCCTAACCTACCTCACAGGGTTGTTGTAAGGATAAAATGGGGGGGGGGGGAGACCATGATTGCCACCTTGAGTTCTGGAGGAAAGGAAGGCTATTTGTGTAGAAATAAATGAATAATGGAAGTGGGTGGGTGGGGGACTATCTCCCACTACCAAAACGCATGTGACAATTTACTGAAATGTATTGGTAGCAAGTTCAGGAATTAACTTTTGGAATTTACTGCCACAGGATATAATTCTATGTCTATGTATATACAGTGGTACCTCAGGTTACATACGCTTCAGGTTACATACACTTCAGGTTACAGACTCCACTAACCCAGAAATAGTGCTTCAGGATAAGAACAGAAATTGTGCTCCGGCGGCGCGGCGGCAGCAGGAGGCCCCATTAGCTAAAGTGGTGCTTTAGGTTAAGAACAGTTTCAGGTTAAGAACGGACCTCCAGAACTAATTAAGTACTTAACCCAAGGTACCACTGTACACAGGGAATATCCCTTCAACTAGTTTGGTACAGTGGGTTGATATGAAAATATTCCAGTTGTGGAAGAGTCCTCTCTATCCGTTTTCTCTTCCTTTCCTCCATTCTTTCTTCTTCCTTTCATCTCTCTTCCAGCCCAAATTGGGAGTGCAAGCTCCATGAAGCGGGACCGTTTCCATTTCCCCCTTTCGTTTATTGTGCAAAGCACCGCATGCAACCATGTTGGCAGCGTTATAGAAAAGAATACCAAGATGAGAAAAGTTCCTTCAGGGTCAGAACTTCCCATCAACGTACCTCTGGTCAAGCCGTCGGGGGGCCTCATGTATCACGCTCCGATCTCCGCATGATTGCGCTGAAGGTCCAGTGTGGATCCAGTTCAGGGACTGAAGGTCTTGCAGCAATTGGACACAGATGCAAGAAAAACAACCACCAAGAGCCCCGTGCAACCACACCCTCGGCACTTCTTGTTAAAGGAAGGATTCAGCCCGTTCTCCCCCTCTGGGCTTTTAGTAATCAGATTCAGCTCCTTTCTTTTTTTAATGTCTGGCAGATGGAAAGATTATTTTTTCTAAAAAAGGTTGTTGTTTTTTTCGCGTTTGAACTCTGACTTGAAATGAGGTGAGAGAGTTTAAGTTTGGTATCTCTGGGGGGGAAAGATCACATTGCTCCTCTCCCTTAACGCACCCCCCCCCCCCGAGGTATTCCCTTACGTTGGCTCAGAATTAACTTCTGGGATGAAATTCAACATGCGGGCTTTCAGCTGGCAAGTTTTAATTAGCAGCAACAACAATAATAATAATAAAGGAGAGAGTGGTGGGCCCCCAATTTGTGCAGAAGCTACCTTCTGAATCCCAGGTGTGTGAGGAGAGCTCTGGGCACCGCAGTGAGAGAAAGGCTAGGTGACAGAGCAACCTGGACCTTGGCAGGAGGCGGAAGGATGGGTGAAGCTGACATCATCCCATCCAGTTTCTACCGCTTTTCTTTGCCTGCCCACCTTAGCTCTTCTCCTGCCTGTAACAGCTGGAATTAAGGCTTCCCTAAATCCTCTGCCCTCTCCCACCAGGGCACAAAGTGATAAAAGAAAAAGAGACAGCAGTCAAGGGACGTTCTGTGTCAGACTAGGAGTGCAATACAGTGGTACCTCAGGTTACATACGCTTCAGGTTACAGACTCCGCTAACCCAGAAATAGTGCTTCAGGTTAAGAACTTTGCTTCAGGATGAGAACAGAAATCGTGCTGCGGTGACACGGCAGCAGCAGGAGGCCCCATTAGCTAAAGTGGTGCTTCAGTTTAAGAACAGTTTCAGGTTAAGTACGGACCTCCGGAACGAATTAAGTACTTAACCTGAGGTACTACTGTAATCTGGAGACAAATAAAATGCATAGGACCAGCAGCTCTTAAAAGAGGCACACATTACTCCGCAACTACCTCATGAGAAGAGAAGACTCCCTGGAAAAGACGCTGATGTTGGGAAAGATTGAGGGCACAAGAAAAAGGGGACGACAGAGGAAGAGATGGTTGGACTGTGTTCTCGAAGCTACGAACATGAGTCTGACCAAACTGCGGGAGGCAGTGGAAGACAGGAGTGCCTGGCGTGCTCTGGTCCATGGGGTCACGAAGAGTCGGACACAACTAAATAACAACTCTGCAACCCCTGCTCCCATCAGGCACAGTGACCAATACGCCATACTCACTTGCCCAAACTCTCATCCCAGGTTGCCTCAAATGATACCTCCGGTGCCACACCCAGGGGAGAAACGAGGCTGATCAGTCTCTCACCCTATAATAATAATTTATTATTTGTACCCCGCCCACCTGGCTGGGTTTCCCCAGCCACTCTGGGCGGCTTCCAACAAAGATAAAAAATACCCTAGATTCCCTTTCCTGCTCCAGTCTCTTACCCTGGAGCCATTTCTCTCACCCTCTTATAAACAGGTGGCTTACAAATCCCAGAATAAAAACAGCTCACACCTTTTGCCAGCAGCAGAGTGTAAGACTCTATAGTGCAGGGGTAACCAATATGCTGCCCTCCAGATGTTCCTGAACTCCAATTCCCATCAGCCCCTGACCAACATGGGAGTTGCAGTCCCAACTACAACAGGAAGGCACCAAGTTGGCCATCAGAGATACACAGATGATATAAAGCAAGCTTTAAGATACAGAACAACCCCCCCCAAAAAAATCAGTGGATTCAAAATTACAGGCAACCCCCTCCATTTATGTGATTGCACACACATGCATCACGCCAAACACAGAAGTGACCCGAAAACATCATGGAACAGGGCGGAACCAGGTGTTTGCAGGCTTTTCCAATGGTGTTTCGAATATACACAATTTTACTGACGTGCATGGTACCTCGGAATGTAATTCTCACTTAAGTGGGAAAGTTGCCTGTACAAAATTTGTAAGTGTGGGCAGCTCGAGGAAGGGGGAAAGGTATTCACTAGGTGCTAAAAAGACCACAAATGTAATGCCTAGCACGCCTCTCTTTGGGGAGTGTGCACCAGACTTGTCAAACCTTGGCTCCACCAGCTGTTTTGACCTACAACTCCCATCAGTCTAGCTAGTCTAGCCAATGGCCTGGGCTGAAGGGAGTTGCAGTGCAATATTGGGAAGGCACCAGGTTGGGGAAGGCTGTCTGACCATAACGAGGGTGCCACCACTGAGGAGGACCTTTCCTCGGGAGACCTCACATGGTGGAGATGGAAGGGCCACTGATTTCAGGGTCTGAGTATATACAAGAGGGAAGTGATTCTTCAGGTAACCTGTTTTCAAGCTCTTTAGTACACTGGAGACCGAGACCAACACTTTGAATCAGGAGTGGAAGCCAACGCAGATGCTAATGGCCTAATATGATCAAATCACCCAGAGCCCATTAAACAGTATTGCTATTCTGGACAAACAGCAGCTTTCAAAGGCAGCCTGACAAGTAACACATTGCAGTCAAGTGACCACAGTATGGATCACCCAAGCAGGGCTGTATCCAGCAGGTACAATTCATCAGCGACTCCAATATATCCCGTAATGGTGAACACCTAAAGCACTGATTAGCTGCCCTTTAACCTCCTTATCCTACTCACAGGAAGGGTAATAAATGATAAGGCAGCATCTCTCCCTTCTTCCAAATCTCCACGCATGCGTTTTGAGTAGGCTGAAGAATCTCATGTAAATTATTGAGTTGGGAGCAAATAATTGGGCGATGGGCATTTATTCTGGATGAAGGCAGAGCAGGAGGGCTTGACCTCGCATGAACGACGCAGCGCACACCAGCAGCAGCTGTAAACCAAGGTAGGAGGAATTCAGAGCAACCTCATTTCTGTCCGCTACCTTCCGACAAGGGGGACATGGAGTCGCTCCAAACTTTACACTTGGATTGCCGAGGCTACGGCCAGAGGCATGTCTGAGCCCAGGATTTCTTTTTCGCTGCTTCATTACCGGGGAAGACGGGCCTGAGAAGAGCAACGGCCCGCTCATTAGAAACTGCTGATGAGGCTGTTCTTGAGGCTGTGTGGGAACCGGCTGAGAGATCAAAGCAAGCTGATGTGATTCAGAACCCAATTAAGGGCTTTGGATGCGGGGAGTGGGTGGGGGGAGAGAGAAGAGAGAGAGAGAGGGAGAAAGAGAGAGATGAAGATCCCACTTGCTACCTTGTTCCCAGAAAACAAGCAGAAAGTGGACAGAAGCAAAACCCCCTGCTTGGCAGGGGGTTGGACTCGATGGCCCTTGTGGTCTCTTCCAACTCTATGATTCTAAAACCACCCCGTCCAGGGTTTGTGGGGAAGACCTGCTTAGGTTTCCACTGCAATTAATTTTCCAGGGAGATTTCTGTCTCTTGATGTGGACAGACACGCTGCAACAGAGTTGGGAGTTTCAATGTTTTCCATGAAAGCTTAATCATGCAAATGCCTTGAGAGTAAAGAGCCAAACACAAAATAGTTCAGATTCTTCTCTAAGTGACATTTTCCTTTCCCCATATTTATTTGCCCAGTTAATTGATATAGCTGCTCCATAGCAGAAGTACTTAGGAAGCCAGTGCAGTATAGTGGTGAGTGTCAGACTAGGACCTGGGAGATCAGGGTTCAAATCCCCACTCAAGTCATGAAGCTCACTGGGTGAGCTTGGGCCAGTCACTGCCTCTTAGCTTAACCTACCTCACAGGGTCATTGTAGGGATTAACTGAGGAGGGTATGTCTGTGTGAACCATGCACTCTTTGGAGAAAAAGGTGGGATATAAATGCAGGGAATAAGCTCCCCTGCTTACCTGCTTAAAAATGCTTAAGAGGCTAGCCAGATGGAGATGTCAGTCGCCAACCTGGCAACCAGAGGCGGTCACAGTTGGACCTGCACCAGTTGCAAAATGAGCCTGGCTAATTTCAAACACTGGCCATGTGTTAAAGTATCTTGCAGAAAAAACACTCCCCCCTGCCCCATAGCAAAAACATTTGAACATGTCCTGAGAAGTCACTAGAAAATTAAGTCTCTCCCAGAAAGTGGGCCTTCACTGTACCTATGTGCTCCTCTCTCCTAGCTAACACTCCCTGCTAACATTTATTCAAGTCTGTGGGGGCGCTTTTCATATATCTTTTTCCTATCCACTCCCAACCCCATAGACTGAAAACATGAATTCCAGATGGAGAAAACATCACGTTGTTTATCTGTCGACTCTCCCCACCCCGCTTTCTTTTCACTCAAAATACATACAGCCCTGGGGTGGAGAATAGATGCCCATGCTGTACGAAGCGCTGTCTCGCTTTCAAGGTCCTGGTAGCTAGCAAAATATGATTTAAAATGCAGCTGCCCATCTGCTCTCAATCCTTCCCAAAGCCTGCTTTCTATTAGCCGTGAATGCTCTAGGCCTTTAACTCTTTGAAAACTGGCTTGCCGTGGTGCACGGTCTTGCTTTACTAACAATGTTAGGAGCCCAAAGTCTCGGTGTGGTTCTCTAGGCCCTATGGAGGACAGCACAGCTATTAAAACTGGAGGGGGAAGAAAATTGGGGATCTCGCAGGTTAGCAATACTGAACTTTTGTGGTGATGGGCCTGAGCAGTTTATTCCAGAGGGTATTGCAAAGGGTTAACCACCTAAGGGTTAGACTAGGAGACAGAGCCACAAAATCCCACTCGCCCCCCCCCCTTTTATTACTGGGCTGGTTTCTCTTAACACTGTCACGGATTTTTAACACCCGATGCCATTGTGGTTTACAGGAGCCAGCCATCAGGGCTGCAGATGGGTCAAGTCAACCCACTCTGCTGTGTTTGAACAAGCAAGTTGCCAAAGCCACTCTGACTTGCCAAAAAAATACAAAAAAATGCATGTGGTACGTCTCCCGGCTTCTGCCACTCAGCTGTAAGCAAAGTTCCACAAACTAGGGTACCGGGCAGCATGGAAACTTAGGGGACAATATGGATAAAATTGAAGGTCCTTGGCAGTTCAACCATACCTGGGCTAACTAGAATATTTGCAAAGGGGTGAATGCTCCTAATATTTTGTCACACGCACAAAGTCAGACAGAACCAACTGCAACAGATGCTGAATGCAAGCACAAGACAAGGGCAGCATATGGAATGCGTAAAAGCACTACTTGCAAGTACATTGTGACGTGACATTCAAGGCAACACATGACAGGAGCATAGTGAGCACTAAACCACAATCCGCAGGGCTTGTTGCATTTCTAGATGAATGCCAATGTCGAATTACCACCCCCAAACGTGCACCCTTGTGTATAGGAAATCTTGAGTGGTTGCTGCTTGAAGATACTTGAAACACGATTGCAGCCCTGCTCTAACGGACAAGAGATTAACACTGGGTGCTCCCTCACTTACAAAGCCGCCACTGGGGAAAGCAACACACTACACGACACGAAGGATGCAACTTAGGAATCCTATGTAAGGGAATCTGCACCACCTCGTTGCCTTAAAGGAACCAACACACAAAGTTGTGAATCTGAGCCCCAACTAAACAAAATGCACATGCCACACATCAAAACTATAATCAGGACTGCTTTTAATCTATTAAAATTTAAAAAGCAATGGGAATATACCCCATCTGTTTTTTTAAAAAACAAACATCTGGCTGTAAATACACATTTCAGTACATCTCAAATACTATAAACTCATGGGGTGGGGTGGGAAAGAGACGTTGTGAAATTTCCCTCACCAGGGCTGCAAGCCACTCAAAGAGGGAGGGGCGCAGTGTGGAAACCCAAGGCAGCATTTCATGTTAACTATAAGAATTTTGAGTTCCACACAAAGGCATCAAACTAAGCAGCCGGCAGTTCGCAGAAGTGGCTCAGAAACGAAACAGACCAGCTCTTTGCCCCAGGCCGCAACCAGCTCCAGCTCTAAGGATGCATCCACAGTTCATAAACATTAAGGCGCTTGGAGACTTCAGGTTTGTGTGCCTCGCTCTCTCTCGCTAAGCCCCACTGCAGCTCCTGAGATGCTAAGCCTCAGCATGACTGACATCTGCTTCGCGGAAACAGCCTTGACTTCAAAGGAGCCTGCGAGAGAAGCTGCTGCCTCCTTATTTCCTCCTGTGACGTTAATGGTTTTTGTTTCTGGCAAATGGACTCTCTTGCTGACAGCCTTCATCCTCTTTCATCTTGGGTGCTTAAGACAGGCAGACGCCCCAGGAGTGACACAAGCAGCCCCAGTATGTGTGCAGGTGGAAGGCGGGCGGGGGGGAGAGATGTTAACACTGTTGGCGTGTGTTTCTCCCTCTGGGATTCATAAAAAGAAAACGGGAAGTGTAGGAAAGGGGAGATACCTAGGCGAAGGGTGGAAGTCCAGCTCCTAAAAATTAACTGAGTCAGCTCCATTCCACCCATTGCTTAGGATACCTTGCAGTTTAAAAAACACCCATTGGAAAAATAGACAGGGCATCTTTATAACACTGATGCTGCTGGGGCCGGCGGGGGTAGCGGGAGGAGTAGGGATAACTATAATCATCCACCCACTGATATGCCTCATGAAATGTTTCCGGCAAGAAGTTACGGTCCATTAGTTAGGAACATTCTGTGCAAGAAGGGAGGTGAGAACAAGAACTCTTAAATCCCCTCGGCCAAGATGCTTCCAACCAAAACTCCATCCTTGAGGGCATGTTCCACATCCTTCTCTTCTATCTTCAGGAAGACCTGGGAAGAAAAGGATTTGTCAGGCTGGAAACTGGTAGTCAGCATCCATCATTGCAAAAAAGCATGGTCTCTAGAGGAGGCCACTCCTTGTAGGACACTGGAAATCACTAGGCCTCCGTAATGGGAAGATGGGGAGAGAGAATACAGGCACATCTGCTATACACAATGCCATCCAAACAGCTCCGCTTCCACCCAGTGCCCAAAGCCCGCATTGCAACAGCAGCTAAATCGTATGGTGACTCCTGCAGAATTTCACAACCTGTCATGGGATTCCCCCACTGCCAATTCCCAAGGTTGTAGAATCAAAGGATTTGAAGGGACACCAGAGGGACCATCTAGTCCAAACCCCTGCAATGCAAGAATCTCAACACACAGTCTGCCATCCAATCTGAAAGCAAACCAGGCCCTGCTTAGCTCTGCAAATGTGCTAGCAGTTTTATTGCTGTGCTACTAGATAGAAGGTGGGACATTTGTGGGCAGAGGGAGGAGGCCCAAAACCATCAGGCACAATGGGTGCCTTGTATCTTTATACTTCCTTCATCCAGCACTTGCTTTCTTCCTCAAGCTGCAGAACAAACCAATTTTGGCCATCAAACAAAATTCAACCATCACGGCTTCTTCTCTTGACAGCTCCTTGCTCCACAGAAGGATTCCCATTGTTTGCATAGATAAAATGCCATCCTGAGGCAGGTATTCCCCGCCTTTTTGAAACTTACTTAGCTCAGGGCTAAGGTTTTAGGGGGACAGGATAGCCGGGGGACCTCCATTATCTTCTTACAGCAGAGCCAATTGGGCCATGGCGGCCCAAAAGTGCCCTGTGATGCTCCTGAGTCTTTTCACAGCTGCACTGGTGGTGGAAGATCTTACACAGGCAGATCAGCTGATGTCAGGGACTGGTTGGACGCAGAGGAGTGGTGGGAGGAACCCATCTGAGGAACCCCCAAGGGAAGATAACTCAGAGCCTGGGGCATGATGGTGGGACAATGCTGAGTGGTCAGAGGGAAGAGGAGGTTTCAGAAGGTGAAGAGGCAACAGGTCTTAGTGAGCTGGGAGAGTTGGTGGCAGAGAGCAGTCCAGAATCAGAGGCAGAAGCTGAAGCTGGAGCTGGAGAGGAGGGAGGCCAAGAGGCAGAGGTGGGTCAGGTTTGTGAAGAGGCATGGGTGTCTCTCCCAATTGCTGCAACAAGTTCCCCTCCCCATTGGCCTTCCAGAACCAGGAGAGGCATGAAGTGGGGAGTCTCTGATTGCTTGGAAAAAACTCTGGAGAGGAGACGACACTGCTGGCTGTGGGGAGGCAGGGACCTTTAGTCTTGGCATCTGTTTCATGGCGGCAGTTGTTGTGATCATTAGGCCTGACACTCCTGCGCAGATCCTGTCTTGCTAATAAAGTTATCTCCAGCTTACTCAGTGCAAATTTCTGCTGGCTCGCTCCTGTCAACTGACCTGGCAAGGAACCTATGGGTTTTGAACTTCTGCTCCCCTTTGGGCACACCTATGTGCAAGAATGCTGACATTTATTCTCCATTATTTCTACACTTCTCCCTCCTATAGAAGGGTGCAGCCTCTTTCATCAGACTGACAGGAGGGGCTGTGCACTGTGGCTCTCCCATAGAGCTAAAACAAAGGAGAACAAGAAAGATGCGGCAGTTCTCCCACCAACACAGCTAAGGCAGGCAGAGGAGGGAGACAGATGCATTTAAGGAAGCCAGCAGTGAATATTCAGGCATCAAAGCAGCCTGGCACCCAAAGTTTTCCATAGGAGGCTGGGACCATGAACCGCTGGGGCAAATCATCACTGCTCAGCGTTATTTCTTCCACTATACTGGAGTGGTGGAATCAACATGTTTCCAGTGACTGTGCTGAGGACCAATGAAATAAGGAAACGCTGCACATAGAGATCTTAGGGAGAGAGTATATTCTTAATCTAAATTGGTGTTTCCCAAACTTGGGTCTCCAGCTGTTTTTGGACTACAGTTCCTATCATCCCTGACCACTGGTCCTGCTAGCTAGGGATGATGGGAGTTGTAGTCCAAAAACAAGCTGGAGACCCAGGTTTGGGAAACACTGATCTAAATAAATGTAAAACCACTTTAAAAGGCAGGGGGCTAATTCCAATGCCATGCATTTCCACGGCAAAGCACACACCCCTTTCTCAAAGGTTTATTTGCTGAGGGACACAACAATTTTCGGATCTCGGCTCACAATTTAGTTCTCATGTTTACTAGCAAACTGCCCCATCAAATATATTCAGCAGCCCCATATGGAGTGGTACTATTGGGATCATCTACCATAGTACAGTCCTTTCTGAGTGGTGGCGGCTCTCTCCTTGCATTGGGATTCTTTTAGTTAGAGATGCTGAGATTGAACATGGGTCCTTCAGCATGCAGAGCATGTGTTCCACCACTAGATTATGGCCCTTTCTGAGAGGTGAAGGGGACCTTGGATACTGCCCTCGCCACCCCTGCTGGAGTCCAGGCCATAGCAAAAGTAGATCTGCAGTAGTACCTTAGTCAGACGCGCTTCTTTAGTCTTCTTCAAGCCCACAATGCCTCTGGATTCCAGGAGAGCCGAAAGCGACAGGCATTCTGATTGGCCAACAGCTCCTACTTTCTGCTTGCGGCAAACCTTGCTGTAGGCCTCATGCAGCTAGGAGGAAATGCCATTGAAAAAACACAGCGTTTTTGAGTAGAGGAAGCAGGAAAGTGTGCATAATGTACCTTGCTCTCTATGGCTTCCTCCAAATGCCCCAGGGCTAGCTAGATCTCTCTTTGTGGCTTCTAACTGAATAATAGGTCTCCTGTTCATGTCCCGCACAGCCCAGCCAAAGTTGCTGGCAAAGCAACACACAAGTGCTGCTCCACACCCCTAGCATATGAGCACTGCTACTACAACCCACACTTCCACAGCAAGTGGGGGGGGGGCAGACCATAGAGCTGGAAGGGACCCCCAAGGACCATCTAGTCCAATCCCCTGCAATGCAGGAATATGCAGCTGTCCCATACAGGTATCAAACCTGCAACCATGGTGTTATCAGCGCCAGGCTCTAACCAAGTGAGCTATCCAGACTGAATTGATGGTGGAGAGACACAAAACCCTTCCACCCCACAGTAGTTTAGGATGGGTAGAATAATACTCAAAGACAAGACAGAGGTTTTTAGGGTGCAATGCATGTAGCCTATGCTGCACCAAACACTACTAAAAGACATTCCAAGCCGTCATCTTCCACTCCGTTCAAACATAAAACTTACTTCTGTAAGCGAACAGTTCTCATTAGCTCCCATGGCCTTAAAAAACAAACAAACAAAGAACAAGGACGGGAGACGTAAGAGGAGAGGAAGAGAGAGGCAGATGGAGCCAATTCCCTTGAAGGTTTTTTTGGGGACTCTAATTCTTTGTGTACTGCACGTCCCGCATAAACAGCCAAACATTTTTAAGTGGGTCCATGGTAGGACTCAGAGAAACTACTTGTGCACTTCTTCCTTTGTGCTCCCAAGGACTCTGGTTTTAAGTGACGAACTCTTGTGCTGCAAAGCAAAGCCCCCTGCCAAGTAAGAGTGACATAATACACTAGCAGTGGCAATTTGAAGAGGTGGGGGGGGGGGCAGAGAGAATCTGCACACTCACCTTTCCCAGAGTCACCTCTTTGGTTTTCTGTTGCCTGGTTAAGAGCAGCAAAGAACAGACCAAGATTTTCTGCTGCAAGGGAAAGGTATTGGCATCGTCACGGCCTGCACCTGAGGCCAAACGGTCACCGTACACATCAGAGATCACCCGGGATACATGGGCCAGTCCCACCCGCTGGGGTACTGCTGAGTCTGTGGCTGGCTTAGAAGAGGATTTGCCTGAGGACGGGAGAAGTCAGAAAGAAGACAGTGAGCAGCTGAATGAAGAGTAAGGCAGTGCAGGTAGAGATCAATAGGAGGGTCCTGGCATGGGTTGTATCTTCAAAAAGTAAAGCTTCATTCCCATATGATTATTGCACAGTGGTACCTCGGATTACAGATGCTTCAGGTTACAGACTCCACTAACCCAGAAATATTACCTCGGGTTAAGAACTTTGCTTCAGGATGAGAACAGAAATCGTGCTCCGGCAGCCCGGCAGCAGCCCCCATTAGCTAAAGTGGTGCTTCAGGTTAAGAACAGTTTCAGGTTAAGAACGGACCTCCGGAACGAATTAACTATTTAACCCGAGGTACCACTGTAATGTATACACTCTTCTTGTGTTTATATGCTGCCTTTTGGCCAAAGAGCTCAGAGTGACATTGCTAGAGTTCCCAGGCAGTCTCATACTCGGGAAATGACCAGACCCAGACCAACTCGCCTAGCACAGATTTAAAACAGTCTCTCTGCTCTCCATCCTGCCCATTCTGAAGCAGAAGTAACAGATGTCCACACCATTTATACATTACAGCAAATGAGAAAAAGATGAGGCAAGGTGGACCCAAAGCTATTGCAACACTACACATTCAGAGTACAATGTCCCTAAGCTGCACAGATTTTCAGTTCATTTTGGGAGATGCTTTGAAAACCGAAATCGCTTGTTTTCCCGCTCCCTGGACGTAGTAGTAGCTTCACACCTGCATTTGCACTGCTCAAGTTACACTTAAAGCCAGTGCAGGAAAGACAAGGAGCAGGTGTTTGCCTCCCTCTGCAGGGCTGACTGCTGGAAGGGAGAACATTTTTCCCGTACCAGCCAGCTGCACGTTCCTGTCTCCCTTCACCGCTGGCCCCCACATCCCTCAGCAAGGCCTGAACAAGTCCCTGGGAAGAAACGCTACCAACTAGGGTCAGGAAAGCATTTAATGAAACATGACAGCACTGCACAGCAGCCTAGGACCTGCTCAGGGGGGAAGAGCAGGGAGGAAAGCTACTTACAGGCAGGCAGCAGTTTAAGCACAGTTTGACTCTTCACATCTGACTCCACAATTTCAATGGCCCTCCTAAGGACAAGAGTAACATTTCAGACAAAGGCGTTAGTTCCCTGCTAATGCTTTTTATCAATCCCCAACACTGGGCTACTCCAGATTTTCTCATTAGGTTGTCCACTGAAAGACCAGTTCCATTGGGCTATCCATCCTTCAATTCTCATCTAGTCCCCTTGAATCGATAGATGGAAGACAGGGCAGCACTCGCAACATAGGAACGGACTGCTTATAGACACAGGTTTGTTTGGACAAATATATTGATATTTGGAACGAGGTTATACAGAATATAGTTGGCTCAATATTTAATATATATGATATAGCACTTTTTCCACTTTATTTTGTACGATTAAAAAAAACCACCACTTTTAAATATTATTAATAATAGTAATAGTAATGATAGCCATAGTGATCATCATCTCCCATCTGGCAGCAGATATTCCAGCAGGCTGCAACAGTGGGAGGCATGGAAAGCAGGGCCCATTCCAGGAGCAGCTTAACCTGTGGTCCTCCAGAGGCTGCTGAACACTATACCACCCATCATCCCTGACCACTGGCCAGGCTGGCGAGGGTTTCTGGGAGTTGGAGTTCCATGACAGGTGGAGCATATGCCAAGCCAACCTCCCCTGGCCCATTCCAGCAGCTCCGTTAGGCCCCTCCCATTTCCATTCTGGCAGCTCATTTATATGAAACTAGCATTTTAAGGACTGGCACTTGAGTTTCCTTATTTTGTCCCGCTTCCCCATCCCTTTACAGCTATGGAGGTAGGGAGCAAATGGTTTGATTAAGCTTATCTTCCAAAAGTAGTTGCCCAAAAAGATTGAGAGAGAGAAGAAGAGAAGAGACTGTGCCTGGATGTAACCGGTTATGGCTCCTGACCCATCAACAAAAATCAACAGTCCAGAAAGACTGTGTTTCTAGGCTTTTGTCTGTTGTCATAACAAGGTACCTAACCAGCCCGTAATTTTATCATACCATGTGGCTGTTCTGTCTTTCTCACCCCAATCCTGCTCTCAAAGCAGTGTTGAAAAGTCACAAGAGGGAAAACTATGCAAGCAACCCCCCCACCCCCACACATGGGAGACCTGGAGTGGCACATGCATGGCCCATTAATGGGAGCTCATTACAATCTTGCCTCTTAATGAGACTAACGCTCTATTTGTTGTAGTGGAAGCGATGCTGGAGGCAGTTCTCAACCCGAAGCCCCAGTGCCAACCACTGTCTAATTTGCGCACCCCACGGGTGGTGTGGAGCACGGCTAAATCTCTGCTTAAGTTGACAAATACTCAAATCAGACTTAGCTTAGCCAAACAAAACTTAGCCAAAACTAAAGATGTTTGGACATATACCCTAACTAGGGTTGCCATATTCCCAACATTTTTTTTAAGGTCAAAGTTGCTGAACTTTTTTGGGACATCTTTTTGTTGATTTTTTTTTTTAAGTGTACCCGCTTTGCCATACGTCAAAGGGAAGGGGGGCAAATTAAACTCTTCTAGTTTTCATTTATTTTAGGGAAAGAGAATATATTTAATGCTCCCATTAAATTCAATGGGCTCTTAACATTGGCTAAATGCTCCCCTGGAATCTGTTGTTTGATAGGTTTTGTATCAACTTTAATCAATTCATGTATTTCTCCTACTAGTTTTCAGTATTTTACAAAATTATTCAGGGGCAAATTTTAATGCGTGGAAGCATAATCTGCCTCTTACAAGATTGCAAAGGTGGGGATCTAACAGGCCTAGCTGGAGGGTGTTGGGAGAAGAGCATAATAAACAACAACAACTTATACCTTGCCCCAGCCACTCTGGGTAGCTTCCAACGGAATATAAAAAACGTAACAAAACATCAGACATTAAAAACTTCCCGATACAGGGCTACCTTCAGATGTCTTCAGAAAGGTGTATAATTGTTTATCTCCTTGACATCTGACAGGAGGGCATTCCACAGGGAGGGTGCCACTACCGAAAAGACCCTCGGCCTGGTTCCCTGTAACTTTACTACTTGCAGTGAGGGAACCGCCGGAAGGCCCTCGGAGCTGGACCTCAGTGACCGGGCAGAACAATGAGGGTGGAGACGCTCCCTCAGGTATACAGGACCGAGGCCGTTTAGGGCTTTAAAGGTCAGCAGCAGCACTTTGAATTGTGCTCGAAAATGTACTGGGAGTCATGTACTTCTTTTAGGACTGGTGTTATATGGTCCTGGCAGCCGCTCCTAGTCGCTGGTCTGCCAGCCGCATATTGGATTAGTTGTCGTTGTCAACAAATGGAAAGAAAGGGGAGCACCATAAAGTGAAACACACACACAGGCAGCCGGACATCTTATATGTTGGGCCCAAGAAAGGCGGCCGCTGTTTCCTCCCAAACGGGCTGATGAGCCAACCTCTGAGGTCTGGCAGGGAGGATCCTACCACAGTCTCGTTTCCTTTTTCCAAACCTATGAGCAGCTAAACCCTATTCCACACACACGCAAGAAAGATCTGTGCCAACATCCCTGAAAAGTAACAGCCGTGCCCTTCCTTCTGCCAAGGGGTCACGTCTATCATCAGCCTGTGCTGAAGTACATGTTTTTATTCCCCCCCCCCCAAAAAAAATGTTGAGTCAAACACAGGAAGAGGCAGCCACCAAGCAAATGCCTGGGCAAGGTCAAGGAAGGCAGGAAGCAACTCCCTTAAAGCCAACTTGCAAGGGAAAAGGAAGTACTTCTAAGCACCATAAAGATGTCTGCTTGAGTACTGTTAATGAGAGCCTTTTGCAATCCAAATGTAATTAACCAATCTATAATCGCAGCAGGGAGGACCAATTCCTCTCACCCTTCATAGGTAATGGGCTGTGAACGTTTCCAGACATTAACACAGTCAGGAACAGGAAGCACCCTCCCCTCTCACCACAAAGGCATGAGGGCTCTCCCCCGCTCGCTCTCTCCCTCCCTCCACCTCCCAGGCAGGGGGACCAAACAGCATAATGAAGCTTTAAATCACATCCCACATGCGCTGTAATTAGCTCGGGTTTTTAAGAGTGCTATATATTCTTCACCTGCAGATGTCCAGAGCTTTGCGCGCATCCCCAGAGACAGCAGAGACTTTCCGAGCACAGAACTGGATGGCGGCGTGGTCCAGCACCTGCTCCCCTGACACCTAAGGGACAGGGAGAAGAAAACAGGAGCTGCAAGAGAAATCTTGGAAGCTCTGCTGCGCGACATTTTTCTGGATTCAGTAAAAAAAAAAAATACCAAAAGGGTTTTGGGGGCATGTGTAAAGGCAGCTCCTTTGTAACAGCCCAAGAACTCTTTGTTTTGTCCAACTTACAGTCTTTAATCCCCACCCCCCCGACTTCCGACCTTATTTGTTGCCACCAGGAAGTGGCATAGAGACATGGAGAGCAAAGGGCTTAGCAAGCAACAAGACAGGCTAGGACTGATTTATCAGTAAATACAATGTCAGCATGCTGCTGCCAAGAGGGCTGCGTGGAGCTCCTGGATGTGCATGTATTGCACCAAAACTGAGGGAATTTAATTGACTGGCAATCTGCTACCAGGCCACGTTCAAGGTCATCATCCATCAGTTGGTTTCAGATGTCTTGTAAATACATTGTCCCTTTTTGCCCAAGCTTTCCCTGATCCACAGGTTTGGACCCTCTTATTACTCAATTGCCATTTTTATCTTTAAAAACAAAACAAAACAAAACAAAACACCACTGTTTCACTCTTTTATACACTGTAACTCTGTTTATGGCATAGCAGCATCTCATTTCCCCCCAAATTACTAGCATTCTGTGCCTTCCTTCACTTTACATAGTAGCCACTGCTCCTCGATCTCGCAAGAGGGAGAAAGTGGGCTGGTTCTCAACCACAGGGAACCTGGAAAGCGCCCCTAGTGCCAAGGCACAGGAGAGGTATATATTCTGCATGTCAAGATAATAACAAATTTAGCAGGGTTCCAAAGCAGAAGTGACTGTGCCTTCTGCAAGTCATTTAGGTGTATTTTGTATTCTCATTTTGTATTTTTCTGTTGCAAACCGTCCTGGGATCTTTGGATGAAAAGCAGAATACAAATTTTACAACAACAACAGCAGTAACAACAACAACAGGACAGGAATTTTGGAACTAAGCTTCTGAGATTTTACCTGCTTAAGGCGTTCCTGGAGGATGGAGGCAAGCTGGTCTTTGTTGTACGGGGGAAAGTTTAGGAGCTGTGGCCTGCACTTGGGACGGGCTTGCAGGCGGGGCAGGATGCGATCCGTGAGGTCCAGAGCATTGGCTATCCCTACCAACGAGAAGAGATACTTAGAGGCCTTGGAGACATCCAATTTCTATCCTTCTATACCTTTCTATCCTTCTTACCCCATAGCTTCCCACTCACATAGCTTGCCTCTTAAAATAGGAGACCACACAACAAAAACAAGAATTCACATACAGCTTGAAGTGTTCACCTAGAATGCTGACCTTGCACCTGCTGTCTGAAATACAGCTCCACCTACCTTCACTCTGCATTTGAGGGACCACACAGACTCACAAAATAAGTTCACGAAAAGACCTTATATTCCATCAACGCCTAGCCAATGAATGACAGAAAAGTGTAGACCTCATATAGAAGCTTAAGAATTAGCAACTTTCTTGTGGCATGCTGCAATAAGCTTGCATGTTCCATTAAGCCACCTGGAGCTCCTGGGTTTCAGGAATTGCTCAGCCTTTGGTCTGTATCCCATAGGCTGGTCAGTGGAAGGCTGGCGGGTCCTGCATTTTGTACAGGGAACTCGCCCAGGTGGCTTTCCCATCTCCCTTCAGATGTTCTATTTCTGTCAAAGGATGCACTGAACCAATTTACGAATAACTCATTCCTCCACCGAAGGGAGTGAGGTGGGCAGTGGCATACAATCCTGCTGGAGCAAGTGCTGATCTGGTTTGGGAAGGCCTTCAGGCCAAATGTCCTCAGCAGGTCCACACGCTCCTCACTGCCTCCTGTTGTTCCTCCTCCCTCTGCCTTCACTGGCCTTGTTGCCTTCGCCATGCCATATTCATGTAGCAAAGATGGGCCGAGTCTGCATAAAATCCTTGCCTCCAACTAGTGGGTTCAGACAGGTGACTAGGAAGGTGGTAGCTTGCTCCTGCTTTCCAGACACTTGTGTCGTTCTGGGCCACAGAGGGAGGACAGGCATACAGGCAGTGAATGGGAGGGACAGCGGCAGGAGCGAGGGCACTGTGGCTGGCAGTGTGTGGGTGCTTGAAGATTTCCAATTGTGCCACCCGCCCCACAATGCCAGCCCTGAAGTCATGCTCTCCTCTCTCCTGAAACATAGGATTGGGCATCATTAACTCTCGACACTCACCGATGAGAACGAGCCGGGAGTTGGGGAGGGAAGGCCACTCAAACATTGTGTACAGCACATCCTGCCCTTTGCTGTCCAGCTGATCCATCTCATCTAACACAACCAAACTGTGAAGATGAAAGACATGAGCACATGAACACCACCCCAGCAACGTGCTGCGGTAAGAACATCTTTTCTGCCACACTGTCGCAGCATCCAAACATCCATCAAATGCAGGTAGCCCCATGGCATCCTTGGCACAGGACTGAAACTGCACCTCTCCTGCCAGATACCCTATGCTATTTAGGCAGGGTAGAATAAAATATTTCAAATTATAATCACTAGCTTCTTTTAAAACAAGAAAAAGTAGTAAATGTTTCTAGCCCTGCAGAAGACTGAATTGATCTCTCAAATTCTTAGGTCCAGAATTAAAATTTACCATTATCCAAAAGACTAAGTGTCCAAGCCCCGCAGTCTGTTATCAAAATACGGGCTTTTAGATTGACACTGCTAAACTCTCTCTGACAGCAAGGTTTATGGCTCAGCCACATACACTGCACCAAGTGCACAGCAAAGAGAAAGTGCCCAGTATAATAGGTTTTAGATATTATAGCTGTTGTACTAGAATGACCTTTCACGCTAAACCCATATTTCTCAAAACCTCATTAAGAGACTTTTATGAAAGGTTTATAGCACAAAATGTGCCCTGCCACTCAAAACACAACAGTGATGTGAGGATGCCTGTCCAATAGAGGTTATGGCTATCCTATGACTGACCTGCTCAAAACTGGCTAGTTTTAAGAATGCCCCCCTTCTACCACAAAGGGCTTGTACTTACACCATGGGTGCATTTTCTGATGTCAACCGTTTCACCAGCCTTCTGATCACATCACCCCTGGCTGCTTTGTCTGCTCCAGCCTGGCCCAATTGTCCAGCCATTGCTGGGAACACAGCCTGGGAGCTTCTCAGGGCCATGCAGTTTAGGACTATGATCTGACACCCAGCGAGCTCCGCCTGCCAGAGAGACAAAGGAGTGTTTTAGAGCAGATCAAACTTTGCAATAGAGTACAAGTAGTGTAACAAAGAGACAGCAATTCCACAGACCATCACTGAGCAGAAGTACCTGCAACGAAACTGTGGAGGACAGGAAATTACAGGAGGCAACTTTCTTGTGCCTGGGGGACCAATAAGCCAGCATGAGGGATGGTCAAATATACTCTCTTAGGCAAAACTGCTAAGCTGCCCCCAATCAGGCACAAATTATAAGCATACCACCCTGGAAAGGCAGGTCCTTGAAATCCACTGAATAGCCATGTGTTCACATATATCTTGTAGGGGCAAAATATTTTCAATTAGGCAGCACACCAAAGCATGGTCTGTGTCAACCGTAGCTCAAAACTCATATCAGTTTGAGCATCCAAATGTTCAGCTAAGCTACGGTTTAGAATTGTTTGTCTGCTTTCATTTCCCCGCTTCTTCAGCACTTCCTAAGTTCACTCCTACTTTTGGAAACAAAGCAGTGGTTGTCCCTATGGTTTGTCAATTCAGATACCACACCAAACTTTAGTTAGCACAAAACCAAGCTTCCTATATCCATCTTAAACCAGGGATAAGATCTGCTGGCCAAATACAAACCACAGTAAAGCTTCCTTAACCTTGTTTTGGAATATTAAAAGTGTAAGATATACAGGCAAAAAGTCTTTTATGGGCATTGGAGAATAATTGCAGGAAAAGGTTCTCACTGGGCTCTGAATTCACATAGTTCCCCCACCCCTAATGGCATATGAGAGAATTCTGAAACAAGAGTAGACCCAAGTTGTATGTTATATTTAACATATGTTAAATGCCATCTGTCAGAGCTAGGCAATGGTTCTTCCGGCATTATGTTTCATAGCAAAAGTCTGAAAGAGGACCAGCGTCCAAATTCAAATCCAGCAGTTTTACCTTTAAGTCCATCAGGGCCCTGTTGAGGCAGGCAGTTTTCCCAGTGCCTGGAGCTCCAGAGATATAAAGGCTTCCTGGGATCTCCCTAGAGACATGCTCTCTCAGGAATCTATGAAGAACACCTGTCTCTTTCTCCCTTGCATGCAGCTGGTCCGGAAGAGCCGTGTGTAGGAGACTCTTTGCCTGCTGGTAACAGGTGCCTGTATAAACAAAATGAAGACAGGTTTAGAACAAATAAAACACCTCAATATACCTAACAAAAACTATACAAATACTAATTGTACAACTCTCTTCTAACAGACACAACAGTAGAAAAAAAAAAAAGCACTGGATTTAGGAAGAGGTCTATTACAATAAATGAAAGATTACTCTTACTGTCTCTTTTTAAAAGTTCCTTTTATTGAGGTGTTCTATCGTTGCAGCTAGCTGCAGTTGAAAGCAGATTGCTAGACTAAATAGACCCTTGCCTATTCAAACAAGTCTTCTACTGCTCTGTTTTATACTACTGATGTATTGCCTTGCTTTTTTTAACACTGCCTGTAGTTGTTAAGATTGTCGACATAAGAATCAAATAAGCATGTTCAAGAAGGGACGCCATTCTAACATTAACGTTGCCAATAAAACTTACTTGCAATATTCTGACCAGCAATAAATGACTAAAGATGAAAGGCAGTATGTCAAGCCCCTCTGTGATCACAGCTAAACCACAAATTTCAATAGTTTTTATTCCTTGGCTTCCCTCAAAGCATCCTAGGAACTGTAATTTTATGAGGTTGCTGAGAATGGTGAGAAATATTCCAACCCCTTCCATGGAACCACAGCGGCTCTTGCCTGCGGGTAATGTAACAATTGAAAAAGTCTGAAAACCATTTTGAATTTATGACACAGCCATGCCTTAAGTTTTCTCATTTTGTGGGAATAACAGTGAACTAGCCTTGGATTCTGAGGTCTTAAGAGACTGAATTCTTTATAAACCCATTTTTTAAAATCCGAGCAACCGCAGAAGATGTGGTACCCAGTTCTTCCACCATACACAATGCTATTACATACCTTCTTGCTTAAAGAGACGAGTACACACCAGTTCTTTCCTTGGGTGGCGATGCTGCGGTGAAGCATTAGGGGTTTCTTGACCACCACGAAAGGGAGAGGGAACCAAATTGCTTCCCTTAGTTGGAGATTTGGGGGTTGAACGCTCGCTGAAGAGTAAAGCCCGGCCCTTGGGAGAAGTGGGTGGAAAGCTATTCTCTTTTTTACCCTGCTTACTTGGGGAGCAAGGCAGCAACTGGGTGACATTGCAGAGATTGTCATCTCCTGTGGGAAACAAAGACACACCATGCCAAGTTTAGAAGAAAGCAAGAGCAGAAGAAAGTGAATGTGAAATACAGACAAGAACCCATATGTAAAAGACAAGTTTGTCTGCCCTCTATTTTACCAGAGTTCATGTCTGCCATACAACATGATGTCTTTAAGATGCCTTTTGTTATTTCATTTAACGTTTCAGAGCTCTTATTATCATAGGCATCATTTAGGAAAAACACAAGCACAGGGCCTGTCAAATGCCTCCTTATTCAGAGAAGTGTTGCTGCGCTCTGCCTGCTCCTTCCCTCTGGACCCTTTGCAATGTACACTTACTGCATCAACCCTAATTGTTCCGACTTGCTACTGCAAAAACTCCAAATGCTGGGTTTAGAATAAAAATAACCACTTCAATCTTTGTAGATAAGCCTGTCTGTAGGAATACTATTGAGCAGAGCAATTATTTCAAGCACAGATTCTTCAGCAGTACACAAACAGGCCTGCCCATGAATTACTTTTAATCTTTCAAGTTAGCCTTCATGGGAAATAGACCAGATGCTTTGCAAGAAAAAAATAGCCCCAATTCCACTCACTAACTCCAGGTAGGACCCGTCCAAAACCCTGCAGCCACTACCAGTCAGTGTTGACAATACTGAGATACATGGCCTGAAGCTGTATAAGGCAGCTTTTCCTGTGTTCTTAACTCTGGTGTTCAATCTAAGAAAATCTTGGCATCACTTAGCAAAGTCCCATTCATTAATAATGATAATAATAATAATAATAATAATTTATTTATACCCCGCCCTCCCTGGCCAGGGCCGGACTCAGGGCGACTAACACCAAATATAAATTACAGTAAAACGTAATAGGAAAACAACAACAACAGTTAATTAAAATACGGCTTAAAATACAGCTGGTTAAGTGTCAAGCAGAATGGCTGAGCAGGCTTTCTATATAAGAATGTGTTAGGATATTTTGGTTTGATGAAGAGAAAGGCAACTCACCAAGCCGTTTACGGGGGCTGAGAGGCAAGACCTGCTTCTGGGGTGAAAGTGACAGTGGGCTTGTGTTCAGTTTTGAAGCCTCCTCATTCTCTAGAGGTTTGTGACATCTCCTAATCGATTTCCGCTTTGGGAATTTGATGGTGCTCTGGCTTTCAGACTGAGATCTGGTACAAGGCATGATGGACACTGGAGACCAAAGAGAGCAAATGAAACACATTTAAGTTAAGTGTGCATATGTGTGTCCGCGCACATACACACACACTTTTAAATTTCACAAATAGTCTCTAACAGTTACAACTATCCTGTCCCGCAGCGATGCCTTTCCTCCCGCTAGGTGTACAACAAAATAAAGACCTGATTGGAACAGAGTATTTTCCCCTCCTTATTCACCAAAAACAGCTTAAGTCTTACATTTGGGCTTAAGGGGCTAGGCTTCCATACAGGTCTATGAACCCACACCTCTCTTTTTAGCAAGTTATTCACTATCCCCAGACGCCCTTGCCCCTAATGATTAATCATGCTCACCTCTGCACAAGCTCTTTATTTCCCACCCTTTGTTCACAACATGCCCCTCTCACCCATTCCTATACCTTGAAGGTAAGCTCAAGGTTAAACATTGACGACTGTCAAGGTGATAAACCTACCCACCACCTAACATAAAAATTGTTGGCTGAAATAATTCCAAACCCAAATTCCTGCTGGATTCTCACTCTCTGTTCCAGGAGCAGAGGCGTACTGCGTTAAAAATACTCACCCCAACCTGTCTCGTTTTACTCATTTTGTGGCATCACTGTTGTTTTCTTTTCTTTTTATAGTGATAATTAAAAACAACAACCCCAAGACTTATTTTGCTTTATCTGTTTTAAGTACTGTAGCCTATGTTTTTAAATGGTTATTAATACTGCTACCTAAGCAATTAGAATCTGTACTTTTTTTAATTATGTGTGAGCCATCTAGTGCTTTATGCCCCCAAATGGTGGCCTGTTAATAATTTTTGAAATATAATTAGTGCCTCTAATGGATTCCCTAAAAAAAAAAAAAATCACAATGGATTAGGCCAAAGATCCATCTAGCCTGTAACTCTGCTTCCAGTGACAGCCAGGTAGAAGCTTCTGGACATCATGCAAGCAGTATACAACGCCACTCCTTGTTTGTTTCTGTCTTCTGGCATACAAAGATGTACCACCCCTGAACATGGAAGTTATGTCTGACAGAACAAAAACACAAAACCTAGCAACACAGAACTTTATCCAATTTAGTAGAACTTTCTTATTGCTTTCCAACTTAACTCTGACACCCCTCCCCCAAAGGATACCAAGCAGAGTTTTACAGGCTTCCAAGAAATGCTGAGGCTAGAATTACGAAATGTCTACTGGGGGAGAGCTCCACAATGGGGTGAGGGAGGTTACCAAACGGATAGGCTTATACACCACACATTTGTTCAACTGTTTTAAACAACCAGTTCTGGAACAAAGTTAGAAGGTGGCAAATAAGAAAAGTCCTTAGTATCCATTCCTTAAAAGGGCCTGGCAGTAAATTCTGATGCCAGAGTTGCCTGCTTTTCTCTACACTCTCGTGCCTTCCTTCCAGAATTAGGAAGGCCAGGGGAGGGGGGAGGTTTCCACTTGCTGATTTCAAAGATAAGTCTCTCTCTCTCTCTCTCTCTCTCTCTGTGTGTGTGTGTGTGTGTGTGTGTGTGTATCAGGAAGGAAAAAAATGCACTTTCAAACCCCAACCCCGCCATTAAAAAAAACAACTCTTCAGTAACTTTCGGCCAGTCTCCAAGAGCCACACTGAAGGGCGAGGTGGCCCATGAGATATGTGATCAGATCTCCCAACTTTTTATTACGGTGGGGGGGGGGGGGCGCAGAGGGCTTTGAGTTTGAATGGGAGCGGATTCAGGGGTGGATTCAGTTTTACTATCCCCACTCGCGCTTTACCGCTCTAAGTGGCTCTTCCCCAAAGCGGAAAGTGAGCCAGGTGGGTCTCACGCCCCTCAGAAGCACATTGAGCGGATCCTGCTCCTTGGCGAGCGTGTCCTTAGGGCCAAAGCGCCAAAAAAAAGCCTTTGCAGCGGGATGTCTCACAGACGAACCCCCCTTTTTTCCTGCCCGTTCCCTTTTAACCATTTTCTTAATTCATTGATAACAGCAGCAATAACCGCTTCGCCTCCCCTCAGGCCCCCACGAAGCCCCTCTCTACTCCAAGCGCCTCCTTACAGCCAGAGCCTCTTTCGCGCGCCAACATGCGCACCTACCGTCAACCCGAACCTGCGGAGCCCAAGGGGCGCGAAGCTTCTTCCCGCAACCAACCCGCTTGACTAAATGAAGCGACTCCGCCTGCCCGCGCGTGGCCAACCGGCCCCGACCCGCCCATTGGTTCCCCGGAGCGCGCGCGCCGGACCCGCCCAGCCAATCGCCGCTCTCCGCGCCAAACCTGAAACCTTCCGTCTGCCCAACTACATCCCGCCGCAACCGCCCTGGGCGTTCCAGCCAATCGCCTTCTTTCCCGCATCGCTCGGGCTTCTCCTATAAGGTTATGTGGTGTTGTTTTTTCCCTCCCTTCTTCCTTCCAAGGGGCGAAGTAGCGCACAGGGGACCCAGCTTCCGGTTTGATTTTGGAACGTTGATCTCGCGCTCTGGGCGGGGCTTCCAAAGCGGCTTCTTCTGATAAAGCCTTTTCTCTCCCCCGCCCTCAAAGCTCTTTCCCCCATCAGTGGACTACAATCCCCAGAAAGCATTGCTGCAAAATCGAAGCGATATTGGGAGGAGCACGCTGGGATATGTAGTCCGGAAATGCGTGAGCGGCGTTTTTTGCTTTTTTGCAGGCTGGGAAAGCAGACGAACACTTCCGAGGCTTCCCGTGGCTGCGGCTTTCTTGAATTCCACGGCTTATGGAAGAGCAAAAGAAAGAATACTTTTAAAGATAGACTACTAAGCCCTCTTCTGTGGTCGGTGAGGCACATGAAAGGTTTTCTCCAAATGAGGGATAGGAATACATTTCTGTGCGCTGCATAGCACTGACTAGAATACAGTACACTAAAGGTGGAATAACAGTTGCTTTGTATTTCAATTGCAATAGCATAATTGAGGGCCACCTAAGAAGCGGAGCAGAAGGAATTAAGACAGCCACCGTCACCCTGGTTCCATCTCCTTACTGAGCTGCTTCGAATCCCTTCTCATAGTAGCCCTTTAAAACCAACTGAACAGTCAGGAAAGCAGCTTAGTGAATGAGCCCTAAACAATCTTGCACCGCAGCTTCAATCTGGACTTACTCCTTTCCTCTTAAATAATTTTTATAGAAAGGGTGCAGTCCAGGTCTTGCAGAGGCACACCTGGGATCCCTCTGTGCCCTTAGCAAGGAGTTGTGTCAGCAACCCACCCCACAAAATACTACTATAGCCACATTAGAATTTACTACATTTTATGTGACCCAAGTACACAAAGCTTCCGGAGTGAGGTCGAGAAGGGTGAAAAGTTTGCACAACTTTGGGCCACGGTGTGAGGATGGGAAGCGTCTCGCGTGTTTGATCTCCGTCACGATACAGCCATTGTGTTGCCACACACGTATACATAATAAATTCCAGAGTGTAATAGATCATTTTTACGCCCTCAGCATGGCCGGTTTCACCAACTCCTAGGTACGCTTTTGAGGCCTTGGGGTATTTCTGTTCAGAGTCTCACATTTCAAGCGGGGTCTGTGTGTGTGTGTGTGTGTGTGTGTGTGTGTGTGAGAGAGAGAGAGAGAGAGAGAGAGAGAGAGAGAGAGAATGGAACTAGAATGAGGTGTACCGTGTAAGAAATGCATGTATTTTTGTTATTTATATCTGCCTTTCCTCCAGGGAGCTCAAGGTGGCGTATAAGGTTCTCATCCCTCTCTATTTTATCCTCACAGCAACCCTGTGAGGTAGGATAGCCTGAGAGACTAGGTCACTGAGTGGGAATCAGAACCCTGGCCCTGTGGGAGAAAAGGGCTAGGTGGCAGTGAATGGGAAGCAAGTATGTTTGTTTCCCTTCCTTTGCTTCTTTCAAGGCACCCATATCTAACATAGTGCTTGGAAATTCTGAAGGGTTTTAGTCAGATATTTATGAAATTTCAAGTAGCCTCGAGTCCACACAACAGAGAAAGATATCAATATATATATATTAAAAGCTTCATTGTGCTTACCCATGCTCTACACGTTCAATTAGCAATATTCATCTTGAAGGCAGAGAACAAATTATGCAAACCACTGTTTGTATTTGATTAATTTATTAGATCATGGACACAGACTCAATTCTGCATCAGCAGACGCAGTTACAATTTTAGTAAAGACAGCACCACTTACTGTGGGTCAGGTACAGTGTCTTGCAAAGTACTGAAATAGTAAAAGAGAAGGAGGCACTATCAAACATAGTAGGTTGGAAACGAGAGTAAAATCCCTCCACCCTCTCTTCAACCGGCCTCTCAAGAGGCATCACCAGATACTACCTTCATGTGTTAAACCCCCATCTCTACGGAAATGACGAGGACTAGTCATTTCCCCATTAAAAACAAAGGTAGGATTACTGTATGATGAATGATATGGATTTAGGAGGGAGAGGAGCTGGCCTCGAAAACAAACATGCTCTGCAGAGTGGGCAGGATACTGTGCTGTACTGGAAGTCTCAGGGTATGTCTTGTAGCACAGTTATTCACTAACCCTTCTCACAAGCCCTCTACCAGCAATTTTGTGAAACAGGGGCATACAGCTGCTGCTGCTGCTGCTAACTCAAATCTTAAACTACTGCCCTCTGCAAATAAGCCTTAGAGGAACTGGCAGGAATTGCTCTTTGGAGCTCCCATTAGGAAATAAATTCAGGAAGAGGGATGCTTAGTATAAAAACTGATCACGTACTCCATTCATACGGGAATACCGAAACCGTCTGTGCTTATTGTGATAGCTCACAGTTCATGGAATTTAAGACTCTCTCAAAGCATTCTGACCATTTTAACAGCAAAAAAACAAACACCAAACCGAAGGTTTTAAAAAACACCAAGGGTTTCTCCAAATGCCACATCAAGAACACAGTTGCTTATCTTGTAATGGGATAAGCAAATTGTGTAAGAATGTTATAACCCTCACAGAGAAAGATGCCTCACATGATTCTGCTCACAGCAAACGACTCAAGAATCCTGGGATTCTTCACTTGCAGGCAGTCTAGATGAATTTTTTCGAAACCTTTACAAAAGCAAAGCAAAGGTCATGGGGCAAACGAAAGGACAGTTTTATCTTAAAGGCAAAGGGTAGACATGAAACAAAGTAACAGTGCAAGAGACCAAAATTCTAGTTCTTGAAACCACAAGAAGTGGCTCTCAGTAGTGTTTCTTCACTTAACAGTAATGATACTGTTAAACCAAAGCTTAACATAGGATACAGAGTGCATATAAGCTTGCAAGAGACGAAAGATTGACCAATATCCCACACACACAAACCCCCAATGGGAGCCACCTGAGGATAAGGCACAGCGAGTGAAACTCTGAAAACTTGCTATTCAACAATGGGCGTGTTGCACCCTCCACAACAGCCTCTGCCCTGGCACACTCATGCAGTTTCACACTTCAGTTACAATGGAAGACTAGTAAGAGAAGGGCTGGGTGTGCACACAAGAACCTACCCAAGATAACTCAAATCCTATACCAAGAAATGTGGAATTCTACAACCTATTATACAAATTTAGCCAATTTGCATGATTCTGTTTCTGCCCCATTTGCTATTTCTAATGCTGCTAGTCATGCGTTAGTGTCAATGAACCACACAGAACAATGAAGGCTTCTCTTTCCCTTGACCACCAGTAAGCTTATCCAGCTGTTCCACTGGTTAATATTCCACTAGGCACTGCCCACATGTTTTCAAGCACCTCTTGTTGGCTACAAAGGACTAGAACCATTTTTGACTCCCCAAAAATGGTCCAGGTCCATTTTCAGAAAACAGAGTTCTGCACCAGGACATGTGAGCATCTCCTGCACTTCCATGGAATGATGGCACACACAGTACTACTGATTCAGAGCTGTAAGCAGCCAGTCCTCTGAATTTGCATCTCCAATATTGTGCAGTTATTCTTGGCAGCATGTGCGTCTTTCACAGCTTCACAACATAGAGGCTCCTGCATGTCTGCATTGCGCTGCTATGTTCTATCAACCAGCATCCAAACCTGTAAGGCAACCGTTTCAGGAAACCAGGCAGATGAGGCCCAAAAGCTGCAACCTGCATTACACTCTTAAGATTGGTCTTGTCCCTATTTTCCATATGAAGCCATAGTTAAAATTACAGTTTAAAACGATGGCTTAGTGTTATGTCTGAACCCACCCCGCAAGTGGTAAGCCAAGAACAAACCTTGATTACCAATCATTGGTGGTTTGGAGTAAAATAAATCAAGGTTGTGGGTTTCGACATAATGGTAAGCCATAGCAACACCAGGAGTGCAGGAGCAAACCACCCGCAACTTCAGCAGCGCCTAGTAGCACACTCCATGTTCACATTAAACCACAGTTTATTTTAACTATGGTTTAATATGATGTGCAAATCAGGCCACTATGCATTTTCTTGCAGCTAATCCTGGGGGGAAAAACACTTATCAATAGGGACAGCTGTGGAAATGAAATCAAAACTGGTATCTTGATCACCATTCCTGAATCTTTGTTCAGAGAAGGAAATATTTGGAACAATAAAAACTTATCCTGGACTGTTCTTCAAGATGTATACAGAAAGACACATGCTTCAGTCCTCTATCTGAAAACAAAAACAAACAAACAAAAAACCCATGCCAGAAGATGACCAGGCTGAGCATGGTTTTTAATATACATAAACTTTTTCTAGAAGGAATTGTATTCAAATATGTGATTCCGTCATCTGCAGCCTGAAATGGTACAGCCCAGGGGGGGAAAACTTCATTGCTTGATTTTGCTAAAAACAAAACTAACTGCTAAGAGTCTCCAGGCATAAAGTATGTCTGCCACCTTCAGCAAAACTCAAATACCTTTTGGCAGAGTCAGTAAGCTGGGAGAGCAAATTTGAGGTTTTCATCTTGGTAGTGGGTGATGCGAGTTTCACATTTGTGGTTTTTAAAATGCTATATAAACCTGGTCTGAGGTTTTAGGACAGGATGAAATAGGAAAATGTCTCTCTGTGTGCCAGGTTCCCCTTGTACAAACACACCTGGTCAATAAGGAAATGCAAAGCCACCCCAACCCCAACCCGTCCCCCCCCCCCAAGGCAATAAAAACAGACCTAACATGGGGAAAAAGGAAGGAGGAAGAAAGCAGTGCTTTGGCCCAGAATGTGCAAGTATAACACAGGTGCCTCATTTAAGAAGTTTTAATTCCACTGCCATTTTGAACTTAGGAACCCCCTTCACAGTTGCTTCACAAAGGGTTTATCTACGGGAAGCTAACATTATAGGGAACATAATCTTTAATAAAAATTAAACACACATCAAAAATGCACAGTGCATTTAACTTCTCTTCCCAGCAAGCTATGCTGGGTAAGACTTAATTTTCCTCCAGAAGAAAAAAGGAATTCCTCCAACCGAGCATTAGCCCTCAACATGAGGGACTGCCTGGTCATTAACATAAAAGTGGATGAATTTCCATCATCGTTTAAAAAAAAAAAAAAAAAGATTAAGTAGAAGGTGAGGGAGCTTTTGTAGTGTATGGCCAGCAAGCCTACCTTGATCCTATATTACAAACTTTTTACAACATACAAAATAGATCAATATTTATGATTATAACACGTATTTCCCAACCCGCAAGTTATTCAAGAGTAAATATACACAATAATTATAACAAATCTGGTACCAATCACATGACAGAAGTACTGTGTAAGGCAAAAAAAAAAAAAATCAACCAACCAGCTAGCTAGCTAGGTCTGATGTTATAACCATCTGCATCAAGTATAAAGAGCAGGGGCCAAGAAGATGACAGGAGTTCTGCTTCTGTTTCAGGATCAATAGTGTTCAGCAGAGAACGGGATGCATCTACTTCTGGGAAGCAGTGTAGCAGTGATTTCCGAGCAGGCCACCACGCATGGAGACAAAGCCACACCAAGAAGAACATGTGCAATCTACAACTGGAGTGTATTTCTTGCTTACTGGTAAAAAGGCAAATGAGAATGCCGCTGCTCTGACCTCAAGCCCCAAATCAAGCACTATGAGATCTCCCTCCGATGGCAGGCCAGGTTTTCTGTGCTACAACCAAGACACCTAGATTGCACAGGTGACACTTCCACAGGGGGAGCAACAAGCACCCCAACAGTCACGTGCACAGATGGCAACTCTCCTCCTCCTCCTCGTGTGCAAGAAGCACCGAGAACATGATCACCTGTGTACAAAATATATTGCATGAAGGGGGCTCTCTAGTCACCCCCAACCTTAGCAGCTACTTTGCTGGAGTGGATTATTAACCGTCACAACGATCAACTCCAAGTTAGGAGTGATCAATTTACCGTTTAACCGTTTGCATTTGCACACACTGGCTGGGGGGTGCTGCTTGGAATAGGATACCACTCATAACCAGAGCTGAATGCTTCCCTATCTGACTTCCTTCCGGTGCCTCAGGGTGGGCAGGCAGCCGGGACCCACTCAACCCTCAGCACAATGGTAAGCCCCCAAAACACGCCTGCTGCCAGAGGGCATTAATACATAGGACAACTCCTTCTCAAAGCTACCCACGGCTGGAAGAGACAAGATGGGGCCGTGACTTCATTCGTGGAAACAGTAGGAAGTGATCTTTCCGAAGAGGCAAGACAGTCAATGTCACAGTCTGAACAACAACTACAACTTGGGGCCTAAAGTGCACTCTGCCCTGCATGGCCGCGACATTTGCGCCCATGGCAATGCCATACATGTGGCAGTAGCGGCTGACAGATTATAATCGGCATGATTAGGAGTCACAGGGACTTGTACTGGAATGCTAGCAGCCGACACTCAAGGGAAAGATGACAGCTTCAGATCTGCAGGACAAGGAGCGCTGCAGCGATGGAGTGTAAATGTGCACCCTGAATTTCACTTGTGCTATCATGGATGCTGCTACATTTGTATAGCTTTCCCCATTTAGAATTAGCTCCAAGCAATGCTGTTTATACTAATTTTCTCCCCTCCTCTCTTCAAGTTAACCACAATTTTAACGTGTTAGTATGTAGTGTCTGCATTCAAAAACGGAATAGCTATTTCAGTCCTTCTAATGCTCACCTCTTAAAAAGAAAAAAACCAGAATTCCCCACTTCGCAGGCATTTCTCTGCCCTACGATAGGCAAAGATCAGTTGCTTCAACCTGGCCCAGAGATCCAAAACAGTCCTGTTTGGCTTGCGTTTCTGGAAAATATTCACTGGACCCTTGATCTTGAACAGTAGTTGTTTATGAACTGGGGTGGCTCTTCCCTCCATGACACGAATGGCAAGGGAAATGAGAAACCCACACAGATCTGCAGAAAAGGGTTCTCACCCAGCTGTGCCAAGAGACATCCTTTTAAGTCCAGGTATGAAATGCATAGATGGAAGTGAGTAATGGTAGGTTTGTCCGGGTTCTTGAAACAGTTTGGGAGTTGGGGGAATCAACAGCAGGAATGTATTTTTCATGCAGGTTTCTGAGGGAAGGGAAGGGAGGGGAAAATCTGAGAACATAGGTCCATTTTTTTTGGTGCTGTGGAACCATGCCCAGCTGCTGTTTTTCACCTTGGGATGGGAGGCAGAGGAGGGGCCCCACGAGTAGCTGAAAAAGAAATAGACTGTTAATGCCACAGATGCATCACCATAGGAAGTTAGGCTCTACAAACATGCTGATAATAATAATAACAATAATAATAATAATAATAATTTATTTATACCCCGCCCATCTGGCTGGGCTTCCCCAGCCACTCTGGGCGGCTTCAAAAAAATAATAATTAAAATACTGTACTACATCAAACATTACACAAAGCAAAAGAGATTATTATTATTATTAGTAGTAGTAGTAGTAGTAGTAGTAGTAGTAAGTATACCACCCTTCACCCAAAGATCCCAGGATGGTTTACAACAGAAAATGAGAACAAGGATAGTTCACAATAGAAAATCAGACACAAAATACAAAACAAAACAAAATCAATAACCTCCCAATAATCAATACAAAGTTTCCACATTGCTACCGCTATCCCTAGGTAGTCATTTTGCCAGGGCTGAGGAACCTCTAGGTGCAGACCTCATTAGACCCAGGCCTCCCTGTTTGGCCCAGGAGGCTATTTTTGCCAAGCTGCATCCACTTGCCCTACACCTGACATCAAGTGCAGGGCAGGTAATAAGCTCAGCTGAAGGGGGCTTTGCAGGCATTACTGATCAGCTGGGACTGCAAAGCCCCGTACCAAGTGCTCAGCAAGGCCAGGCTATCAGCTGACAGTCAAGTGTTTTGAAATCCTTTGTAAAGTGCCATGCAAGACCTGTTGGGTGAAAAAAGGATGACCTGGCACCACTGTGACACCAGGTGACTTACAGGTGGATGGATCTGTCCATCTATAAAACCTGGTCCACATGGGATGGGGGAAGATAATAATTTGCTGCGCTAGCCAAATTCAGTTCCCCACCATTGCAAGATGCAGATTTGAGTTTAGCAAAAAACAAAACAAAAACAAAAAACAAAAACTGAATCATACTGAATCATAGAACTGTAGAGTTGGAAGGGACCCCAAAGGACATCTAGTCCAACCCCCTGCAGTGAAGGAATCCTGCCCACAGCCATCCCTGGGTGGGCTCAAACCACCAACCTTCTGATTAACAGCCAGACATGCTAACCCGTTGTGCCACTTCAAACTTGCACATCGTTCTCATGTTTTCCAGGTAGCTAGGCTTCTGCATCTTGTTCAGCCCATTCCAGCAAATCCTTTGCCATGAAGAGCAGTGAGTCATCACGTTCCCACCCCCAGGGCTCCCCAGTCGGTCTGCTTCTGCAGCTGCTCCTGTAACTACCTCCTGCATTCCCTCTTCTTCACAAAAGCACAATGAACTTGGACAAGTCTAAATCAAAACCAGTGTTAAATTTATGCAAGACTGCACAGTTTGCATAATTTGAAGGCCCGGAAACAGAATGAAGGAATTGTTGATGATTTTAAATAAAATCATCTCATTTGTAATGCTGGCAAGCCATATTCTCAGTCCCATGGAATTAAATTGTTTATCACAACTTGCCAAATTTTCAAGCATGGAGCTGAAAATAGTTTGCTTTACGAACTATCAGCCAGATACCTGGGAGACCAATAAGCAGATGTGAGCCAAATCAGTGCTCACCTCTATTCGTTTTGCTGGGATAAATCTTCTGGAAGTGCTTGAACTCTTCTGGCGCTGGGAAATCTTCCACTGGATGAAAGGAGTATTTAGATTCAAAGTCATCTGCAGAAAAGGAGGAAAATAAGGCCTGAAAACCATTTCTGGTCTGAAGGATTCCCACTGCCCGACTTTTTGCATCCATAAAACCCTGAGGTTGGAATGATGGCTAAAATGGCAAAACTTGAAGCAGCCCCACCCTGAAAGTAAGGCTAGGGGCCGCTCTCTCCAGGTGCCAAATTTTGGTCACCATTATATGCAGATGACAGACTGAGGGCAGAATCCACCAGGAAATCAGTGTCATCTGGTAATAAGAGCTTTGTGTAGAGTGTCAGAATGGGCATGAGTCAGCATTTCAACATTCCTATAGATATACCTATCTATATATATAGTTTGTGTCACTGCTTCTCCAAGTAGCTGTTTGGGCATTCTGTACAAAATGAAATGTAACTAAAATAAACTGTTACAGACTATAAATAAAAGCATCCAGTGGATATATAATTCAAAGCATCAGATGCTTAACAAGCTGTCAACACCAAAAGGGAGAGAGCGACTCCATCTGTACACATGCTAAGCCAAACCCAACGAAGGATAATAAAGAAGTTCCCAGAGAACTTTGCATCTCCTTTTCCAGGTTGCTAGAAGTGAAGCCACAGTTTGGCTTAGCTTCAGACATTTGGTCTATTTTGCTTCAGACCAACCATGAGATGTTGGCAATGTTTGTTCTGCGGCTGGACACGCTGAGTTTGTCTGGAGCAAGAAAAGCCATGAACCCGAATTTAGACATAGCATTAGGGGAAACCATGGCTTAGCTCACAGCAGTGCAGCATCAGCAGGATGGAAGGAGGAGCAAAACTGCAGCAATCTCCTCTCTGGGAACCCACAGGGTCACTCATTCATGCCAAGCCATACTATGACTTGGCAGTCTATGCCAACACGTCTATGCCAGTGTCTTTCATTTTAGAGATGCTTCCTAAGCTTGTATGAATGAAGTTTCATCCCCAACACACACACACTTCTTCCTGGCCGATCGCAGTATTTTTCATAGCCACCGATACCAGCCAAACCAGCAGAAGTATCGTAATTCTGGGCAGGCTGGTTTTCCTTTGAATCCAGCACATGTCTCAAAGCCAACTTAAATGCACCTGACACCTATAATTTAAGGTAACAGCAGGTTCTTTCTACTCACCTCCTAAGAAAGACCTGACAGTGGAAATAGAGTCCCGGTGTCCATTTCTCATGGGTGGGGGAGGGGGAGGAGGTCCAACTGGCGTCCTGGTGGGTGGGGGTGGGGGTTTCCCACGGCTCATAGGGTCTGACGTCCCGTGCATTCTGTAGGGTGGGGGAGGCGGAGGCGCATCTCTACCGCCATTTCGGATCATGGGTGGTGGCGGTGGAGGGGCTGCAAAGGAAATTTCCCAGGTCAGGATTTCATGAGCTAGCTTAGTAGCCAAAAAAGGGAAAAGCAGAGTTCCCTAGGCAAATAGCCCTAGGCCTTCCATCAACATCATTGGCTCTGCAGGTCCTTGACAGCCTTGTCTTTTCCTTGCACCTGCTATATAGGGTTCCGGGTTTCTTTTCCTGACCTCCCAACTCCATTAAGGAATTTTCTTACTTATCGAAGAGGCTAATTCACCTATGTGACCCTTAGCATGGCGAGTTGTAGGCTACCAAGCCCTTGGTGAGCATTGTGCGCATACTCAAGTGACTGTAAAATTGCTGCGTTCTGATCGCAACATACCTGTACCAACTGTCCTCTCTGCTTCTTTTTGAAGGGTTTGCAGCTGCATGGGGAGTCATGATCTGAGCACAAAATAGGCTGATCAGATGATTGTGCTCCACAGTAACAAACACCCCACACTAAACAGGTAGGCTTATTTGTAGGACAAGAATGTAAGACCTGCTTTTTGTTGTCGCTGTTCCGGAAAGCACGAGCATCTACTAATTAATGACCAGCTTTTTAATAACTATGAAGCTGCAGGGTCCTTTTTAGCAAGTCAGCTGTTAGGAGGGCAAGGCATACTTTTCTGCACAACACAGAAAACTAAATTCGATCCCACATGTCTTGGTAGGAAGACTCTCGCTGTGAAACTTGAATTTATATTCCAGTCTTCCAAGCACCAGTAACATGCTATGGAGGAAGTACCCTTTGTGCACGATGCCTGGGATAGGGAAGCTGGTCCTTCGGGTGCTGAGTTGGACTCAAAACTCCCAGAAGCCATAGCCAGCATGGTCAAAAATTGGCCACAACTTAAAACAACGGAAACTGCACATCCACACCATCATCCTTGTCTTTGAACAGCTCTTTCGAGCCTTCAAATGTTTCACCTGCAGATTTAAGAGGAGTGACAACTCTTCGCTGGCATCCATCTGCCTTGGGAGACAATGGAAGAAGAGTATGCCTTTGGAAACAACTGAGACTGTGAATTTGTGGCTTGGCCAGGTGACACCTAGCAAGTTTGTGGCAAAGGTATGGTTCAAACTGAAAACTTCCTAATTCACAGCCCACTCGTAGCTGCTATGCTACAGAGCATGAAACGAGGCCATTCCTAACCTTCTTAAACCCACCGCGTACACATCCTGGCACCAAGATCGGAGGCATTTTTTTCTCTTGAGAGATTAACAAGAGGCTGTCAACGCCAAGACCACTTCCAGTTTTTCACAAACAAGGGCTAGGAGATGCTCTTACCTGCGCCCCGGCTTGGAGGGTCACGGGCAGGAGGTGGGGGCCGACTGCTCTGTAAAGAAGGGGAGGCTGAAGGGGGCGGGGGAGGAGCCATACCCCTCCCAGGCCCTGGTGTCTTTCGATGCAAGGAATTGTGTCTCTGCGGAAGCTCGGGAGCGGACTCGTTGGTGGGGCTGGCAGGGCCGTTGGGTACACCGGGGGGTTGGCGGTAAGGTGGAGGAGGGGGCGCCAGAGACTGGCCCTGACTGCTTGGTCCCGTTCGGATATTCACTGGGGAAGGGGGCGGCTTGATAGGGGGAGGAGCCGGCGGTCCATCCCGAGTCCCTGGGAGCCGCTGTCCTGGCGTTGGTGGCAAGGGCTTTTCGCGGTTGTAGGAAGGTGCTTTGCTGCTGTGCATGGGAGGAGGGGCAGGGGGTGCGTTGGCTCGGCGTCCTGGGGGTGGAGGCGGCGGAGCCGATGAACTGTGTTTCATGCCGGTGCCGCTGGCGGTATTTGGCCGCGAGAGATCTGGCAAGGAAGGTCTCTGCATGCGCGGAAGTTCCGGAGGGGAAGCCCGGCTGTTGTCAGCGTCATCTTGGGGCCGGCTGCTGGTTGCAGACACCGGGGGCCGCGGAGCCGCTGATCTGGACCCAGGGACCTGGAGGCACTGCTTCCCAGAGGGACTTTCTGAAACCAAGGAAAGACAGCACAGAGTTGCTTGTTAGAGAAGCGAAATAGATCAACATCTCCTTCCAATATAAAGCCAGTGATATACTGTTCATGCAGAGCCTATATTCTAAATGACTGGGAGGTTTTCAGGTGTCTGGACACAAATGTTTCCCACAGCAGAACGGATGAACGAGGCAAGTCAAATTTTAATTGCTGGACATAGAAGGGACATCAGGGGAAAGAAAAGGGCGACTTCTTGATTGCCAATGTAATCCTGGCAGGCAGCTAAAGCTTTGGACAATTCACTCATTTAGGGCTGCAAAATTCTGTTATTCCGTCCATTAACTTCCTACATCTACAGCTTCCTGAACAAGGGTCCTCTGATTCCCTTGCCTGTTCAACCCACTTGGCCTTCCTGGCATTAACAGCACACCACCCCTCATCTCCAAGCACTGAGAAAGTCCTCACTTCCAGCACTTTATCCTTGGCCAACCCTACGTCCACATGCAGCTCCTTCGGAGCCCACTGCCTCCTACTTTCCACCAGTGCAACTTTTCCTCACTGGATTCTCAGCTTTCAAGCTCCTTGTTGCCCCTTAACTTCTCTCTCTTCTCACCCATGTTTCAGAAGCCTAACTGGCTTCAACTATAAGTCAGGTGTTAAGTGTTGATGGTCCCTTGCTGTGGAATGCTCTTCCAGCAGAGATTCGGCAGGACTCCTTGCTGGTAATTTTCTATCATCTCTCCCAGAAGTATAACCATTCACTTGCTTATACTTTTCTCCATTGAGGCAGTTTTTAAAAATTAGTTTCTGTTTTTAAATACAATTTTATATTGTGCTGTACTTAATGCATTTTGTTGTAAACTGCCTTAATATAGTCATATGAAGGGGAGGTCAACAAATAATACACACACAGTAGCTGAATGACAAGTGTTCAACCCCAAGGGATTTTCACGGCAGCCAACAAGTTAAATAATCAAGTCAAACAATGATCGATATTAAAATTCAGAACAGAAACTTATCAGAGGTAATGTAAACACACGTCTCTTTGGGGAAGGCATTCCATAGACAGGGTGCGCTTCACCCCTACCCTCAAAAACCCTCTCTTGGCCACCACCGGCTTCACCTTAGATGGCCAGAGTATCCAAAGGGGGACCTCAGAAGAAGATCTAGAGGTCCAAGTAAGTTCACGTAGAAGCAAGAAGTCTTGTAATACACCAGTAATACACAGGCAGACAGGTGGGGGAGGAGACATGGTTTCCACCCTTGATATTAAGCCTGACAAGTCTCAGCTCCACAGGCATTAAGTGCCACTACAACCCACCATAAATTTTCCTGATCGTTTCAATAAGGCATGGACTTGCTCTCAAAACCAAGTTGCAATCACTCTTCGCAGGAGCTAGGGGACTTGATCACTCAAACACAAGGTTCAATGTCTGGTATTTCACAAATCATGATTTAAATGACTTTTATTCAGTCTAGTCCAGTCCACATTCTGTGGTCCTCACCTGAACTGTCTTTTACTCCCACAGGTCGAAGCTTGGGGACACCACCCTGGAAGAGGCCGCCCTTTGGTGGCAGAGGGGATGCGCCGGAGTTGTAGCCGCCACTGCCCTTGGATTCTGGAAGAAAAAGGCCCCTGGGTTATTTATTTAATTTCTAAACACATTTTTTAAAATACCACCTCAGGAACATAGGGAACTACCTTATTCTGAGACAGACCGTAGATCCAAGCCACTCAGTTTCAGGCAGGAATTTCCCCCAGCTCTAACTGGAGGTGCCAGGGATTGACCCTGGGGCTTTCTAATTACAGTGGAACCTCTACTTACCACCATAATTCATTCCAGCGGCCCGTCCTTAAGGCGAAATGGGTTGCTGGTACCGTTGTGTGCATGTGCAGATGGCAGCAGCCGCTTCTGTGCGTGTGCAAACAGCCGTTTCTGTGCGTGCGCGAATCGCGGCAAACCCGGTATTTACTTCTGGGTTTGCCGCGGTTGCGACTTGGATTGAACCCAAGTAGAGGCGGTCATAAGTAGAGGCTCTGCTGTACACGAGAGATGCTCTAAAGAGACGCTCTGCTCTACTCTACACTGAGCTATGGTTCTTCTCTTCTGGGCTTTACATAGGCAGCCTCCACCATATTCTTTTACTCAAGATGCTGCTTCTCAGCATGTGGGCAAGGAAAAGACCCAGTGGTATTGGAGTCACCTCCTCCTGAAGTGGCAGTATGAAAGCAGAGAAGGTAATAACTTTACTGCTCAAGATCACATGGGTATCAGACAGCGGCTGCTGCTTAAAGAGCTAAGCACGAATACATCGTAGGCTGTGCATTTACCTTCACACCAGGATTTAGAGACACCTGTTTCCGAGGATTCAAGTGTGCAGCTGCCAGTTTTATTTTACTGCTAACTGCAACACTTTATTTCAAGCATTTGCAGCACTGGGACCTGTGCAGTTTAGGAGGTAGTTTGCTGCCTTCCTTCAGATAACAAAGAGAACATTTTTTGCAACTACAAATGCAGACAGGAGAGTGCTGCTTGTGAGCTTCCCAGAGGCATCTGACTGGCCATGGTGGGAATGCTGGATTAGCTAGACCTTTGGTCTGATGCAGCAAGGCTCTTCTTATGCTGGCATACAGAGGGGGACTGTGCAAGAACTCATGCTGCCAAAAAAGGAGGCTTCTATGCTTTACGCTGTCAGAGGGAATGATGGCCTCAGTCACAAAACAAAGGGACTGACTGCACAACCTTTCCCCCAACAGATCAAGTGAGAGAGCTACTGACAGCTCAGTCTGAAGAGCCTGAGACTCTTCATCTCAGGGTCGTGGGTTTGAGTCCCACATGGGGCAAAAGAGTCCTGCATTGCAGGGGGTTGGACTAGATGACTCTCGTGATCATTTCCGATTCTATGATTCCACGAAGGTATGCAATCCAGACCACCAAGTTCCACAAGCTATGAGTGAGTTCAGCACAGAAGGTACACGCTGAGAAGTGACCTGAGCAGCGCAGTCATTAATTGCTACTCCTGCAAGGTTCTGCTCAGGAGTAAAGTAGGGAAATGGGGTGGCATGTTGAGAATGACTCGCGGCGTACGCCAGCAAATGACTCCAAGTAACTCAACTGACTGAACCCAGCCACATGCTGCAGTGCAAGTGGGGGGAAGAGTCCTCCCCTTCCGGCCCTTCTGTCTTTCCCCAACTCCTCATACAGCACAAAGCCAGATCAAGCACACAGCGTATCAAACAGACAAATGTAAGCAAACGCCTCACCCCAAGGGCAATGTTATGGGCCACAGCCCTCTCCCTCCCCACCTGCATCACCTGATGCCTCTGTTTGTAGAGATTCTAGGCCATTTCCTCCCATACCTGCTACTGAATTCTTTTAAGAGTGAATGCTCAACAGAAGGGCTGAGCACCATCTGGAAATTGGGCGGCGGGGGGGGGATCACCGAGAGCTTTCCCAATTAGATAGCAAATATCATATTGCAACTGCCCCAGACCCCATGCTTACTCTCAATGACGGGTGCACTCCGGTCATTGACTTGGGTCACCTTTTTCAACTTGGCCCCTTTACAGATGTCTTGCAGCAAGGCTCCCCTCCCTCGCTGCTCATCCCTGTTCAGTTTTGGAGGATCTGTGTTAGCCTGAAAGGAGAAGATCGGCAACCAGGTTAAGTGGAGAAAGGGAAGCACAGGAGTAGTTCTTGGGTGCCCCTGTGAATGCTTCTCAGCAGGGCTCTTTGGATGTGGACAGCAGGGACAGGAGGACCACCTACCTGATTGAAAGTTGGGGGTGGGGGTGGTCCAGGGGGAGGGGGAGGAGGTATTGGCATCTTTGCCCCACTCCCTGCCGACTCAGTGTAAAAAGAACTTTTGGTCACTCATAAACCTGCAATGACAGGGGTGAAACAGAAAACTGTTACGAAGGAGAAACAACAGCAAATGAAATAGAAGGCAGTGATGGAACCTGGTGGGCATTGTTGCAGTTTCATACCCACTTCACTACCTGTCATGAGAGAATGCCATTGAGGTAAGTATTTTATTCAGCTGATTAAAAAAAAAAGAGTATTTCATACAAGGTGACTGCAAGGCAGTTAAGAAAATAAACACAATAGAAGCAGGAGCACCACTGCATAATAAACAACACACCAGGATAAGAACTAAAATGCTTTAGAGGCGAGGGGAAACGATGGTCGCTGCAAGCAAGCTTTGAAGCTGCAGACCCAGGTGACACACATGCAATATAGACCATATTCAAAACAACATTGGGGCACACATGGAGGGCAACAGGTAAATCAAAATTATCTGCCTTAACTGAAAAAGTGAAATGCAGTTTAAAAATAAAAATGACAACTCAAGTATTCCACTCTCCCCCCGCCCCCGCAAAAAAGCCACCCCACGTTTTACTGGATTATCAACAGAGATGATGATGATGATGATGATGATGATGATGATGATAGTGATGTGAGGTGAGAATATTCTCTGCTAGAAAATTCTCCAGAGAATATTCTCCACAAACTGTAAGTTCTAATGTAAGAACTGGTTTTACAATCCACATTTAAAAAATCCAGTAAACAATAAGTCAAGCTGTGATATTGCCAGTGTAAGTAGTGTAAGTTAGCGGCAGGCTTAGTGATTAACGTCAGTCATTCACGCTGAATTTTCAAATTCAAGTTTGGTGCAAAAAATCAAAGACTGTGAATTCAATGCATTGCCCCACTGAATAAAAGTATCTGTACAGTTTTTGGTTGCCATCTAAACAAGTTTACCCATGAATAAACATGCATATTAACTAATTATATCATTTTCAATGCAGTAAAATGAATGTTCTCCTATTTTAAATGAAAATTCTCTAATATTCTCATTAGTCGAGAATATTCTCGAGAACTTAACATTACTACGCCCTATACCCGGAGGTCTCAGGGCAGTTCACAGAATAAGATTAAGGAAGGGCTGTTTTATATTGTGCTATCATTTACCATTGCTGGCATTCTGAGCTGCTCTCTACCATCTTTTGCATAAGCCACGGAACTAGCCAACAAAATGGAAGGATAAAGGAAAAGAGTGGTAGCAGGTAGAAGTCAAGTGTGCTCATACCTCTGTACGATATACAGAATTTTAGCTATGGTACCCAGATTTCTAGTTTTCTTGTTTATTTTTAAAACCCTTTCTCATACGGAGGTACCATACTTTTCCGTGTATAAGACTCTATTTTTTCCCTGAAAAATATTGCTAAAAAATTGGGGACGTCTTATACATCGATAGTGAATAGGGTGGACGTTTGATTGGTTGCTGCTGCGTCTGTTAGCGGTTATTGTGTGTGTGATTGGTTGCTGCGTCAATGGGTGGTGTTGACTGGCTGACACTGTGGCAATTGGGCGGGCAATCAGCAGCTTCTGCTGGCGAGGGGACAGAAAGGAGGCGGATTTTGTGACATGTGCAGGTGAGCGATTTATGGCAATCCCCCCCCCCAAAAAAAGCCGAACAACCCTGTGTAATCTTCCCCCATTTTCTGAAATTTGAGTCCCCAAAAATATGGGGCGTCTTATCCATGGGGGCATCTTATAGACGGAAAAGTACAGTAAACAGCCTCCTAACAAGTGACACTCTGAACATAGGTATACCACAAATTTAATCAGGTTTGAAAGAAACTCATTTAACGGCCATGGTTCCCAACCAAGGAACCACCCCAGACAACTATAGTCTTGTGAAGAGACCAAAGATCTCTTAACAACATACTCAACACTCTCCCAAATCGACCGTTCCAACAGTTCTCCGAAGAAAGCCGTGACAATTTAAGTGATATAAAACTAGTTTCGATTTGTAGAGCAGATTGACTCATAATGAAAACCGCCCCCTGGTGAATATATTTCGTGAACACAACTATAATAAGTGAGCCTGGAAAATTCCCAGGGTCAAAAGCACTTGAAGTCTGGTGAGGGAGGGTGGGGATCAAAGAATTCGACATGTTCATATCCCATAACTGGGAATAAGAATGTGCAAGGATGCTTCTGACACTCCTAAGTGCAGGCCAACCTATACCCTGGAAAAGTGAACAGGAGTTCAGTTTTAATACAGCACTACGTTAGCTGGTAGTGCTATAGCAGGCGCAGCATAACCTGATTGACAGGCAGAAACATCCACCACCACGTCACCACAGAAATACTTTGGACGAAGCAGATACAGGAAGAAGGGGTGTGATTCACCCTAGATACACAATGCCGATACCTGTCAGAAGCACAAGCCCAACGACATCAAATTACCAGTCGGAACTATTACAGACAAGCCAGTCTAATGCTAGTGGAATGCACCCGGTTTCAGCACCTGCCTGTCCAAGGAAGGGAGTTGCAGCAGCTCAAGGCAAAGCAGAGGAATGGAGTTCTGATGAACTCCAACCAAGGAGGGGCTGCCAAGAAAGCTGACTCCCCTGAAACCCTCATGCAAGGCAACCCATAATAGTACTTAAGAGACCGGATACCTTTGCCAAACCCCAGCTCTGCCAGAGGAGGTGTGAAGCTTTTTAAAATACTGGCTAAAAAGCAAGTCCAATACTGAATGAAAAAAGCTTGTGAGACCGCAACTCCAGGCATCTCCACCACTACAAGAGCAGGCAAAAGTAGGTATTTCCCAGCCGAAAGGCACAATCCACTAAGAACGTTTCCCACATGTGAAATTAAAAGAAGCTGCAAGAACACACATCTATTCTGGATATGCTCTAGGGCACCTGCAGTTTCCAAACCTGAAAAAAACTTTGTTTTTAAAGAAATGCTTCTGACCTTCATGGATACAGAGATGTGAAAGAGGATGCTTGCATCAGCTATTTCCCCTAAAACAGATTCCCAAAGTGGTGCCCTCCAGGTGTTGCTGGACGACAACTCTCAGCATCGTTGATCACTGGCCATGCTGGCAGAGGTTGATAGGAACTGCAGTCCACTATCACATCTGGAGGGCCGCACCTTGCCTACCTCTGGTCCCAAATATCCAGGGAACAGAAAATATTAGGTACCTCCAATTTCAACATTCATGAAAGCGGCGTGCAAGCTATGTGGCAGGAAGGAGCATTTCCTCTCAAATAATCATTTTGCTGTCCTTTCCCTAAGTACGGCAATGACAAACACAGGACTGTAGAGGAACAGAGAATTAAATGCACTATGTTAAATGCAACATAGCACCTCGCGGCAAACAAGCCAAGTTTGCAAAGATGGTCTCACAGGCTACCCTTAAACAGCTCTTGCAAATAAAGTCATTAAAATCACCAGCCTATTGGATGTTTTGCCAGCCTGTTTGCCTCCACACACCCTTGGCTAGTCACTTGTGGTCCCCCAAAAAAAGAAGGGATGAAGGAAGAAGTGTTTCGTTCAGGTTTTCCTACTTGGTCTTCTAAGGAAGATTCCTGCTCGCTACAGACAATCTGTCTAGTGGTTACCTGCCAACCTTCCGTAAACTGTGACAGGCTGTCTAGAAGTCATCACTGGAAATCTCAGCTCTGCCTGGTAAGACAGCGGCAGTTGACAAGAGACTGCACAGCCAAGCATCCAAAACTCTGGCAAAGTGACTGAGCCTTCAAAGAGATCAACCTGGAGAAGTGCTGCCACCATGTTTCACACCATTAATGAAATGGAAACACTCTCCCTACTGTTAGGTAAATGTTCTTTGTTTGTTCTTTTTGGACCAGTGATATTTTGTTTGACCTATAAGTCGGTCTCCCTTAAAGCTGGCTGGGCGATACTCCACAAGAATATACATGCTTCTATTCCACTGCTTATTTTCCTTCTTCCCGTCCCCACTTGTTTGCAAATCGGGCGCCTCTACCTTTTATTGTTTAGAACAGGCTAGATATTAGAAATGCAACCCGATTAAACAAATGTTGATTCATTGTCAGACGTCTTTGCCCCAACCAGCTGTTGTTGAAAGTATTTCATGCTACCAGGATCTATGCATCCTCTGCCTCGTTACTTGTGGTCAACGTCTACAAGTTTACTGGTGCCCAAAGGACAGGCAGTCTAACCTAACCTGCAGCTGTCCTCAGAGAGCTTCTTTTCTCTGCCTGGAATATCAGATCCCCTTATTTACTCAGATCTCCAATTTAGGAATAAAAATGCTAGATACTAACATATTCAGTAGGAAAGCAATCTAATCAGAGATATGTACACCCAAGGCTAGATATTTGCCACCACTGAGTCATGCCTTTTTTAAAAAAAAGTTCTTAGCATTGTACAATGAAAGTACTAAAAGATCCTCACAACTACTTGAAAGGGAATAAAATTGGATGGAAAATAAAACATACCCAAGATAGGAGCTTTCAATCAAGAAGTCAGAGAACACAATTTAGTTTGTTTCATCTACTGAAGCTCTGCCTCTCCGATTCCATTCCTGTTCCGACTCTCATCCCAGTGTGCAGTCACACTTGGGTTTACAAGCATGCAAAGACGCAATGCCCATGATGTGACTACAATGTTATGGGGGCGGTGTGATAGTTTCAAAGCATGGTCACCTGAGGAGGATGGGAAGTGACTGGTCCAAAGGCAGCAAGCACTCAATTAATCACGCAGTCTCTGGGAATGCATGTGCTGCAAGACATGTAAGCTGGCAAAGATAGCCGAAGCTATGCCTAGCATGAAAAACCCTTGATTGACTGGTGGAGTTTGTCCCATTGCTTCACTTGCTGTATGTAGTAGAACACTGACTTTTTTTCTAAGCAAAACACTGAATCAAGCAACTGTGGAGCAAGTTGCCTGAGTCTCCTCTGCTTTTTGCTTGTGAAAATTTGGTGATTAAACTGTGCACATGATTACTGGGGTGGAGGGGAAGGATCTGAATTTAGAGGGGAAGGATTTAGAATTTACAAAAAGCACCGAGTGAAGTCGCGTATATTTGAAACACCATTGAAAAGGTATACAAACACTCCATTCTGCCCCTTTTGTGACATTTTCATGTCACTTCTGGTTTTGGCGTGATGCGCATGTGCGCAATTGCGCACATAATGAACATGCGTAAATGCCTGTATCACAATGTGCTGGTCACATTGAAGGTGCCAAAGATGACCCCCAAGGTACTATGTCACCATGTTGAAGCTTACTAGTGACTTGTGTTGGAATTTTTATTTATTTTTATTTTGCTGTAGCACTGCTACTGTGGGAATAGAAGTGATTTAATCATAACAGATGCCCTGGCTCATTAACTTCCCAGAAACACAGCGAGCCAGATATAATCGCCCTCATTATTGCAAAAACAAGATGCTGTTTTCTCTCTGCCCAGCATTTACGATATTGACAATTACTTTCCTAACAATGGTCGCCTTTTGCGTGCCTCATATGCCCTAAATGGAACTAAGCAAACATGTTTACTCCCACAATGCAACTTTCTGTGAATGGCAGCAGCGAGAGTGATAAACGCAGCAAAACTGTACAGTATTGGTGAAACGCCTCCTCTCTCTTCTAGCTATTAACAGCTATTTAATAGGTAGTAGCAACATGGGGGCAGTGATCTCTCAGACATGGGGAGCAGGCTTTAACCCAGGGGTCGGCAAGATTTACCTCACCTGGGCTGGTTCACTCCAGCAGAGATCCCTCCGTGGGCTGGATCACGCATGGCCACAATTTCCGGCATCTGCGTCTGTGCAGACACAATTTCTGGCACCGCAGAAGCGAGTCCCCACACAGCGCTAGTTTAGCGCAGCGCATGGGGACTTGCTGAGTGGACGGCTTGGTTCGGGGGCAGCTCAGGAGCCAATTAAACGACCCCCGTGGGCTGCTTGTTTGCCCATGGGCCTTAGGTTGCCTACCCCTGCTTTAACCTCTTCCTAGAGCTCACTATTCACCCAAGCACTCTCAGTTCCCCAAACTGCTAACACCTGTTAACAATGCTAACTGTGGTCTGAAAGCACTGGGTGAGACTTCAAATAAAGGCACCCAGCTAAGGGACTGGGCCAGCAGATTATGCCTTTCCTATACTTTACCAAGATCAGCCAAGAGCATCCTCTGAATGCCACTTAAAACAACACATTTGGACAGCAATGACATGCCAAGAGCCATCCCACTGACAGTTCTCAATTACAGAACTTCCCCCCTCAGGAGCTGGTGTTGCATGGGGACTAAGGGACTGAACTATGTGCCATGATGTCCCCAAACAAAATTCTACATCTACCATGAGCTCACCAAGTCCTTTCTCTCTGCCTCAGTCACCAGGCTGCAAAATGGCAATGGCAACAAAAATTTTGCTTTAATCTCAGCTGCATACCCTCTCGCAGCCTATATTTGAAGTGACTTATGAAATCCAAGTATAAGCATGGAACAGTTACAAATATATTGTACTGTGTCATTTGTGAAACTCATTTCTGTATTCCACAAAGAGACAATAGCTTTGATGGAAGGACCAGTCATAAAGCTTACAATGTTCAGAAGTTTGGGTAACCAAGAACCTAAAGAAACTATTTCTGGCCAACTTCACCCTGATGGTAGAAAAAAATTAAAAGTAATTTTAGAAGGTGGACCTCCTTTAATCTTTCCATAGTGGGAAAAACTGCTTCCGTAAAAAAAAAATATGTCTTGTCTGCCTAAGTTATTATCTCTTTTCAATTTTTCAGCCCAAATTTGGCCATTGAAATATCAGGATCTAAAAAGGCTTGGGTGAATAAATCCAATCTGTATGAAACAGGCAAAACAGGTGGTTGGGAAACACCAAAAATTAACCTGTATTATGAAGCCAATGAGTTAAGGCAGGCTACATCCCTAATAACTAGCGATACATGAAAGGCATGGGTTCAAATGGAAGAAACACACAATATGAAAATTTCAAGAGATGCTATTCTTTCAATGGGCATGCAAATACAGGATGAAAATGTCCTCCCCCCCCTTTTAATAAGAACAGGCTTCAGTATTGTTATGGCTGGGGTAGGGGAAAGGTTTATATCATTTAAATGAATTTTACTTGAAACTCTGAGCCACTTGGAGGAAGGGTGTTGCAGGAGAAACTTGGAACCCTGGGATGTAATTGGCTGGTGTTGAAACAAACCACCTCTTTTATATCACAACAAGAAATAGGCTCAAGCTGCCCTCACTCTCAAAGATTTTGAACAGCTTGTACTTTCAAGTGTTGTTTGTTAACATGAGAGGATGGACATCTAAACGATACAGAACATTTGTGTTTCGTGACCTAAAAGAGTGTTGGGAAAGTGACCTAGGAGATGCCGCAAATGACTGATTGCAGGGGGAATTTGCAATAATTCTGTAAGGGCTGAAAGAGCTATGCTCAAAATAGTATGGGGGGGCATTATACCACCGTAAGATTACCTCATATAGTAAAAACATCTTCTGCAAAATGTTGGCAATGTGGTCAGCATAATGGAATGTATTTCTACCTTTGGTGAGAATGTCCTCAGGGGAATTTACCAAACTGCTGCTCCACACCAGGTATAAACACAGGTACCCTAGAGAGGAAGACTACATCCTGATGAATCACACACCCCTCCTGAGCCCTCCAGTCTGTCCAGTTGTCTATCCATGCCTTGATAATTCATGCCAGGATCAAGTGCTAGATAGAAGCAGGCATGCCCTGGGCTCTGCTCCTGGTCAGGGAACAGGAGCCACTGGAGATTTCATATGCCCCATCTCCTGGACCAAGCTGATCCCATATATAAACTCCATTGTTTTCTTTTTCTCTTCTGTTCCTTTTTCCTTTAACATTGAGAAGCTTTGGCCTGGGTCTTATCTTTTCGTCATCTGTACATTGCTTAGAAAATGTTATGTTCTTTATTAGCTGCTGCTGCTGCTGCTAATAATAATAGTAATAATAATACAGTCGTATCTTGGAAGTCGAACAGCCTAGTTGTCGAACGTTTTGGCTCCCAAACGATCAAAACCCGGAAGTGACAGTTCTGCTTTGCGAACCTTCTTTTGGACGCTGAACGTCTGACGGGGCCTCGGTGGTTTCCGATTGGCTGCAGGAACTTCCTGCAGCCAATCAGAAGCCGTGCTTTAGTTTCCGAACTTTTTGGAAGTCGAACGGACTTCCGTAACAGATTCCGTTCAACTTCCAAGGTACGACTGTAATGATGTGATTTAGCAGCAACATCTGTTGATAGGGTAACTCAAGGGGGTGGGGGAGGTAGTGGAAAGCGGGCAACTTTTATGTCTCTCATCTCCCTTTCCCTGGAATGGCTTGTCTGCCCCCCACTGCCATATCTGCTCCTGCTGTATCTCAAATATTTGAACAGGGTACACATCCCTCCTCCCCAGGTACCAATCCTGTAGTCCAGGCACATGCTAACCATTCTTTTAAGAACACTGCAGCTACAACAAGGCCAGAAAACAGTGGTGGTAATGTAATTAGTGCATATGCAAACCAGTAAAAGGAGCAGCATTAATAAGGTGAAGTACAATTATCAAAATCAACACACATTACAGTACTTTAACATATCACTGACCTTCTCCCCCAAAGCCTGTAGTATGGAGAGTGTTAAGAATGCTATCTGAATGGACAGTTGAGGCAAATTTCTTACAACTGCATAATAAGAGCTGCGAAAATACCTAGAAGACATGACTAGGTCATAGCAGTCTTCCTATTAACCTCCTGCCCAGGGCGAGTAACTGACTGGATCCTTACCTGAAACTGCCTTGTAACATCTAGGGACAAGTGTGGGGGCCATCTGGCATTTCTTAAAAACACACCATTTTACTTTATTTTTTGGAAGGCTGACGTACAGACCTGGAATGCTAGAAACATGTGGGAGATGGGCCTTCCAAGCCGGAAGACAAAACCAGCCCATGATGGAAGTGCTGTAGGAGACAAGCTAAGGTGGCAGGGCCCAAGAGAAAGCTCTCACATTGATCTGAACACGCCAAGTAGGGCACCGCCGTGGCTTAAATTGAATCAGCTTGCGACACAAAGGGATGATTGGATTGGCAACATTGCCACAGGCTGGGAGAGGCGCCGCATGAACAGACACGGCTTCTCAAGCATGGCCTGAGAAAGGTTAAATGGGGACTTTGGGATGCAGGTGCCAAAACCCACAGCATCTTGCAAGGAACACCCTAAACCAAATATTGAGGGGAAAGGGGGAACACTTCAAGGAAGTAGCACCTGCTTCCTCCACCCACTCCAAATTTAGTGCTCTTTGTTGCCTGGTCTCCTTTTACACAAAATGTTAGGGCAGCAACAAAACGGAGCAAACAAGCTGGCTCGCTCACTTCTAATATTTTTGCTCATTCACACCGTTTCCGTATTTTACATTAAGACTCTTTCCAAGATCTACAAGGAATCTGCAGAATAGGACAGACTTTTCAAACATTAGTTATACACGGCATTTCCCACACTACCTTTGGCAGGAATATAAACGGTGCTAGATACTTCTGCATGGATTACGATGTGCACAGACTTTCTGCTTAAGCATTCTTTATACGCAGGAATGTATTCCTCACAAGGCTGCTTGTGTTCAGTCAAGCAAGGCCTTCCTCCATTTGGTTTTCTGAAGAAGAAGATGCTATCGCTTCCTCTCTATGGTGGACCCTGAAAAGGGGCAGAGCAGACTTATCTTTTTATACTCTGACAACATTTAAATAACTGTTCCAAGGTACAAGGACATGTTCTTCAAACAACAATCCATGCTCCCGCTTCCCTCCTTTATTCATTCAGTAGAATGGACAGCAGGTATCTTGTGTGCGGTGTACAGTGGTGCCTCGCAAGACGAAATTAATTTGTTCTGTGAGTTTCTTCGTCTTGCGGATTTTTCGTCTTGCGAAGCACGGATGCACCCTGGTACTGTATTATGAACATTATTACAGTACTCCTTTTATAATGGGATAGCGGGCAAAGCACAAAGCAGGTCGCTCCCCAGCAGGAGGAGTTTCCCCAGCCTGGAGGATCTGTTGCCGGGAAGAGGCAACGACACCCCCTACCCCCTCCCACCTCCCCACGAAAAAAGCCCCCCTTCCTCTGTCGCCAAGCCTTGCCGCGTCTTCGCTCCGCCAAACCGCGTCCCACATCAAAGCCCCAGCCCGCTCCTCTCCCTCTCTCTCCACGAGGTGCCAAAGGAAGTTCGAGCCCAGGAACCGAGGGCGGACTCACGAAGCGCCCGGCGCAGACTCTCCCTTGCTCCCCCCGTTACCTTGCGCCACGCTGCCGGGCTCCCCACAGTCTCGGCAGCTGCTCCCGGCTTCTTCCCACCCCTGCAAAGGCGCCTTCGCGGCGGCCCAAGCGCAGTGGATGCCTCCTCCTCCTCCGTCCCCCTCCTCCTGCCTTCGCGCAGTTAGGGCAAAATGGAGCAGCCACGTGGGGAGGGGAGGAGAGAGAGAGGCAGAGGCGGTGCAGAGACCCAGCCAGATCCGCTGGATCCCAGCCCACCTGCCTCCTCTGTGCCCTCTCCAGAAGAGGATCCCTCTGCGTCGTTCTGCTAGATCCCGCTTCTGTTGCGCCCAAGTCCGTTATTTGTTCTTTGGCTCCTTCTGCAGTCTTTCTTTCGTGCGCTTTTACGCACACACTCTGTCTCCGGAGTCTCTCTCTCTCGTATCGGGTTCCTCTGCTCGGAACTCAGGACTAATTGTCGTGCTCGCGATCGCGCTTGGAAGAGATTTGCTCCCGCTCTTTTCTTGCCTTGCGTTCATTCGCGGAGCAAGACGCTCTCCTTCCCCAAGGCTGAAACTGGAAAAGGTAGGTCGCTCCCTCGCTCGCTCCCTGCCAGCCCAGTTCCCGCTTCAAACTTGGTACAGTATTAACGGTTTTAAGAAAAAGGAAACAAACTCGCAAGACGTTTCGTCTTGGGAAGCAAGCCCATAGGGAAATTCGTTTTGCGAAGCAACTCAAAAAATGAAAAACTCTTTCGTCTAGCGAGTTTTTCGTCTTACGAGGCATTCGTCTTGCGAGGTACCACTGTATGGGCGTGCGTCACATTTTTTATGCTCTCCTAAGGGAAAAGATCCCTGAAAATATAAAAACAGAATAGCAAGCAAAGAGCTAGGCTAAAAAATTTGCTTGTTTTCTATTTCCAGGGAGTGGGTGTTGTTTCACACAGGGGGAAGCATTAAAAAAAATGTTATCCCCACCAGCATTCTGAAGTGGAAAAGTTCACCTTATTCTGCCACATTTGTTGACCCAATCTCAGAAAGCGCACTTTGCAGACTGTATATTTCAGAATGTAAGGAGAGGAGAAAAGGTTGAATACTCGGTCATAAAAGCTCCACACCTGTGAAAAGCCAGCACACGAAGGAGAAGGTGTCCAACCTTAACTGTGAAGGTACATACTTTTTGATGTCAGAGAATAAACATACAGTCCCTAGCAGCATTCCCAAGTCCTAGGAGGAGTATACAGTGGGGTTTTTTCCTGAAATGAGCAGGAATTAAACTACATTAGCAGTTGTTAAACTGAAATCATTCAAGTAATGACTCCTTCTCCCACAATTACAGAACAGGAAAGAAATGCAAACCATCAGTGCTGTTCATACTTGTTCTTATAAGAACTAAATCTATCCTTAAAATAAAGGATGCAAGCACACACTTCAGTGGATCAATTTATTCTGATGTCATCAGTATATATTCAAACACAGGGGGAAATGTAACATCCACTTCATATTCCTCAAGAAGGAGATTGATTAAAACTTGAGAAAGCGCCAAAGGAATCAAAATGCTCTAAATAACGTTAACCTATCAAGCCACACAATTCACTCGAGAAGAGCACTTATACGGCCTCGTGGCCCATCCTTCCGCCCTAAACCTGACATATCATAGGTGTGTGGTGACCTTGAGTCACTCTTTCACAACCTGTGAATTCATTTCCCTCACACACAGCTACTCAGTGATCCAAACCCATCAACACAATCCCAGACTAGACTGTTACATAGACTGCCCTCAGTCTCAGGCATTAGCCCAAAATTACCATCGCTCTTAAGGATTTTGTCTACCAATATGAGGCAGAACTATGATTACAACCCCACAAAAAACCCTTTGACACTTTTCGTCTGGTACCAAAAATTCATAGGCCAGGGGTTGCGAAAATCAGTGCTATAAAGGAGGGTAACATGCGGAAATTCCTAAGAAGAATCATAACGACCACCATACATACTGAATCATGACATGCCTAGATGGCCATGTGAATGGATTTCAGGCAATCATGATCATTCCACACAGAACAGCTCATACCACCACTGTGGTGCTTAATCCTCATGCACAGCTACCATTACATTCGTGGAGAAATGAGCACACACATCACTACACTATGCAAACTTGTTACGGCTGACATACAACAGTGCTTCCTGAAAAGTTACCATCCGCCTCACTTAATATGCCTCAATATATTAATGACTTGTTTCTAAGTTAATTAATAAGGAGCTGTTTAAGAGGTTTCATCAGGATTTTCACCTTCTCCAGCTCCACAATTTACTTGAGCTTTACCTAACAGCAACATATTATTTCCAGGCACCACAGCTATTTTAAAAGAAAGCCACCTTGAAATCACCTTACACTGTAAGCCGACTGTTCCCTATGCATACCTTTACATAAATGACTATTATCCACAATGCAGAAAGCCCCTTCTATATCCAATGATGCAGGCTCTAGTGCATGAAACATTATGCAGTAAGAGATGGAAAGTACTATAGGAATCTTATTTGAGGGCTAGTTTTTTGTTGGTATAACCAAAGCTAGTTCTGGCTCAAGGTAGTAGTTAGCAAGCTTTCTACATCTCTGTAAATCACTTCCACACTGCCCTGTCTGCCACCATTCCCCCAAGAAATCCTTGCACGTTGCAGAGGATTGAAAGATGTTCAAGGCAGATCCTCAGTCCACGAAAGTGCTTCCCAGGCTTGTCAGACTTCATTGTAGGAGAGCGCCTGGAACACACCCAATACTCACCTGCAGATGTGTATTAAGGGATAATCAGCAGTGGTTGGTAAGCTGCCTTTCGGGGAACCCTGTCTGCTAGTCTTGATTTACTCTTTGAGGAATCTCTGCTATAAGCTTCCAAGGAAACCCAGGGCTCCCCAGAACATCATTTGAAAGTCACTGGTTTAGTGAGAATATTGTTTTGTTGGTTTCACTTGATTTTGTCAAGTACCTGAGTCATTACAAGGGGGAAGGTGTACAGCAAGCTGCACAATGTGAAGCGGTGGATTGGTGTAATATTTTACAGGTACCTCATGCAAAGCTAACATCCCTCAGGCATTCATAAGTTACGGTTCTGCTGTATGCACACTTAATACAGCAAACAATCCAAGCTTATTTAATGCAGTACTTTGGGGTGGATAATTCCGCAGAAACAGCTATATTTTTCTGCAGAATTCTTTTTGTCTAAAAATGAACTATTTTAGAAATCCAATTAGCAACGTATTGAATGGATACAATGAGTTGTATTCAGATAAGTTCTGGGTGAGATTAGCCCCATTAAAATTAATGAACCAGTTACATACATTAACTTCAATGGGTCTACTCTGAGTAGCACTAGCACTGAATATCATCCAATACCAGCCAAAATGGTATTTAATAAACTTTTTCTCCAGGAAGCACATTTTTATGTATTATATGCCTATAGAATTTAGCTATCTCCAAAAACATCATCAATATTCCCATATTGCATACAGGGGAAACAGACTTATATAGGGGACATGGATGGCGCTGTGGTCTAAACCACTGAGCCTCTTGGGCTTGCTGATCAGAAGGTTGGCAGTTCAAATCCACGCAACAGAGTGAGCTCCCATTACTCTGTCCCAGCTTTTGCCAACCTACCTAGCAGTTTGAAAGCACGGCAGTGCAAGTAGATAAACAGGTACGGCTGTGGCAGGAAGGCAAACAATGTTTCCGTGTGCTCTGGTTTCTGTCGCAGTGTTTAGTTGCACCAGAAGCAGTTTAGTCATGCTGGCCAGATGACCCAGAAAGCTGTCTGTGGACAAACGCCGGCTCCCTCAGCGTGAAAGCGAGATGAGCACCGCAACCCCATAGTCACCTTTGACTGGACTTAACCATCCAGGTGTTCTTTACCTTTACCTTATCATAGGGGAAACAGAGACTGTGAGTGGCATGCCAAACGTAATCAAGTCAGGGGTCCTTAAAACCAGGGTGGGGGAACCTGTGGCCTTCCAGATGTTGCTGCACTACAACTCCCATCATCCCGGGTCGCTGGCCATACTATAAAGGTGAACATCTAGAAAGCCACAAATTTATTGACCCCTGCTTTAAAAATTACTGGAGCCAATCTGCTTTTCCATAAGTGGCTTCTGTATCAATGAGGTAATGTTTAAATGACCCTATCCAATGCATCCTTCCCATAGTATTTCTTCTTATTATTATCCTGCCTTACCCCAGGTGCCTTACAAATAAAACAGGATAAAACAGAAAATATGGACGTTAAAAGTAATGAAACACTTACAGAACTGAAACACTACAAAAATATATATTTGAAAATATAGCTAAGTGGAAGAAAACAAAACATCACAGCATGAGCCCTTTTCCCAGTCAGTTCCTAAAGACCTGCTGGAATAATTGGCCTCCCTTCTCAGTGTTGTACCAATTACACTGGCCAGAACCCCACAATCAAGTTTAATCACCTTGAGGCCTGTCTCTTGCTCCACTCTTCTGCCTACTATAATCAGAAACAAGGAGGACTAGCATCTCTATACAACAACAGATTTTGGAAGATGGAAAATGGAAAGGCCAAGGACAAGACTACAGGCAGAGAAAGCAGCATGTAGAAAGGAGATACTGTAGTTATTGCTCAGAAAAGAAACACATGCATCATTCCAGAACTGGCACCAATATTTATTTTATTTATTGGATTTACATCCCAGGACAGCTGACACAGTAATGGCAAAACATATTTTTAAAATCTAAAAGCAATTTAAAAACATTCTTTAAAAGTTAAAAACATTCACAATCAGTGATCAGGGTTGTCAGCAACAGTTTCCTTCTGTCATCAAATGCTTTGGTAAACAGAATTTTTTTTTAATTTCTCGTGAACATCAATCATGAGAGAGAACACACCTCACTAAGGAGGGCATTCCAGGGTCTGAAAAGGCCCTGTCACCGGTCAGGCCAGCACAAGAACAAAGAACAATACTCTGGCAGGCAGGTGCTAGAATCAAACCCAGAACTGGGACCAAACTAGATTATCCAGGTGGGCAGAACAGGGAACATGGAGCCTTCCTGATGCTTTTCATGACTACAGTTCCCATCCTCCCCAACTACAGACCATGTTGACTGGGGCTAATGGGAATTAGAGAGTCCAACAACGTCTAGAAAGCACTGGATTCCCCATCTCTGCAGTAGAGCCTTCTCATGTTTACAGGGTATCCTGTACCAAAAGTAATCCCTGACAGATAACTGTGCAATCTGTCCTGTTTTATAAAACTTCAAAGAAGGTTCCACACATTTTGGAATGACAATTACCCACCACAGGCATGCAAATAGCAACACATTTAAGAGGGCAAGACATGCAAACCAGGAGTGCCATGCAATGTTGACCGCAACAGGAACAAGTTACATTGCAGTCTTAAAACGCACAATGCTTTGCAAAGCCAAGGACCATATCCAATTTAGAATACAGTGGTACCTCGGGTAACAGACGCTTCAGGTTACAGACTCCGCTAACCCAGAAATAGTACCTCGGGTTAAGAACTTTGCTTCAGGGTGGAAGAAGATTGGAAGAAATTTAAAGATTATTTACAGAAACACTGCAAAATCAATGAATGTTAGAGTGATGTTGGATTGAAGTTAAGTGGCTTCTAGCTGAACAGGTTTTAAGGCTATAAATGTATCAAAATTAAGGATTAGGACCAAAAAGACTAAGAGAAATGGAAAAATGGGTTCAAATAGGTAAAAATCTAATGTCATAATATATCAAGATTTAGGACTGGAATTAAAAAGGAGGGTAAGAAATTGCTGGGTTTACAAAGTGAAATGGAATACAAAAGAGGGGGGTATGAGGAAGTCCGAGAAACAAGTAAACTCAAAAGAGGTTATGAAAGGACGGAATTATTTTTAACTGTTTTTTCTTTTTTTCTTTTTTTACCTTTTTCTATTCGGTACTTTGTATTTTGTGTATTTTTCTCTGTTTTTGTTTAAAAAAATTTGTGTTTATTAATGTGATTTTATTTTTTCTGAAACTTTAATAAATATTAATTTTTTTAAAAAAAGAACTTTGCTTCAGGATGAGAACAGAAATCGTGCAGCAGCGGTGTGGCAGCAGCAGAAGGCCCCATTAGCTAAAGTGGTGCTTCAGGTTAAGAACAGTTTCAGGTTAAGAAAGGACCTCCAGAACGAATTAAGTTCTTAACCCGAGGTACCACTGTATAGGGAAGCTGAAAAATTATAAATTGCCCAAATCCATCATTTTACTCCAGCAAGCCATCATAGAACCGAAGCAGAACATGATCCCCAGTGAGCAAGGACTGCAATGAAGGAGAAATCTAATGGAAAGAGAAAGCTCTATGGGGAAAAGGTATATGCAAACAACTGTTCAGTGAGAAAGCTGTATGCCAGCACGCTGCCTTAATACATAATCCCACCCCTCCTAACTTGCAGGTATTTCTGCACTCTCCACTTCCAAGTATGTTGAGAGTTTTGAGAACCACACATTTAGTGAACAAATACTACAGTCAGAAAAGCACTGATAACATTCTAAGGAAAGCAACCGAGGAAGGCAACTCCACCTGCAGAAAGGTGAGTGCACAGTTCCTTGAACTAAAGTTATTCACTGACTGACAACACATACCTCTGAAGGAGGAACGAAAAGGTGACCACACCCAGCATATGCCCAAAAGGCCATTTACAGCAAAGGGAAAGACAACATATAATCCGGAAGAGGCCCTGGTTTGGAAGAGAGCAAAAAGGAATAGGGGGCTTTGGGAATTAAGCAGATGCAGTTTGCCTGTAAGCATGTCAGATTCCAAGCGCATTCAGCTCATATTCAGAGGACATACTAAAACTCCCTCAATCTTTGTACGCATCTAAGTTTCGAGTACCTCATTTGAAGCTTAAGAACAAAATATTATGGGTGACACTCCAAAGAAACTCATATCCCTCCTCGTCACCAGTTCTTGTTGTGTCTGACCCTCAACATCCAGCAACTTAGAAGAATAAGGAAGAAAAAGGGCAGTTTCCTCAATGCCACACCCTCAATCACCCTCTAAATAACCTAGCCCCCTTCCACAGATACTTCTCCATGCCACCATTTCAGCAGCAAAGTATATCATGTATAGCCCTCACAAAATTCACAGCAGCTTATGTAAACCTCCCTCCCTCCTGACAGTTTGTCACCTGCTCCTATTTTATTCACCCTCAATGTATCACCCAGATACATAAACCACCACATATTTATCTGCTTCACCTGTTCAGCTTACGTCTAAATCCTCAATCACCCGCAGACAAAAACCTCTGGCGCTGCAACACACCCCTTCCCCGGAAAGCACCTGCTCAACACCAACTACAATATTTCAAACCGGGCTAACCAAGCCCCGCAATGCTCTTGACCCACCTCTCCCATAAATTCTCGCATGCGTAACCCTCCCAATATCCTCAGCCTGTACACACACCAAGGGTCTCTCCCCCCCGCCCGCACTCCTCTCTAGCAACCCCTGGCTTGAAATAACCCCAGTACCTAAACAAGCGGCGACACTGGGGGAAAATAAAATTTAAATACAATTTACCAATCTCTCCTCCTCCTCTTCCTCCTTCCAGGCCCCTTTCTTTATACTAAATTTCTCCTAGTCAACGAATCAAAGTATCCTCTCACCTTTGCTCACCCCAGAAACCCCTCCTCTTCCCCCTCACCACCCCCAGCGCCCAGGGGCTCCTACCAAATCGCCCACCCCCTTCAACAACAGGCCAATGGAGCCCACCCCTCTTCTCCCCGCTGTTCCCAGTCCCTCCTGCTGGGCTTCCTCCTCCCGCCATCCCTTTGGCCCCTCACCGCCGAGCCCTCTCTCTCCACCCCGCCCCTGCTCGCCCACTCCCCAGCCCCGTGACCTCCGCAGGAACACGGGTCAAATGTCAAAGCGCAGCCCGCCCACCCACCCACCCAACCAAAGGGTTCTCAAGGAGGCCACGTATCCCACACCCAACCAGCCGCCCCCCGTTGTAGATTTCGCAGCCCTCTTCGCTTACCCACAAGCTCCTCTGCCTCTCTGGTCTTCTCTCTCTCTTTCTCTCTCTGCTCCGGGGCCTGCAACCCGGAAACAGCCGTGTGCCCGCCCGGCGGCCACGCAAAATGGCGTCGAAGAGCACTCCCCGGGGCCAACGCGCACGCGCAACGTGGCCCCGCCTTTTCCCGTTTGGGGTAGGTGGGAGGAAGTGAGTCTGGGTGGGTGGATCGCCATATTAAGAAGGTCCAAGAGGCCTGAGCAGAATCGGTGCCGCGCTCGGCCATGTTGGGAAGGGCACTGGAAACACGAAATCATAAGAGTCGCAACTTTCAGGCTCGTAATTCCAGCGCCCGTGAAGGGGATTTCTCTCCCCGCCGCCCCAATATCTCTTCAGGCCGTTTGTTTGCTTCGCCCAGCAAAGGAGGATAGAGGCAGGTTTAGGCTGAGGATAACTTTTGAGTCTGCAAGAGCTGTGCAATGCACGACGTAGCCCACCGTTTTAAACTGTAGGGGGATGGATGTTGGACGGGGTTTTGCGGCAATTCTGGATTGTTTTCCACTTTGCAGGTTGAAAGCCCTTGCAGGATTAAGCAGGGAAGGTGGCTCACGACAACCCTGCAACGTAGTCCGGAGGCGTTGTGTAAATTAGAAACATCTAACCCACATCGAAGTAGCCACGCCGCTGTACAACAAGAATCATGAAATCTTAGGGATCTCAAAGATCGCCCGGTCCGACCTGCTGGCAAACGGAGGATAACGTCCCCGAAAAGCGGCTATGCAGCCCCTAAAAGGTGCCTTATATTTTGTATAATACAGCGGGTGTTATACTGCCCATTACTTTGTGCCTAGAGACTTTCTGAAGTCTTCATCTGTAGCCTGTAAGTTACAGTAAATCTCGACTGCATATGGGATGTGTGTGTGTTTTGCCGCCCTCCAGTGCATATCTGCAGAATGAAGCCTCCTTTTTTCCACATAGTAGCAGCTGGGCTAGCTCAGTCGGCGAAGCATGAAACTCTTGATCTCAAGGCTTGTGGGTTGGGCAAAAGATTCCTGCATTGCTGGGGGTGGGACTAAATGACCCTCAAGTCCCCACCAACTCCACAATTCTATGCATTTGTCTATGCGATCTGTTGATAACAGATTGTAGAATAAGCATCATCATGATTACTGAAACAATGAAAGACGGGCTGTTGAATGAATGAATGAATGCAGCAGACTGGTCTTGGCATGAGAATAGGGGTGTTGCTAGCATGCCCCGTTTGCATCTGTGAAATGCTGGAGGACAGAGGCCATGATTAAAAGCCCATAGTTGCAAGCAGGAGGATTCCCTGTTGTGCTGGGATCGTTCTCACACTGAGGGGCTTTGTGCTCTTAGAAGCACAGCAGTGATACCTAGGCATAATTCCTTTTCTGGGTTAAAACCAGAAGCTAGTTTCACTCTCAAATTCAAACAGATTTATATATACGAAAGATGGATGCTCTCTTATCAACTCATGGGTTGCTTCCACGTTAGAAGTTTACCTGTCTGAAATTGCCATCCTTTGTTCACTCACATTTCATATGAAGAAGTCACAATATTGCTGCCCGCTCACTGCGTTCCACTGAATTTTGCATTTTAAACTACTCATTTTTCTTGTATCTGATTTTTTAGATTGTCTGCCTTGTGTGCAGAGCCACATACATTGATGGCACTATATAAAAGTATTTTACATAAAAATCTGCATAAAAGCCGACCACTGATTTTATTTTTCACAATTATTTATTTCCACCATTGGCTTCTCACCCAAGTGCTGCAGTACCAAAACAATAACAACAATAATTATTATTAATAATAATATCAACAACAGCCAGACCTCCCCCCACCCCAAAAAAACACCTAAGCTTCCCCAGAACAACACAATACATCTTACATTCCACCTCGCGGAAGCTTGTAGGGTTATATGTGTAGGCAAGCGATCCCCTCATTCCAACAGTAGAAAATTCACTGTACAATTGCCCAATGATACAAGGCTCTTCTTTAAAAAATAAATGTACAATTCAAGAGTGTCTTGTTAAAAATATATATAAATATATACACATCCTCGCATTAGGACCTGAAGCTCTCACCGGGAGAGAGAAAAAGAAATATAGACAAAAGCGAGAGACCCTGAAATGAAAAGTCCCTGAACAGAAAGCCACTAGATCAGGTATGGGGAACCTGGGGCCTTCCCGATGTTGCTGGAACCCCATCAGCCCCAGCCAACATGGCCAGCAACAATGATATATAGGAGATGGAAGTTCAGAAACATCCAGATTGCCACAGGTTCCTCATCCCTGCAAAAGAGGCAACCCCCCCCAAGACACACAAATAAAAACAACCCTTATCAAAGAGAAGGGAGGAGGTCAGCAAAGAGAAAAGCCATTTTAAAAAAAATATGAGAGAAATTCTTTACAACACCTGCTCTTTGATATCAATTTTTGACCTAATATTAAAGCTGTTAGAAACATGGTAGGGAAAGCAGTTCATTTCTAAAAAGAGAAGCAGGCACCTTTCTCTCTTGACCTGAAATCCCTGCCCCCTAATCAAGAAATGTGTGGGAATGGGCTGTGGTTATTCAGTAGTGTGGACAATGCACTCTGGACTGGCTCAGAGGCATTCTTATTATTACTTCACATTTCCAGGATTAGATCATGGCACTGGAAACAAATTCCAGGGGGAACACACAGCTTTTGGGACGTAGCCCTGAGATATGATTCTTCCATGCAGAAGTTATAGGGCAAGACCAAGAGTTTTTACTTGGTATCACAGGGGTTCCCTAAGCTCAAAGCAACTTTTTAGATCTCTCCAAGTATAATGAAAATAAATAATTCACCTGTGTTTCTTGAAAGATGCTAGGAGGTTCAGTACTTTTGCAAGATAACAGGACTATCCCGCTGCAACCCACTGCTGACCCTCATAATCAACTGTAGGGTGGATTATAAATTCTCTATGGGGGAAGGGCTGGCCTATATATGTGTTTGGCAATCTGTGTCACAGAAAGTTGGTTAAAACCTATTGGGAGGGTCCACTAAATTCTATCCAGTTGTCCCAGATTAAATAATCCAAAATAAATAGTATCTCTGGTTCTGATCTCACAATTACCAGCATGGATTAAATGGAACACTTTTGAGAACTGAAGTCTTTCTTTGAGGTCACTTGACCTTATTCGTACAGTACACTTCAAATCAACTTTTTGTTCACACAATTGGAGGGGAAGTACAGAAAAAGATCATCCCTCTTCCAACATGCTGTTTCCATAAAAGTTTATGGAAATCTTCCCCAGTCTTGTATTAATCTCAATAGTTTATTCCAGATTAACGTGAAGATAGATTGAAATCAACACATTGCATCCTTTAAAGGCACTTTGGAGAAGTGAGAACAAAAATTGTTTTATCACTGTGTAACCATCAAAACTGTGTGAATAACAAGGGACAATATAGTTAAGTGTTATTGTGAATGTCCCTGTGATATTATAGAGAAGGGAAACCCCACTATCCTATCCTGAGATGGAAATCTCCCTGCCCCTCCGAGGCTCTTTGAAGTTGCTGAAGGACACATCCCAGGACTCAAGAGTGACCTATATCTAGAGCCCAGTTCAAGAGGAAGAGACAATTGGTTTCTTGCCAAACCCCCCCCCCAAAAAAATAACCCACCTAAAAATAAATTTATTCAACACAAAGAGATATAAAAAACATTCGGACAGCAGCCAAAACCAGAAACTGTGTATATCTAGACTACAATTAAAACTGTCATGGCTTCCCACAAAGAATCCTGGGAATTGTAGTTTGGTGAAAGTGACGAGGATTCTTTGTTAAGGCAAGTCTTTAGCCCTAAGTCCCCGTCAGAGAACAGCAGTACTGTGGGGGCCTGAAATGACTTTTAGGCCAGTTAAGTTTGTAGCCCATTTTATCCTCACAACAAACAGCCCTGTGAGGTAGGTTAGGCTGAGAGACAGTAACTGACCCAAAGTCACTGAGTAAGCCTGAGTGGGAATTCGAACCCTGGCCTCCCACACTCTAACCATTATACCGCACTGGCTCTGCCTCAATAAGGAACTATGACAGCCTTATACCGGTAATTTTGGTGGCTGTTTAAAGTTCTTGTAGCTTAGGTCCCAAAGAATGGAAATCGTTGAATACTGTCTTATCCGTCACAGCCAATCAAAACTGAATTTTAAGAAGACCAGGGAAAAATATTGTCCCACTTCAGTTTACCTGGACCAGCTTTTTAAAAACAAAGCAACGTTCTGTGAGAACAGAACCAAAAAAATACTTTTGAGAGTCTCCTGTGAATTATTCTTAATAATAATAATAATGTTTCCACATCAAACCTTTCTAATACAGAAATAAAAATGCCCACTGATAAAGAGTAGTGTAATAGGAGAAATGAAAGGTAGAAAACTGACATTTCTTGACGTTTCTGCACACACTGCCTTTGGCAACTGTACTATGTCCGACTCATGAGACCGGAAGCTTATTTTTCTGATTCACAAACCGTTCGTTTTCAAGGACTTGTTCGATTACGGTTATACTGGGGAGGGAAACTGCCAGAAAGGGCATTGGCAGCTAGTGTGAGTTGTCCCACAAGCAAGTCAAGATGTCCTGCTTTGTCTTGACCTCCTCCACAAAACACTGTTCCATCTGCTCGGGCCATTTTGGGTTCAGTCCTCCAAACCGCTCTACACTCTGCCGTGAAGCAAAGTGAGATAGTCACCTCAGGCAACCGATTTGGAGCACCGTTCCAGGTGGTGGAGAGGGAAACCAACAGATGGAGGATAAGGGGCCCCAATACTCCCTGGGAGATTCTTCTACACAAGTCCCTCTCACGGGATGCTCTGGCGGAGTCTCCCTTCCTTTAAATGAAGCTCACACAGGAGACCAAGAGAGCTCTGCCAATGGGCAAAGGCAATAGATTTGGGGGCACGGTTAAAAGAGCAGCACATTTTTCGGTTACTTAAATAGTTGTTTGCTTTTTTACTGCTGGGGGAGGGACGAGGGGACAGGAAGGTGCTAGTTAGATTTTCAATCTCTGGCATAAAAATTATCTCGGGGCCAGCCCTGGCAGGAGAACTCTGTGGCGAATTGTGTCCCAAGCTCAAACCGTAGGAAGGCGAGGTGCTGTTTTGATTTTGCACCTCAGTCACCAGGATTTCTTGGACCAAGCTTGGCCATCCCTGCCATTTGGCGACTCCGTGCTCTCCTCTCCCAACAGGGTCAGACCCTAAGGAGGAACCCCTGTACATCCAAAAAGTGCTCGAGTATTGCGCAGAGTAAACATTCTTTGCTAGTGACGCCTGCCCTGTGGGCATCTGCCTCATTGGCTGTTTGACTCCAGCTTGTGAGAGAGCTCAAAGAGCAGGTTCTGATTGTCAATAACTTGGAACTGCCGGACGTAAGCTTTCGTCTGCAGCTGTTGGGGAGATGACTCCATTTCCAGGCCTGGGGGAAGAAGGAGAAGACAGTCATTTGGGAAGAGACACCATTCTAAAGCTAAACACAACAATCATGCCTAGCATAAGCAGATACTCTAAAGCAGGAACGGGGAACTGGTAGTCCACCAGATATTATTGCATTCAGTCTCCCATCATCCACACACAATATGGTCAACAGCCAGGGACCTTAAGAGCTGCAGTCCAATATACAGAGGGCCACAGATTCCCCATCTGTTCCTTAAGGAGTCCAGGATTAGCCCCACCTGATAAGATCTTGCTGTCCTGAATTGTTTCATATTGAAGGCAGGGGAAAGAATGTGTGCCCCACGTAAAATTCCCCTCCACACCCAAGACCTGTGGATCCAAAGACTCATGTCTGACTCTCTCTGACATGATAGCTTTGTAAGATGAAATGAGAATATGATGGGTGGGAGCATTTGCACACGATTCCCATGCCTGAAGAATGAAACGGTACCATCCAACAATAGATACCTCAGATATGAACTTCTGCTCATTTGTTTGATGCTCGTATCCTAAGGATTTTGACACTCAAACACGGCTGGCCAGACAAACCCAGGGTGATGTGTATTTTGCAAATCTACAGCATCGCTCAAGTATGGAAATGAGTGTGAGGTGCAGAATCTTAAGGAAATCTGCAACTCATATTTAAAGTGAAAGCAAGTTTCTTCAAAGCTGCAAAGATAGACTTAAAATGTGATATATGGGCATCGATGCCGAATGAAATCTGGTGACAGCTTGGCCAACCCCAAAAATCTCCTCATCTCTGTTGCTGGGATAGTTCAGTTGGTAGAACATGAGAGTCTTAATCTCAGGGTTGTGGGTTCGAGTCCCAAATTGGGCTAAAAGATTCCTGCACTTCAGGGGGTTGGACTAGATGATCCTCATGGGTCCCTTCCAACTCTACAATTCTGTGATTCCACAATTCTGCTTTATGTAGACTGTAAGCTCTCTGGAGAAAAGACCATGCTTCTTCTATGTTCTCTACAGCAGCATTTTCCAACTTGTGGCTTGTGACCCGCAAATGGGTCACAAAGCCTGTGTGAGTGGGAGCTTCATAAGTAAACCCTAAGTAATTATTGTTTTTGATTTTTTAACAGGTATGATGAATACCTTGTGCAATTTTTTGTTTCGTTGGCTTATTACAATACTGCATTGACGCTTGTAACTGAACATCAGAAAGGCTTAAATTTTACACCTTAACACTTGGGAACTCCTCACTGGCAGCTGGTGGCAGAGCCAATGACAGTTTACAGGGAGCTGTTTTGAGTGACTATTACAACTCACCTTTGATGCCATTTGAGTAATAATAACTACTCAAAGCAACTCCCTCTATGAGGACTTTATGGTGAGCTATTCACAGATCTGCTGCCAAGGTTAGTTAATAGTCAAGCCAAGTGTGATTTGAGATTTGGTTAGCAAAAATAAGAAATACAGTCGTACCTTGGTTTTTGAACAGCTTACTTCTCGAACGTTTTGGCTCCCGAACGCCGCAAACCCAGCAGTGACTGTTCCAGTTTGCAAACAATTTTTAGAAGCCAAACGTTTGATGGGGCTTCCGTGGCTTCCAATTGGCTGCAGGAGCTTCCTGCAGCCAATCAGAAGCTGTGCTTTGGTTTCCGAACGTTTTGGAAGTGGAACAGACTTCCGGAACGGATTCCATTCGACTTCCAAGGTATGACTGTAACACCTTTACCCTACTGTGTCCATAATGATCTGGGATGATGTCTGAGAACCAACAGAACTACTCGGTGGCAAAAGGCAAGCTCAGCACCCCACCCCCACAACAGTTGCTAAAATGGGTTTTATCATGAAGAAAACTATCACAAATATCCATAGTTGGTTATATCTAACACGGCTCGTGCAACTGTATGTTTTTAGAATAAATTTTTATAGCTTACAAAGCACGATTCTGCAATCTGATGGTTGGTGTTCTTATTCCCATAAACATAACTGAGAATAACTTTTAAAGTACTGCACATATTTCAACAGTTTCCACATTGATTATTTTTTTTTGCTTAGATGCCTCAAGTAAGGGTTATGAAACAGGCAAACTCGCAGTTATAGTGCAGAAAACTGACAGCTGCTGGAGACCTGTTCATGTGACAATAAAACAATGGGTCACCATACCAAGTGAATTTGGCCTTGTGGGTTGCCATACCAAAAAGGCAGGCAAGCACCGCTCTGCAGCACCTGGTACTGAGCACCTGTCCAAAAAGAGTAGCAGGGAAGTAATTGCATTGGCTTCCCTTTGCATGCTTGGTGGGGGCATGAATACTCACAGAGGGGCCGGCTCCGGCACTTCCTGATTGTCCGAACTTTCTCTGCTACTGAGTGCTGCATAAGAGAGGAGGAGAGAGAGATGCTTCATTGTTCTAGGGCACCAGACCTTCAGATCTGCAGCTGGGAATCCCATTCTGCAAGAACCTTGGTGTTACTGTAGCTAAGATCTAAAACAGAGAGCAGCAGTGTTGTGCAGTGGCTAGAGTGTTGGGACTAGGAGCTGGGAGACCAGAGTTCAGTTCCCCGCTCACTGGGTGACCTTGGGCCAGTCATTTTATCTCAGCCTAACCTACCTCGCAGGGTGGTTGTGAGGATGAAAGGGGAAGGGGAAGAACAATGTTCACATACCACCTTGAGCTAAACATAAATGTCATAAATAAACAAATGATCTGGCACTGCTTTACATTTTCCATCAATATTTACCAACTGTTCAGTAACACCACAGAGAAAATGCTAAATTTCACAGCCACAGAAACACCTAGTACGTGAGTTGGACAGGAGACAAAAATGGATGTGTCCGAAAGGTCCGTTATAAAAATGTAAGACAAGCCTGCTAAGGAGGCTGATTAAAACTACTTGTTGAAAGTTGGGATTTAGGGGACTGGATAGCTCTGGGCCACTTTGCATGGCTAGCAAAACCAGAGTTATGCAGAATAATAAAGGTGGGAAAGCTGACTAGATTCTACAAATTAAGAAAATGCACATCTTTTGCTCTGATTTGCAGAATTTATACAGGTCACAGAGTTTCGCTTTCCTGGATGAAAAGTAAAACATAATATTCATGGAGTACACAGGATTAACTCTCAGCAGGGGAGAGTTAATATAATAAGGAAATTGCTTTTTTAAAAATATACTGAAGGATATATAATTTCAATTATTCGTTTGCATTAATTGGCCTGTAGTTTCCAGTGTGAATAGGACAGGGATTTCAGTGAATGAAATAAATCACACTTTATTATTAATATCGTTAACTGCCTCAAAATTATACTGTGCTAGAGGTCAGCAATTAGAGGCCCGAAGGGCAGATCTGCCCCCCTGAATAGTAGCAGCAGAACTGCTGCCAACCCAGAAGCAAAGACAGGAGAAAGAGGTGGTTCTGGAAAAAAGAACCTGTTGGCAGTCTACTTTTGAGGATGGACTATCCTTTCCATAAAGCACAGCTGTAAAATTAGTTGCTGAACAGAAAACGTGGATCTCTGCACAGTTATTGTTATATGCATAAGGGCCTTGAGAGACGAAGGCTTTTCAGCATACTAAATAAAATGTATTTATAGTTCTGTACCAGTAGAGGGAGCCTAACACCACACTCTCCACTGGCAGAGGTTTTATTCTGATATTATTTTCCATCAAGCTATTTGAAATTGTGCCTGCTGGATATATTGCTCCCTTTGCCATCAGATTCCAAGGAGTAAATTTAATAAGTCTGACTTTTATGCTTTTTAAAAAAGAAGACACTCTTAACTTGTTGTTAAGAGTGGGGGAAGACAGGAAGAAACCTTTCAAACATTTTAAAAGGTGGGGGAAGGTGAGAAAAACCAAGACACTCTCTTAGGCCTCACTCATTGCACCACTTCAGGGGTACAGAAGATGTAGCCCTCCAGGTGTTTCCAGACTACAACACCCATGACTACTGGCCATGCTACCTGGGGCTGATGGGAGTTGTAGTTCAACAACATCTGCAGGGCCACAGGTTCCCCACCCCTGGTCCAGTGTGTGTGTGTGAAGAAAACCAAAAACATTTTAAATGGGGTGTGGGGGCATGGACCACATTTTACTTTTGTATTCTGAAGCCGATTCACTTAGTTGCTGTGATTTTCTACAACACCCAGTGGTTAAAACAGTGATTTATTTTTTTAAAAAAAAACCTTTCCTGCAACCGGGTCCTCAGAAGGGGTTCCTCAATGGGGAGATCAGTGGACAAGCTTCGCTGAAAGACTGTCTCGCTCACCTACCCCAAGCAATCCCTACAATGTGCAGAAGAGAATTGGATGGTGCCCTCAGAGTTCTTGAGGGAGGCGGGCGTGGAGATGCCTCACCACCAAATGAAGAAAACCAATTAATGCCAAAATGGGCTTCTAAGCTATTTATGAAGTACAAAAACCAGTTAGACGTGCATAATTAAAACACACAATAAAACAATCCCATTAAAACAACACATTAATTAAAGCAGGAGGCTCAGGTAAAGAGATCAAGAAAATGCCTATGTAAACAGGCATCGTCTAACCCACCCCCCCAATCCCGGGCTTTTCTCTCTCTGCTGCTTCTCCTGCCAGGTGAGAGGCAGCACCTGGCATGCTGTAAAAAGACAGTGCTGTTGTGCATTGCTTCTGGCCTGTACAAATGGCTGCTTCGTGTAGAACTTTGCAACCAGCAAGTTTCTGCTCCCGGCAGCTGAGAGCATTATTCACGGAGGACAGCTAATGTTGTCATAGCTGATCTCCTTATAGAAATATGTAACTCGTCCCAAAGATCAGCCTCACTACACAGGGACTGGAAAACCGGCCAATCCTTTTGAAAAACACATTTAGCAGGAATCTGGGAAATTACAGGCCTGCCAGCCTAACGTCCGCTCCAGGAAAACTGCTGGAAGGCATCATTAATGATACATATCTGCTTATCACAACTGTAAGAGAAGTTAGGAGAGGGAAAAGAGGACTGCATTTCCCCTGCAACAAATATGACTATTTATGGCTGGTAAAATATTGTTTTTCTCCTGAGCGATGCCTTCCTCAGTGCACACACATATATATTGCTGGGATTAACTGGCCATGCTTCCATGTTTCAGCTGCTAAGATATACTGAGGAGGGTAGGTTTGGCTGTGATCCCTCCAGTACTGAAAGAGCATAAGGGGTTTGCATACGCACAAAGTCAGCCCTCTATATATCTGCATCACATATTTTACAGGTTGAGCCTTGGTACAGAAAATCAAGTTCCCAACTAAACTCCAGTGAAACCCCGATTTAAATGAAGCCCCACTTCTGGCTATCAAATGCTGGGGATTAACCGGGAGTAGATATAGTCTGTTAACAGTCTAAAGGCACAAGTTTGGCTCAGTTAGTTGTTTGAAGACAGAATGCTGTGCTTAGGGGAATTACTGGGGTGCCACAGCCAAAGTAATTATGTTCTTAACGATTCCCCAGCAAAAAGGATTCCTGGAAGCTCTCCAACACATATTTTGAACTACTGAGGACCTACAATTTTATGATTTACACATCAGGTTTCTAGTTCTCATTGCTCAAGCTATCAGCAAAGCGCCTCTAGCACTCTAAGGATGGAGAGCCATTGCCTTGCATGACTCCCTTATTTCTTTTTTTTAATCCCTTATCCTCCCACATAGCCTCTCTGCTCCTTCTTCCTAAATAATTCCTTGCTGCTTCTCCCGTATTCACTATCCAGTTTCTTCCCCCTACCAGAGAAACCCCACCTATTTAAAAACACACACACAAAAAACAGGTTCAAAGAACAAGTAGACAAATTGTCACATTTTGTAAAATAAGCACTTTTGTAGAAATACCCTTGTTTGGAATACATTAATAATTATACGACTTTTTTTTTTTAATTGGAGGATATGAATGTTCAGCACAGGAATAATTCTGTGTTCTGCACAATGTGGGGTTGGGAAGGAAATTAGAGCTCAGCTGACAGTGACGTAGCTTCATCCCTCTCCCCCCCTCCCCATCCCCTCCTCCCTAGAGGCCAGGAAAATCTGGGCCAACTCCAGCATTGATCTCACATACCGCACACACATGCACAGACGCACACTCGTCTCTTGACAAGGAGAGCTGGAGGAGCTTCTGTGAAGCCATCGCCATGGCAACCCGACTGTCCCACTGGGCTAGAAACCATACAGAGGACCAACCAACCGCTAGTTAATCCCCACCACCACCACCGCAGGGGGAGGGAGATGGCGGTGGGGGTGGGGTGAGAGAGACCACCTGAGCGCTCGTAGATCCTCGCAAGGTCATGCTGCATTTGCTGAGCAGAGCTCCATGCTCAAGCCTGCCAGGCCATCTCTCCTCTTTCCCAGATACGCAGCAGGGACAAAATTCATGCCAAAGATCTTTTGCTGCCTCTCTCTCTAAAGCCACTCTGGGGGAGCAGTTTGAGAAGGAAAGGGGAGGCGAATGGGCAAAAGGGGCAACAGGAGGAGGAGGAGGAGGGCCACAGTCTCCTACAAACCACATCAGTTTCCCCTGAAGGATGGGGAGGGAGAGGAAGGCCTCCGGACACACAGCTAAAACACAAAAGTCTCCTCCAGATTGATTTGGGGTCTCTTTTTAAAATTTCTGCAACATGTCATTGGTGCAAGCACAGTGCATGAGGGGTGCATTCGTTCTGGGCTGTCTGCAAATTGCTCCATTTCACGAGCAGCTCTGCGTTGCTTCTCCAATGCCATCACACGGAGGGGCACTTGTGCACTATAAGCATGGCAAAAGCGGAGCCAAACACATACGCCAGAGCCCAGCAGGAAATCTGGCACCAACTCAGAACCAAAGCAGGTAGCATATAAATGCAACTTACTAGAACCTAGGAAGATGATTTATATTGGTCCATCTGCACTGACTGTCAGTGGCCCTGCAGAATCTCAGGTGGGGTTATCTGCCAGCCCTTCCTGAATTTGCTGGGTATTGAACCTGGAACCTCTCTCTGTATGCAAGGCAAGGTGTTCTGCTACGGAGAGGCCATCTTTCACTGCTACCAGTAAACAAGGGTGGGGAAAGCTTTCCAGTCTAAAGGCCACATTCCTCCATGGGCAACCATGCCAGTCGTGGTGGGTGGGGCTCCAGAGCTAAAGGGATGGAGCCATAGATGTAACTTTTAGCTTTGTAGAGTTGACAACATTCCAGCTGTGCAAAAGCCAGAGGTTTCTGATTTCTACGCAGACACACACACACCTTCGTCTTGCCAAGCCAACAACATTATCACAGCTCAAGGACTCAGGTCAGGAGGGCATGGGACAGGAAAAGGGAGGGGTGTGCCCTTGGGGGAGAGGAGGGAGGCTAGGGGAAAACCCCAGAGGTAAGGTAAAAAAGGCTAGGTGGGGATGGGTCAAATCTGACCCCTGAGCCTGAGGCCCAGGCTGTATTATTGGCAGTATTATTCAGCACGATTACCAGGCAGATGAAAGGGTCTCTGCAAGACAGACAGACAATTCTTTCCAGTTTCTGTATCCCCCCCATATCTGAAAATAAACATTTGCAGCTGCCCTCAGGAGTGTCTCTGGGGATGAACGTCTCATTTCTGCAACAGGTGGTCAGCCCTGTTCCTGCTTATTCCCGTCCAAAATTTCTGCAATCGTTGCGGCGCTTTTAAAAACTGCCTGATCCTTTATCATACGGATAACTGCTTTCCTATTTAACTTCACAGCCTTCCACTTTGTCAGATTTGTCTCATGAAACAGGTTGGAATTGATAACTTTTGGATTCCTCCCAGTTCTCTGGTTGTTATCCCCATTGTAGAGATTAAGTAATTGTGCTCGGCACTGAAGACAGAAGAACATGCAGGGGCAAAAGACTTGGAGGGAGGGATGTTCTTACCAGCTTCTCTACATTGACTAGTCCGTCCACCAAGGTTTTGCTAGCCTCATGCAAAAATGTCAGATCTGAGTGTTAGAAGGGGAAAAAAGAAGAGGAAAAGTTTATGAGAGGAGAGAGGAGGAGTGGTAGCCTGGCAACAGTTAAATTCTAATTTTTAAAAGGTGCCTGGTTGTAACTATGGCCTGGAAGCGCTTCCCTCCAAGCCCAGGCACCCAGGATGGTTTGTGGCAATTAAATGATGAGAGAAAGGGGAGCTCTGCACATGCTCTTATGACAGCAGCTGTATACAGTGTAGGGAGGGCTTATAAACTGCAAGGACTCAGGTGACAGGGGAGGTGAAGTGTTTGAAACACACCGTGTGTGCACTTGCACACACTCACGATCCCATCCAGTGATGGCTGGTTAAAAACTCATCAAAACACAGACCCCAAATCTATCTTTCCCATAGGAGTAAACAAAAAACATTCATGTATAGGGAGGAAAGAAAGCATGCACTTGCGGTCACCTCTGGCGTGTGAGTCAGACATGGTCACCCCTTTCATTGGGAATTGAGCCTGGCCCTATTTTGCATTGCCCCACCCTTTCTGGTTCAGGGTTCTCTTTCTTGGTTACACTTCAGTGTGACAGAACACTGCATGCGAGCTTTTCCTACAGAGGTACATTATTTTTTCAAGTGCCCCTAGTTCAAATTAAGCCCCGACCAGGATAGCCAAGACCAAGCTTTCTACACACCCCAGTTCAAAAACAGCAACCCCCGCTCCAGCGGGTGTGACTCACCTTTTAGGATGAGGGGCACGAAGGGGATAATGGGGGGCTTCATTCTCGAGAGGACTTCTCTGTAGCTTTTATGATTCCTGCAGGGGTCCTGCAAGGCGAAAGAGAGAGAGAAAAAGATGCTGTTGTTTCTCGGCTGGAGGAAGATACAGAAAAACAACTGCTGCCAAAGTACAGCTGGGGACAGAATACCAAAAAGTTAACACTGTTAAGTGCAGATAGCTGAGCATGCAGGTGCATCTAGAGATGGGACTTCTTAAAATATTGTTTTTAAAATATGAAGAAAGTCTGGACAAGAAACACAGGGCTTAAAAAAAAAGGAAGGTGAGAAAAGGAAACTGAGGGGGAAAAGAGAAGGGAATGGTCACAATCTTTCTCTTATCTGTGACCCCCTGACGATGAAAACCCATCTCCTTGACTAATTAATTTATCAAGGCAGTGATTTCAAATCTTCATACCAGCAGAGAACTCTTTTCCCACTAACTTGCATGCTGTTGAACCAATACATGGTTGCAGAGCATGCAAGGTCATGTTTGGGGGACACTCACTTCAGCTGCACTAGGCCTCTTGGGCTTCACTCACTGCCCTACCTCATAGATGAGGAAGCTGGACTCACACTAGGCAACTCTCCAATGGCCATGATGGCTGAAGCTGATGGGAGTTTTAGTTCAACAACATCTGAAGAGCCACAGGTTCCCTGCTCTTGTTGCATCTGTACTGAGAGTGTAACCTAGAACAAAACCTACAAATCTTCCACAGCTGCATGTTGTGCAGGAGATCAGAAGTAGTGGGCCTATCTTTCAGGGAATCTCTCTACTGTCCCCAAGCTTCTCCATAAGGAGTTCCAATGAGCTTCCCAAAGAGCCCCAGGGTTCTCTGCGGCATTAAGGAAGTAGAAAAGTTATTTTCTGCTAGAGGACAGCAGTAGGGGTATTTCACACCACAGATCTGAGATCATCGAAGGGCAAAAGACCCATGCCATATCCTGATTGTTGGGGATGGAATAGCTATACAACTTTGTATTTACATAGTATATTTCCTAACTGGATCAAAAATGCTAGGGATATCTCAGTGAAAGTCATCACAACCCTGAAATTTAAATATGATATAAAATAAGGCATCTTTATTTAGCATTTGCTTGCACAAAGCTTACAAGGTGGTTAGACTATGTCTAATCTTGATTCAACATTCTTTCTGATTTGTTTATAGGGTAGTTAAATAGGGTTGCCCTACGTCTGGAATTTCCTAGACATAGTCAGGATTCGGCCATCGGAAACAGTGTCCGGGTAAATCTGGACATGTGGCAACCCATGTCGGAAGTGTATATTTTGGTGAATTTCCATAAAAATAGCCCAAAACTTCAATTTGACAGAACTTTTGTGTCTGGATTTTCACTTTTTGAAATATAGAAATCCTAAGTTACATGACAGTGATCATTCATCCTGCATCCATCCTCACTTGGTTGTGGGATATTTATAGGTCTCCCTGCTAATTATTGGTTCATCTCACACTTTTCAATGCATTTCTACGTCACTTTCCTAACAGCAAAAGTCTGTTATTTTTTAAAAATCGGATTTGTGGAGCTTCTGGAACAGAGAACTTTAATCCACTTCAACTGCACAAACCTAAAGTTCTGGTCCACGCATGACTCCTTCCCACAAAACAGTGACAGTCAGGAGGCACCATAAGAGGAGAGATAAGGGTTTGCTTAAGGCTAGGCAGAAAATAGTTAAAGCAGAGAATATTTAGAGTGTGGGCCTCTACTTTACTCCAGCTCTAAACAGAAGAAGTGCAAAAGGCTCACCGTTAAGTTCTCAAATTTCCGGAACAGGTTTTTAAATTTCCCTGGAAGCTTCTGGAAAAAAAGCAAATGAAAAAAACTCAGTTCATAACAGTGACTCGATAGGTTTTATTTATTTAGGTCTTATTTATTTATCACATTGATAATACTATCTTTTCCTCCAAGGAGCTAACAGGGGAGCGCAACATCAGCAGGCCGTATGAAAGTCCCGAGCTGGGCTAGCTGCAGCACAGGCTTCAACTCTGGGTCTGGGCTCAGGTCCAAAATTCCAGTTCCAGAATGGGACTGGAAAACCTGCATTCCATGGATCTGGATTTGGGGTAAATAACAAGTCTATGGCCTCAGTGGTGCACAGTTATAATGCATACCTCCAAGGCTATATGAATAGGCCTGGTATTAAGAGCAGTCGGATGTGTATGTGATGGATTTACACGGAGGGTACGGCTATCAGTGCCCACTGTAGTCATTGTGGCTATATACTGCCTTCAGTATTAGTCAAGGCACACCAGCAGCAGAGGGCTAATTCGCACCTCACTGGCCACTGTGAAAGCAGGATGCAGGACCAGATAGGCTTTTGGTCTGATCCTGCAAGGCTCATCTTAGGTTCCTATGGAAGACCCGTCTCCTGTTTGTCTCACGGTAACCTCGTTGCATATTTTGGGGAGTGGATGAACCAACCCGGGGAAATGTGCCAAACATGATTTGTCTCATGCAATGAGTCAGCCTAGGTGTTGGTGCTGAACTAACTCCGATGGGCAGCATGTCTGGGAGCGCACATGCAATGTGCACATGCAATGTGCAGCGACTTGCCCGACAGCAGGCACTGCCCTCAGCCCTCAAGGGTGTGGCAGGCTCAGTTTAGGGAAAAGGAAACCCAAGACTCCCCAGCACCAAAACATGTTTTGAACTATTGTGAAATATTTTCCCCCCAAATCTTTTAACATTTTCCATACTGTATTTCCACTTCAAAAAGCCATCCAAGGGCTTTTTATTTTTAAGCAACATAATCATCAGTAGAGGCACTGTCCCCCGTGTTATAGAGACCTCAACCAGAAGCCAGGCATTTAGTGTCACTGGTCCCATGTTATGGAACACACTTCCAGCAGAGATGCGACAGGCACCCTCGCTTTTGACTTCCAAGCATCTCTTGAAGACTTTTCTTATGCCAACAGGCCTTTGCAGCTAACTTCTCTTTCTTCTTATTACCCAGTCACTTTAATGATTGTCTCTATTGTTTTGAATAGTTCCTTATGTTTTAACGTTGCATATAATGATAATACTTTATGATACTGAGGTACGGAAATGCTTTTATAAGTAAATACGATTAAGTAAGCAATAAGCAAACATGAACATAATCCAGAAAAACCTAAGAACCGCCTTTGTGAACTGGATGGTTTTGATGACATTTGATGATACCTTGGCTTAATATGCCAATATATGACAGAGCCCTTATGAATGGGTCTTTCGCCTCTATAGCCCCTTTGCGCCTCCCTCCCTCCCTGCAAGTGAGCAAAGACACCACAAACTCTTCCATTAACTACAGTTTCACATTTCACTGAAGCCTGAAAACAGCTTTGGAACAATCCAAGATATTAAATCTACTTCAAGCCATGGTTTAGGATCCTCCAAAGCTGCTGCTGCTGTTATTTGTTTATTTGCAATATTTATGTTTCACCTGTTAATGGAAGTTCACTGGGTGGGCTCACAGAGTTTGGGCAAAACGGGAAGCTAAAATCAGTGGGGAAATTATTGATTTGTTTGCTGGCTCGTGTAAAAGGGAAGAGAGCAAAAGGGGATGCATGTATAGGCAAAAGCACTTGCCTGAGGGAGAAAATAGCATCCTGCCCCAGTTCTGTGTGAGGACGCCAACCAGACTGATAGCTGGATTATATTGCAACACTGGTGACGGGGCAGAGTCCTCTGGCACAGGGCAGAAGGCTCACTTTTACAGGGCGCAAGGCAGGCTGTGTGGCACACCTCACTGCTCCTGCCTACCCTCTACCCCCAGCAGTTGCCACCAGACGCAGCCAGCTCACTCTGCCTAATGACAGGGCCGGCCCTGGGCCAAAAGCTCATTCACACCTCAACTTATTATGCTAAAATATGGTAATCCATCCTCTCCCACTGAGTCCAGTGTTGTGCTTCTAACAGCAGCCTGCTAGCCTGATGCCTCTTGGAGCCCCCAACCAAGCTCTGCAAGCGACGTTCTGAAATCACCTAGTATTCCGAAGCATTTTGCCCCTGTACACGGAGCTCATGTGACATTCATTTGTCACAGCTATCAGCCTCCGAGTGAACGCTTAAGCTCTTTTGAGTCTCATTGATTTTCATCAGAAAGCAGTTGCCTAACTCTCTCCGACAGAAATCAACGAGACTTAAAATGTTCTTAGATTTGTCTGGGGTTGCGCCCTCAAAGTGGCATGGTAAATACAGATATTATCCTACAAGCCATCTTAAGCGCTGGCTTTGGCGGTGCAACAGCTAAAGACCTAGCCAAACAAGAATATATTCACTTGACACCCAAGCTTAGGAAGCATATAATATGGTGACGGGGCCAATTCAACACATTATCCTGCCTGATGTGAAGGAGAAAATTGTCCCTTCCCCATTCCATACACAGAAGTTGATTGGAGCGGCCGCTGAATCTTACTTCCACGGGCTTGTCCACATTTGAGGCAATATAACACTTTGTGTTATAGAATTCACTCAGCGAGGCAGCGGTGGCCACCAATTTGGATAGCTTTGAAAGAGGATTAGACAAATTCATGGAAGATAACACTATCAATGGCTGCTAGCCTTGAAGGCTATGGCCTGCCTCCACAGCTGGAGGCAGCAGTGCTTCTTGAATGCCCAGCTATGTTTAGCCAGGATCAGGACCATTTCCCACAGGGGAGGATCCTGTTGCTTCCAGAAGCCTGACGGCTCCTTGTTTATCTCCCTCCTCAGGGATGATGACCCAGTTTGATGGCAAAGATTATGTGTGAATTCTTAGGGAGGAGCACAAGAAAGGAAAGGAGGGGGAAACCCTTTCAGAAAAGTACGTGCACCTACAACTCCTGGCAAACAGGAAAGACTGCAATTGCAAAAGGGCTGGAAATACAGAGAGGAGGAAGGAGTGTGGGTGGATATTAAAGAGAAAGTAAGTGTGTGTGTGTGTGTGTGTGAGAGAGAGAGAGAGAGAGAGAGAGAGAGAGAGAGAGAGAGAGAAGGGGTTCTGGAAAACTGAACCCAACCCACACATACCAACCTGAGAGCTGTGAGTGTTGCCTTGTTATGATCCACCTTGGCTTCTGAGAATATGTTCTTATTTTGGGTGTTAACATAAAGTGTTGCATTTATTCGCTTTTAATTGTTTTTTCTAAAGTATACACAAGAGCATAGCTGCTTCCACAATTAGATCCTTTTAGTGTCTCTGAAGCCTTGCTTTTCTTGCTGGTTCATCTCAAGTTCCCTGGTTCTGCAGAAGTGCTTCTGGTTTTCCAGCGTTTCTGCATTGTTTCTAAGCTGCTTATTATATTACACGTGTTTTACCTTTGTTCATTGCCACAAGGGCCTACTCTTGGCTGAACTCGTAGGATAAAGGCTACAACCACCCCGCCCCAGCAGCGGCCAGTGGGGAGAGGGCAAACGACGCTGGGGTGGGGCAGGACGGTGATGAGGTTGAGGGCAGAGTAGGTACTGCCCTGACCTTACCAGGGCCTGGCCTCACCCCAACTCTGCCTAGGTAAGCTACAATGACAGCCGTGTCAAGAGGACAGCACCACTCCACCAAATCAGCTGTTGCTGTTTTAAATAGCCAACGAACCAATGTGTAGATTTTGGGGTTTTGACTGTAGAAGAGGAACTGCTTAGTTGCAGAATCTGGATGGGGTTGGGCGGGATTACACATAGCCCTGCCACCCACCCACCCCCACATACATATGTGAACAAATCAGGCTCCCTGGTTCTTCTTACCTCCCAGGTGAGACGCAAACGGCTGACAGGTGCGTTGTTGAGCCCTATAACCACGGCATAGAACGTCAACATGTCCTGGTTCTGTTTACATCTGTGGGGAGGGGGAAAAGGGGGCAGGTAAGAAGTCAGACACTGATAAAGCTGAAGCCTGCAATAGCCTCTGCTGGGATAACTATTGTAAGCTCTCTAGAACAGCAGCCACTTTGCTCCTACATTCAGCATCCATCACCTAGCATCCTCTGGACAGAAAGCAAATGCAAATCAATAGCAACTGAATTATGGAGGGTGTCGGAGTGGTTCCCCTTAAGGAAACCCACAAGCCCCAACCCATAGCTCCCACCACCTGTAGCAAATGGGGGCCACTGCAAATAAATAAAAACCAGGAGGCCACAAGCCCTCTCTACAACCCAAGCACTTCTGATTCATAGTATTCAAGACCAGAAAGCCTAACCAAACCCGCTTCCAAGTACATGGCTCTGCTCAGCTCCTCACTCCAGCCTCCAGCCTTTCTGGCCTCCTTTCCCCACTCCTCAATGCAGAAAGCAAGCTGAGAAGGAAGCCGAAGCAATAATACAGCTGTCGTGGGCTGTTAGAGTCACTCTGGGTGATGGTGTCAAGGTTGTGACTTCACCAGCCACTAGCACCCAGGGAGGCGGAAAGCAGCCTGAGCATGCAGGGGAAAGGCAGACAGGGATTCCCAGCAGCAGCTGAACACAACAAGACAAGAGCAAAGATGGGAAGGCAGGGGAAAGCAGCAGCAATTTTGTAGTGTAAAGGCACAGACTTTGGGCATCTGCAGACATGAATATTTCAGGGTGAATTCACAGAATTGGAAGATGACCAAAAGCTGACTACATGGAACATGGAACCACATGGGAAGGTGGTCGCCTGTAGTCTCCACTCACGAAGCCCCACACTACCCCTTCCCTGCATCTGCAGACCATTGGCTTCACTGCCTCATGGTTTCTCCCCCATACTAAACTCTTAATCCACCCCCTTTCCCCAACATCTTCTTTCAGTCTCCCTTTCGGTGGGAAAGAGTGACTAGGAAACAGCTAACCATAAAGGTTCATACATAACACAAAGCCACAGTGTGCTTAGCTGAAGTATGGCTTGTCCGAATGTTTGAAGTCAATCCAGCAGCTTGTATTTCTGGATACAAGCCATAATGTGAAGCCATGGTTTGTGGTTGGCTTACAAACCATGATGTCATTACCATGATTTGGCATGTCTGAACCCTAACAAACTATGCTTAACTATGGTTTGTTTGGGTACTTCCCCACCCCCACTCCACCCCCAATACACTCACCAAGCTACAGAGGCACAAGGCAAAAGCAACTGGGAAGCAAGCCAAGCTTTAGAGAAGCAAGGCATGGCTTGTTTGCTTATCTGTGAAATCTGTGGTTTGTTGAACAAGTCATGGGGAAGCAAACCATAGATTAGTGTTCTGTGCTAGTGCAGCCAATGTGTATTCAAAACACTTGGGACAGAGCAATAATCCTGCACTGGAATACAGTTAGAAGAAGAGTCTTGAGATTTATTTATTTATTAATCGCCAAATGCCACCATGCTCAGATCTCTGTTTTGACAGGCGCCACCTCCGGAGGAGGTGCGGGTGCACTTTGGGACGCGGGTGGCACTGTGGTCTAAACCACAGAGCCTAGGGCTTGCCGATCAGAAGGTTGGTGGTTTGAATCCCCGTGACAGGGTGAGCTCCCATTGTTCGGTCCCTGCTCCTGCCAACCTAGCAGTTTGAAAGCACATCAAAGTGCAAGTAGATAAATAGGTACCACTCCGGCGGGAAGGTAAACGGTGTTTCCCTGCGCTGCTCTGGTTTTCCAGAAGCGGCTTAGTCATGCTGGCCACATGACCCGGAAGCTGTCTGCAGACAAATGCTGGCTCCCTTGGTCAGTAAAGCCAGATGAGCGCCGCAACCCCAGAGACGTCCGCAACTGGACTTAATGGTCAGTGGTACCTTTACCTTTACCTTTACCCTGAGGAGCTACGGTAGACTTTTAGCATGGCTGGGGCCATGTGCACTTTGTGCGGAGCAAACAAACAAAAAGTAAAATTCTGAATTCTACAACATGTAAAAATTACATAAATTAAGTACATTTGCACAACTTATTCTGCAATTCCCCTCTATTTTGCAGGGCACTGAAGCCCCACCCCAATCTTCACCCAGTGAAATTCTTGTTCAGCCCAGTCTCCCACAGATTTCTGGCACTGCACTCTGGTAGTCTGACTCAGAATAAGGAAGCTCTTTATAGCCTCTTTGCAAACAATTGCACATCTTAATAAAACATTTCCTTCTCCATGGATTTATTTTCCTCAAAGGTTTCAGATTACAACTTTGCAAACCAAGCCTATGCAAATGAACTTTATGCTTCATTATCAATTCCAAACACAAATTTTGCCCAGCCCTAGTTATAAGCAGTTTGACAGACAAGGGACTTGAGTAATGCTGAGGCATTACTTTTCTGCATTTGCCTGGAAACAGAATGAAAATGGAGGTTCAATGGGCTGCTTAATATAACAGGACAAAACCAGACCCCCAGATCAATATATTTCTATACTTTTTACTCAGAAGTTAAATCCTGTTCAGCAAAAACACCCTACAGCTTTAATTAGAAGCTTCCTTTGTGCAGTTTCTGCTTCCAGTTTGCTTTCTCTTGAGTGCAGCCAAGCTATAATGATTAATTCCCCTTAATCAATCCGTTCCTATGCACATCTGCTGATAAATAGGTTAATTACAGTTATTTTCATGGTCATCATTTGCTTTGTTACAAAAGGTAAGAGAAACTCAGGCATTAACCCACCCACATGAGGAGCAGGACTGACTGTGGGGAAATGAAGGGGCAATTCACCAGTGTGCTCAGCAGGAAGCAGTGAGGCAAAGGAAGCTATTGCGTCCAGGTGCTAATCAAAGCAGGGGTGGCTAACCTTTTCAACCCAAGGATTGCATTGACAGCTCCCTAACTTTCTGAGGCCATGCCCAAGTGGTGGGCACGGCTACCACACATACAGACACATGCACCACAAATGCCGAACATGCATAACACATCCTCCCCATATAGACACATCCACACTCACCACACAGACACAGTGGCCCTGAGCAAGCCGCCACTACTGCAATTATGGTGGGTTGGGTGGCAGGTTCTGTAGCAAAGCTGAGAAAAGCCACCACCATGGCTGGCTGGTGGGAACACCCTGAAAGCAGGAAGGAACAATCTGATCCTCTCCAGTGTTTCAGCAGCCTTTGGGAAACATCGGAGGAGATTGGAGTGCCTCTCCGCATTCCCAGAGCACTCCAACCTGCTCTCAATGTTGGCCGCTTGCTTACTCACTGCTGCTGCCAAAACCACCTCAGTCATTCGATGCCGCTGCCACTACCAAAACTACGGTGATGACTTGGAAGCAGTGGGTAGATGATTGTGGGTTCAGATAGCTCCAATTCTTCTGGGTAGGATTTGACACCTTTTTCTTGGTAGGGCTCCAATGCTTGGAGCAGCAATGGAATAGGCAGGAATTTGGCAAGTGAATTCCCCCCCCCCCCACTGTTGCCTCTCTGTGCCTGGAAATGCCCCCTGTGATGGCTCTCTGCCTATCATGCAGCCCTTAAGGATACAGGAGCCTCAGAAAGGAAAAGGGGTGGCAAACATAATTTGAAGGCTACTTTGAAGGTAACTTATTCTACTGGTGTGTGGGGCACTTTTGCTCAATAAAACATGATCGTCCATTCTTAGGGGAAAGATTTTAGCGGGTAAACCCAACTACATTTAGCCCAAATTACTGCACAGGCAGTGGTGGCCATTGGGATTGGTGAGGAGGAAGACAGTAGGCAGACTGGCAGTAGGCAGGCAGAGCCAACTAATTCTAGCGTTGTCCCCACCCTCCTCCCTGCTGAATTCTACAAGGGCAACAATGGGACTAAGGAAGAAGCGGCCAAGCAGTGTCACCCACTGGACTGGTTCTAAGAAAGAAGGTAGGGAAGGCAGGGATTGGTTTAAAGCAGACTGAGGTTGATGACACAGTGCCCCTTTTGCCCTATCAGAACAGCCTCCACTTTGGACAGAACTGAAACTGGCACCCCATGCAAGTAAGGCACACAATCTCAGAGAGGGGATTCAAATTAATACATGCTATGTAGCAGCCACTTAAGAGACTTCTCAAATTGTGTCTCTTACTGCATGGAGAGCCAGTTACATGTCCAAGCGGCGACAAAGCAAATTTCACCAAAACTATTGCAACCCTGTTTTCTCAGATTTTAGAGTAGCTGCAGGAACTCTGTTGGACAGAGGCGACTACTTTGTAAACTTGAGGCTGGGTGTGCGATGTGATTCTGTAGGAGTGCAGAAAAAGTGCAGCAGGTGCAGAATCTCAGCTTTCAGATTTAGTAAAGTTCCTAGCCCTTGTGATGCTGGAAAATGTGTGGACAAGCTCCTGCTCAAATCTCAGAAAGCCAAAGGTGCACCTGAGCAACATTTCTAACATGCAGAGCTTCTTACGCAACTGCGTAACTTAGTGACACTGCCATTAATTGGGAAAACGGGGGGGGGGGGGGGATTTCAGAATGCATTGTGAGAAAGAAGAGAAGCTGTTCAGGTTGTGCAAAGTCTTCAAACAGTCGCCAAAGGCTTGATCTTTGCATGTCTCTACCCTGGCCCCCGACAGAAAAGGGTTAAGATGCGGCACTCACACGGCTGCCACCTTGATGAACTTCTTGAGCAGGTGGGCCCGCTTCCCCAGCGACTCGCACAGCAGCACCTCCGTGGCCACCCAGTGCTGAACTTCACTGCAGCGCTGCAGCAGCAGCTCTAGGTTGGCTGTCTCCCGCCGACCACGTTCCCCATGGAACACGTAGTCCACGAATTCCAGCTACAAACAAAGATGCCAGAGCAGAAGTTAATAGCCTGCGTGCCTGTAGCCCTCCCCTGGCCTGTAGTGAAGGGAAAGGATGCCTCACTCTACACAGCAGGGGTAGCCAATGTGGTTACCCCCCAATATATATATATATTATTGGGCTACAATTCGCATCAGTTTCAGCCAGCACTGCCAGTAGTCAAAGGTGACAGGAACTGTAGTTCAGCACCACTGGGCAGGGGACACATTGAGTGTCCCTGCCTTACAGCCACAACACCAGCTATCCGGTTAAAAGGAGTGGCTTCATCCTTCAGTCCTCTTTATATATATCAAGGATGGAGAAGGGGCATAGGAGTGATTACACAGAGGGAACATAAGAATAATAGAATTGAGGACCTAGTTCAGATTGAGATGATCAAACCATGTCTCTGGGCTTCACCACTTCAGAGGGGTGAGGGGCTCCCATGACTGAATGCTCCTTGGGATGGGGCAACGGTGGAATTCCCTCCACATAGAAAACTAGCTGCCAAGGAGACACCTATCCCTTTCCCTGACATGCTAATTGTCTCCTGAATCGTGCACTTGAGGGCAAACCATGCGATTCATATCCCGTGCAGTTTGATCCTTCATCTGCGGCTGCTCTGAATGTGAAGGCACCACCCTATTAGGGCAGGGACAGGGAACCCAGGGGCTGACAGCCTCTCTATCTGGCCCTTAGGACTCTTCCCCAAGCCACACCCATCACCAGCCATGCTCTGCACTTTCCTCAAGTGCCTTTGCCTTGTGTGTGGCTCTTTTGCTGAACCAAGGTAAGGCTCACAACTGTTGCTCCACCCATTTTGGCCTCTGCCCTGCCCACCATTGCCATGTGACTGCTGCTCAAAGGTTGCCCATGAAGGAATGTGGCCCTCACGCTGAAACAAACTCTTCACCCCCTGAATTAGGGCATCCAGCCTGTAATATTGGCCCCTAACCTAGCTGCCAATCACTTCTGAAGGCCATGCACATCCTTCTTAAGTTGCAACATTTTCAGATTCCCAATCCAACTCCCTCACCCAGTTTCCTCCGTGCTCACCAGCTATGGGGCAAATTCATTTTTGTTACCTCATGGACACAGCGGAACAATTCCCAATGGAAGGCTGTGAGGTGATTCGCCACGTCCTCAGCTTCAACTCGATGGATCTCCGTGTCACCTGGCGACACCTGGATTTCCTCAGGGAGAGGGACCTGGGGGAAAGGCCGAGTTTGTGGAGAGCAGGGAGAGAGATTCCAATGTATGTGTTAGAACCAAGAAGAAAACCTGGGTGTTTTTAGAGCACAAGGGGTGGGGGGGAGTCTTTCTGGCAACTGCAGCTCCCTGATCCCACAGAGGCACAGAAGCTCACAGTGGGGCAGGGGCTGGGAACCTTTTTCAGTGCAAGAGAGGCGATGTCGCCTACCAGATCCCACCAGGGTGATTGAGGGGACCTCCTTGTTCTGGAAAGTGAATGAGTTGATAACAAGGCTTTCAGGTTTTACTAGTGATGGTTTAGGACAGAGGAAGTGCAGATAAATAATCAAGCAGAGATTGAACACTTTCCCCCCTTTTCCTTGATAGGGTTCCTACTTCACACTGGCAATTTAATGGTAACACTTCTTTGCAGGGTTGTTTGCACTGCTAATTAGAATCTAAAGGCTGCATTTCAGCCGGCTGAAGGCCTTTCATTAAAGCTCAATGTGTTCTACAAGCTGAATCTATGCAATTAGAAGTACACGGCCCTGAGTTCAATGGCGCTTACTCTCAGGGTAATTATGCATAGGACCGTAGTCATGCCAACTGGCTGATCAGGGATGTCAACCCAGGTCTCCTCAGCCAAATTCCAACATACTATCAATACACCACCCATTGCTAGCTAACAAGACCCCTGGACGGTTAAGTCCAGTCAAAGGCAACTATGGGGTTGCGGTGCTCATCTCGCTTTCAGGCCGAGGGAGCCGGCATTTGTCCGCAGACAGCTTTCCGGGTCATGTTGCCAGCATGACTAAATGCTTCTGGTGAAATGGAACACTGTGACAGAAACCAGAGTGCATGGAAACACCGTTCACCTTCCCATGAAGCGATACCTATTTATCTACTTGCACTGATGTGCTTTCGAACTACTAGGTTGGTAGGAGCTGGGACAGAGCAACAGAGCTCACCCCGTCGCGAGGATTCGAACCACTGGCCTTCTGATCGGCAAGCCCAAGAGACTCAGTGGCTTTGACCAAAGTGCCACCTGCATCCCTAACATGCCCTATGACTGTCAGCTGAGCCTGATAAATTGGGTATTAGACAATATACTGCTATAGGAGCTGTCATGAAGAGCTCCTGCACATCAAAATTTACCTCTACACTACTGCTTACACCAAGAAACACAGCACCCGCATGACAAAAAGTCCCTGCCAGCCGAGGGAGGAGCAGAGCAGAGGGGAAGAAAGGAGCTCACTCACCAGCGATGGGAAACTCTCCTTAGTGCAGGCAAAGAGATGGCTGTTTATCCCCAGGGTAGTGAAAACACACTCTTCATTGGGCTGTAGCACAGATTTCTCTGGCAAAAAGCAAGGAAAGAAAGAGTTCCTGAACAATCTGGAGCAACAGCAGGAACATATCTCAAAACAGACGCGTATTATCATTTATATTGTGGAAATGTGTTATATATATGTTCAGGGTCTGGTAGGATTTCTCCTCAAGTTCAAACTGGACAGGGATTCTTGCTCCCCCACACCCCAAAACACCCCTTCTGCTCTGGCATGTAGATCACTTATTTGAGGCATATGGAAATAGGGCATTTGCTCACAGTGCAATGTGGCCAGGATTCTATTAGGGCAGAGGGTCAGAAACCCATGGCCCCTTCAGATATTGTTGGACTATAGCCACATTCACACATACATTTAAAAGCATTATGATACCGTTTTAAACAACCATAGCTCCTCCTAAAAAATTTGGGAAGCTATAGGTTGTTAAGAATGCGGAGGGTTGTAAGGAGACCCGTATTCCCTTCCCAGAGCTACAATTCCCAGAGTTCCCTGGGAAGAGGGACTGGTTGTTAAAACCCTCTGGGAATTGTCACTCTGCCATTCTTGCCTTGTCCCCCACCCCAGCTCTCGGGAGTTACCTCCTGAGGACGCTACTGCCACCAGGATGAGAGCCTCCTCCCGGGTGGGCTGCTCATCCGAGTACTGGAGCTTCTCAGTCACCGAGGCGAGGATGTCCTGCACAGAGGCCGAGAGGCGGCTGCGGATGGTGACATATGAGTGGTCTGGCATGTAAACACGGCAGAAGACTAGAAAGAAACAGAGCCGAGAGGCTGGAGGTTGGAATCCATAGCCAGCAAAGGACAGCCATGGTGAACAAATACACTTAGGTTGGGAAAAACTAAAAATAACAATCATCCTGCAATAAGGAGGGGATTCGGCCTACTGTCGCTGTGGGATTCAATCCCCTCTGTCGACTCATCCTCATAACTTTGAGGGGCTTCCCAGAGGCTCTTCTCCAGCCCCCTCCTCTGAGGGACACTTGGAGGGTGATGTCAGAGGGAGCATTCCCAGCTGCGGCTCCTAGTCTGTGGAAGGCTCTCCCCAGTGAGGTCCGCCTGGTGCTTTAAGCACCAGGTAAAGGTTTACCTTTTCACTCAAGCTTTTGAAGTGATTTTGTTCTATTATTTGTGTGCTGCCAAAGCTTTCTATGGTTGTAATTTGATGAGGAGGATTTATGGGTGGAATTGCAGAACCATGTCTGCAGCTGCACTCATCAGCCCTTTTAAAGACAATCCAAGCGGGAACCCCAACACGACCGTCACCAACGCCCTCATCTCCTTTAATACTCACTTTCATCTGAGCCACGGAAAGCGACCCGTGTCTGGAGGCAGGAATCTATGCGCCGGAAATGCCTGAAAAGGGGTTTGACTTGCTTGCTGGGGGGATGGCTTTCTTCAGTCACCCTGCGGCCAAGAAGGCAAGATTTAGAAGCTAGAAAAGGGGCAAGCAACATGGGCCACAATGTGGGAAATTTTCAGAGGAGCAGGGCATCCGTGCCATTCTGTGAGGAGTTAAGGAGTTTCTAAGGAGCATTCAGGGCAGAGGCAGGGAGCCAGGGGTCCTGCAGATGTGGCTTGACTCCCATCATCCCCAACCACTGGGCCATGCTGGCTAAGGCTGATAGGAGTTGGGAGTCCCACAACATCTGAAGGGCCACAGGTTCCCCAATCATGATTTAGGGATTTCAGAGGCAGTTTGGCCAGGGAGATTGTTGTGAGAGTAGGCCGCTGCTTGTAACAACCCACCATTAGACAGCTGGCCACTATTAGAAGAGTCTAAACATTTACCCCAAGAGTTGTCTCCTGGACCTGGAAAGCACAGGGCGAAAGGTAAATATGGAAAAACCCTAAGCTTTCTATGTTCTTATATACATCAGTACCATGTAAGGTATAAGTAAGTTGTTTGGGTTGCAAAGTAACAAGGATTGCGGTGACCTCAGCTTTATGAAAGCTTCCACTATTCAGAACTAGGTATAGCATAGTGGTTAAGAGCACGGTCCTCCTTGATTTCTAGTTCCAAGGAGATGACCTCTTAGTTTGCAACCTTTGGGGAAGTTCATCTCATCCCCTCTAAGCAAAGAAAGAAAGTGTGTAGGTGTGTGTGTGTGTCGCAGGACTGCACAGGAGGGATCTGGCCCTGCACACCACCAAACACCATGTTCAAACGTTCTACTTGGGTGCCACTGTATGCATGTAGCTCCTCCATATGGAGAGGGATTGTGATTGCATGAGGAGAACAACTACTGACACAGAAGTTTGAATTCCTGGAGTCCTGGGGCTTATTTAACCTGAGCTATCTTGTTGAAACTTTGCCCAGAAAATGCACAAATGAAAAACAGTGGTCTGCCCAGGAAGATGCGGTGACAGAGGAACATGGCAACTGTGGAAAGCGGCAAAGTTTGTGCACAACAATTGTTTTGCCAAGATGTGGAAGAGGTTATATGAAACCCGTTCTTGTGACTGCAGTACCGGCAACATAATGCACTTAGGAAAAGCAGCCTGAGAGGTTTCCCCATGCAGGAGAAATTCTGCATTCCATATCCCAATCCCCCTCTCCCCTTACTTGAGTTCAACTGTCTCCACAAGCTGATGAAGCTTCAAAATTTCATCTTCCAATTTGTGATAGAGGGAGGAGTCCTTCATAATGAGCAGATACAGGTCCTAGGAGAAAAGAGAAAGTGGCCTGATCCATCATGCTCTGATATAAAAGGAAGGGGTACCTTCTATTTTGGGCCCCCTGGATCTATGGCTATTTGCCACCAAGTAAGGCAAAAGGACATTGGGGCGGGGGACTGTGGCTGGACTAATACTTTGCAATCCGTTGCTATTCTTCTTTTCTTAAAAAGTTTCTCGTTGTAATGAGAGTAGGGTTAGGGGTGTCATGGTGTACCTTGATAACTTTGCCTGCTTTCTCCTCCTCCTGCAAGATCCCCTTGTACGTCTCGAGGAAGTGAAGCAAAATAACCAAAACTGCTCGCTTTCGGTGCATGGCTTCGCCTTCCTTCCAACATGGCGGTGATGGGATTGTCGACGCTGTCATGAAGGTGACCACATGGAAGTCAAGGGAAAATATCGGGGCTGCGGCCACAGAAGGGAGTGGTTGGAAGAAAGGAGAACAGCCGAAGTGATGAGGTTTGGAATGGGGTGGGTTGATTCTGGGTCCAGATAGCAAGATGGCAAGTACAGATCACAGAAACTGCAAAGATCACTAACGGGCCAACAACCCCATTCTCCATTAATGGATAGAGTTTGCATATCCCTCAGCCATCCAGGAGGCTGTGGACTTTGGTATCTTTTGGTGCAGAATTCAGAATATGGAGAATCTCGATTTATGTCAGTGGTGTGGTGGTTCACATTTCAAACGTGAACCAGGAGACCTGCGTTCAGATCCCCACCCAAGACATCCAGCTCACCACCTGAGCCTGGGCCCAGTCACTTTCCATTAGCCTAACCTACCTCAGAGGGTTGTCGTGAGGAAAGACAAAAATGGGAACTAGCGCCATGTAAACTATCCAAGCTCTTTGGAAGAAAGAGAGAGAAATGCAAATGAAAGCAACAATGGCTGTCCCTGCAAGCTACGTAGCCTGAAAATCCCAGTTTATTTAAGTTCAACTGTCTCCACGAGGGGGGAAAAGAAAGCAAGTTTCGAGATTTTGTGGTTGCAGAGATGAGATGGGAAACAAACAAATAGGGGTAACTGAGATGGCTGATAAGAGTAGACAAAATGTCATGTACAATTCGCTCCTAAGGAAATGCAAAAAACCAGGGCTGATTTTTTAATGCAGTGTTATATGTTTGTGTGTATGTCATCACCAGAAACTCACAGAACCAGAGAAGGTCACATTCCGCACATCCACACCCCCTTCAGTCTATCAATACCAGAATTTGTGATGGTGGTGGGAGCTGTTAACAGGGAGGAGCAGCTTAATTGCTACCTGTTGGCTGAAATTAACAAAGTCCACCCAGGTTGTTTATTTTTTCAGACCTGTGTAATGTTATCTTATTCTCTCGAGAGCCCTGTGTGACAAGAGAAGTTGACAGATGAGGCTAAAGGAGAGAGATTAAGGCTGCAATCCTATACACCCTAAGGAAGAGGAACTTAGTTCTGAGTAAACATGCGGAAGATTGATCGGCAGACCCCAAAATGCAACACACTAGAGGCTGAGATTTAATCTGCCTGGCAAATGATGTGGGATTGAGCAGATTTCTTCATAAGGTTATTATTAGGTGTATGGTTCCCATCACCATGACCACCAAAACTCCAAAAAGTTCAAGGACACATACATGGGAAAATAAACTAGGACTGTATCATCTAATGTTATCCTCATAGCAATACTGTTAAGACTGCTTAGGGTAAGACCCAAAGTGCAGGTGAATGGGGACTGGTGGGCATCATCAGCGCACATCTCCCCATGTGATGTCATTATGCTAGTATTTCCTTGCTTCCTTCAAGCAGCGGCCAATAAAGTGAAGCAGGAAGTGAAGAGATGCTGTGACATCATATATTTTCTTTCTACTACATATTACCAAGAACACACTGGAAAACACGTGGATCAGCGGTTCCCCCACACGCCTTGCTATAACGTGCTGCTTGGAACCGAAAGGGTGATTTTGCACAACAACAATAAGAATTCACACTCTCAAGAGGTTAAATTTGTTCTCCAAAGCCAAATTTCTGCATTAGCACATTCTGCCCACTCCCTCCCATTAGAAAACTGGCAGGCACCATCACTGTTACATTGCAGATGGTTTCATTTCAGAAGGCCTTTGCGCTATATAACATTGCTCTGTTTTCTATTTTTTTGATGTAAAAATCTGTGCTGTACATTTTGCACATTTTGTTTCTTCTTCTGCAAGCTGCTTTGAGACACACAGTGAAATGCGAGGTATGAACCTTTCTTAAATAAGAAAACTAATAAATAAAACCTGTGGAACTGCAGAAGCCACAGGGTTCTAGGCAACAAGAACGAGAAATATGAGGTGACCCGAACAGAGTTTCTCCTGCAGGAAAATGTGTCAGAATGGCATGCATTCCTCCTCCACCCCCACTTCTTCCCCCAACCCTTCAACCATTATGGGACGTTCCAAAACATCACACAGAAAGGATATTGCTGGTGCAGCTGGTGCAGGAACTGCTCTGTGGGCAGGAACAGCGAGTGGGTGAGGACGATGTCGTCTAGCAGCAGGTCTGAGAAAAGACAAGGAATGAAGAAAAGAGAGGGATTATACTGCTGTCCCGCCCTGAGAGTGCAAGGCGACAGCACTGACAAAGAATTCGGTCCACCCTTCCTTTTCAGTGATGTAACGGGATAGGGCACGTAGGCAGATAAGCATGGTCACAAGGAGTTTATAACAAGGCCCAATCCAACTGGTTACAAAGGACCCGCCTCCTGTATCCCAGCACTGGGGACAGAGAAGGCTTTCAGGGTAAGGCAGCGTTGCAAAACCTTCATCTCAAATACGGAGGAGGGAAATGGAATCTCTTCCCACTTTCCTGTTAGCTCTTTCTTCACGCCGTCAGAAAAGTGGTGCGCTGTGGTGTGACCCAGACCCGGAAACTATTCCTAATGTCCCATCTCACACCTGGAACGGGTTGTCTCTGAACATGTGGCAATATTGTGTCTATGTAAGGCAGCATGGAATGAACCAGAATCAGCTCCTGTGTATTTCACGTGAGGGTATCAAAGAGCGCAACTTTTAGGGCAGGTGTGGGGAACCTTTTGGCTCCAGGTGTTGATGAAGATTAGTAATGTCCACACTGCCTTGCAGTGGCTTCCCAGGGTTTCTGACAGGGGTCTCTCCCAACCCTACCCAGAGATGCCAGGGAATAAGTGAACCAGGGACCTTTGACAAGGAACAAGTCTGCAAATCAATCCGCCAAAGACCAGAAGACCTCCCTAACCATCCATTCCTAAAATTCTTCTGTTAATATTAAGTCTACATATCCCTCCCACAAGGAGACTAAAAATCAAAGCGCCTCCACCTACCGTATTTTTCACCCTATAGGACGCACCGTCCCATAAGGCGCACCTAGTTTTTTGGGGGGGGAAATAAGCCTGGAGAGGGAGAGGGGTCGGTGCGCACCGACCCCTCTCGCTCTCCAGGCTTCAGCGAAAGCCTGCATTCGCCCCATAGGACGCACACACATTTCCCCTTCATTTTTGGAGGGGAAAAAGTGCGTCCTATAGGGCAAAAAATATGGTATATAATAACTACCCCTCACCTCCACCTGTAACCAACTGATTTTTGTTGTAAAACAGAAAAGTAATAAGGCCTCCTAAGCTGCCTCTTCCCTAAAATGCCTGAGGGGGAAAGATTAATTAAGCAGCAGAGTTCTCTTAACAATTGTTCAGCTTCTTCCCAGAACATTTGCTCCACTAATTTTGAAAGCTATTATCTTACAGCTTGGCTAATGTATCAGCAAGATGCTAATCAGAACCAAAGCATCTAGCCGTTGAGCCTGAAAAGAGTCTGATTCCTCATGTTTTCCTCAGTCTGTTTCTCTCCCCTCTATCAGAAACCGTCCTGAGTCTTCTCTCACTGTCCGTATAATGGCCAACCAAAACGTTAGAAAATCATATGCAAGCTTGTGAGCTCTCCAGAATTCTTCATCCAGCTAGATGCATGATAAAAGCTGAAAGTGAGAAGGTAGGGTTTTTTTGGCTTGTGTTCAAACCATCCATGTTTGCATCTAGTAAGAGACTGAAGATGGAGTGTAGGAGGTAACAGACATTCAAATGAGGTCCTTTTTAGGTTTAAAAACTGAAAACATAGTTTTATCAGATGCTGGAGAGAATGTTACCTCGGAGAACAAAGTTCCTAAAGCCTAGATGAGGTTTAGGTCACATCACACCTTTTGCAGACCCCCCGCCCCAAAGTGTACCTATTTTCCAGGGACAGTCCCGGATTTATAGAAGCCATCCTTGTTTGTGATTTGATCCCGGAATGTCCCTCTTTTCCTTAGGACGTCCCTATTTTCATCAGAGAAATGTTGAAGGGTATGGTGTTATGCGATGGACAAGCCAAGGAGATAAGTGACTATACAGTGGTACCTCGGGTTAAGTACTTAATTCATTCCGGAGGTCCGTTCTTAACCTGAAACTGTTCTTAACCTGAAGCACCACTTTAGCTAATGGGGCCTGCTGCTGCTGCTGCGTCGCCAGAGCACAATTTCTGTTCTCATCCTGAAGCAAAGTTCTTAACCTGAAGCACTCTTTCAGGGTTAGCGGAGTCTGTACTCTGAAGCGTATGTAACCTGAAGCGTATCTGAGGTACCACTGTACAACGTTTAGAAGACATCTGAAGGTAGCCCTGTATAGGGAACATTTTTGTAATGATTTATGTTTTATTATGTTTTTATATATGTTGGAAGCCGCCCAGAGTGGCTGGGGCAACCCAATCAGATGAGCGGGGTATAAGTAATAAAATTATGATGACGGTGGAATAAGACGTCCTGGTTTTCATTGGAGAAATGTTGGAGGGTATGCTTTTGTTTCTCTACACCAGGGGTGGAGAACCTCAGGCCCAGGGACCAAATGCAGCCTCTAAGCCTCTCTATCCGATCCTCAGGACACACATCCTCACCGGCACAGCTTTGCACCCTTAAGTGCTTCTGCCTGGCTGGAATGTGACTTCACACTATGATATTATCTCTTGCTTGTCTGGATGGAGAGACTGGTGGAGGTGTGCAGACACCTCTGGCTTGTGCCTGGCTGCTGGAATACACAGGCAAGAGTTGCATCTGTTGCTCCACCCATTTTTTGTCTCTGGCCAAGGCCACATGTGGAGGGATACCCATGAGGGAATGCGGGCCTCAAGCTGAAAATGTTTCCCCACCACTGCCCTATATATTCCCAGGGAAGAGAAGGAAGAGGAATAGACACCAGTGTATAACCTTTCTATCCCTTCTGTGTTGTCCTCCAAGTTGTTTCTCAGCTCTCCTACTGGAGATTTTGTGTGTGTGTGTACATGCGGTGTCAAGTTATACGCAAAACATATTCCCTACCATTAAACTATGGGTTGCTTAAAGAAATTACATAAATAGAAAGAAGAGGTTCCAGTCAGAGACACCTGGGATGTTTGCTCTTGTGCATCTTTCTCCCGACAACACCACCTGATTATGGCTACTGCTTGGGCTAAATCATGTGTTTTAATTTGTCCGTATCTCTACCTCCTTTGCACAGCACCACACACACACACACACACACGACAGGAAAGGGAGTAGTGTGAACTTATTGCTTCCTGGCAAATTTAGCATAGCCCTCATGAGCAAGAAAATCCTATTGGATTCACTTCAGTATATTGGGGGCAGGGAAGAGACAGAGAAAGGAGGCCAGCATGTTAATCCCTTGCATCAGCCAGACATCAAAAGACAGCGGGATCTTCAGAGCTAGGCTCCCAGACAATCAAAACTGTCTGACTAGGAGAGAGGGAGAGGGAGAGGAAGAAGAAGAGGAAGTTAATTAGCCACCTTTGTGCTGTGCCTTTGCTAGCGACAGGGTTCTAATCCGAGGCTGACACCCCCTAAATAAACCGTTAAAACGTACACAAGCTTCTATATCAGGAGCAGAATGCCTCAGGGTGGGCTGGATTAATCACTGTGCTAAGTAAGGATGTATTCAGACTAGGAGGTTATTGTGCTAGCATGCCTGGTTCTAATCTGTCACAGTTTCTAACGCTGCATTTACACTGCGGTACCGGTTGCATTATGGAACTGTGCCTTTTTATATATCTATCTACTGCCACGTCACACTAAATTTCACTCAAACTGGGCATGACATAGCAGCAGGAGTCACTGGGCATTTCACCACCCTTCATGCACATGAGTGCTTCTGTTCCCCCAGGATTCACCCATGTCAGGAAAGAACTGTACACCAGGATACCGCCCCAAATTTTATCGTCCAAATTTTGTGATCCATGTAAATGGTGGGAAAATCATAGCGGAAAATCCCTACGGATTTTCCAGGCTAACAGGGTTTGACATGGATTTTGTTTTTGTTTTTTTCTGGAAGTGATTAACAAAGAAATAGTGCTAAACCTCCACTAGATTCCGCTAGATTTCTAGACATCATCAGGTAAGGAAACTTCAGAAAAACAAAACAAAATTCTGCCTGAATCCACCTTAAGTCACAAAACAGGGTGCTAGCCTTCTTCCCCGCCATACTGTGGTCTATCTATCTACAGAGTTGACTCACCTTTTGGCCCCGTTTGGGGCTCTTCAAAATGTCCAGACATCCAGAATTTCACTAACAGCTCCTCTTCAACAAGTAAAGGTAAAGGTAAAGGGACCCCTGACCATTAGGTCCAGTTGCGGACGACTCTGGATTTGCGGCGCTCATCTCGCTTTATTGGCCGAGGGAGCCGGCGTACAGCTTCCGGGTCACGTGGCCAGCATGACTAAGCCGCTTCTGGCAAACCAGAGCAGCGCACGGAAACGCCATTTACCTTCCCGCCGGAGTGGTACCTATTTATCTACTTGCACTTCGTGCTTTCAAATTGCTAGGTTGGCAGGAGCAGGAACCGAGCAACGGGAGCTCACCTCGTTACGGGGGTTCGAACTGCCGACCTTCTGATTGGCAAGCCCTAGGCTCTGTGGTTTAACCCACAGCGCCACCTGCGTCCCTTCTTCAATAAGTAGCAGCTCCTTAATTTTCTACTAGTGAAAAATATTATACTGTTCTAGCGGGTGTGCATTTCCAGTGGGGAAAACTCATGAGAACCTAAGAAGGGCCTGCTGGATCAGGCCAGTGGCCCACCTAGTTCAGCATCCTGTTGTCACAGTGGCCAACCAGATGGCTATGGGATGTCCACAAGCAGGAATCGAGCAGGAGAGTACTCTGCCCTTCTGTGATTTCCAGCAACTGGTATTTAGAAGCAGGCATACCAACTCGATGGAGCTGAGGCCTCTACAACTCCCCCATGTCCACTGGGATGGGGCTAACCCACCTACCCCAATCTTGAAGGGGGCAGAGGAGCCTGGTGGGATGTTGTCCCAGGCCAACCAGCACAGCCTGGCATGTGAATGTTACAGAGGGAGGAGGCCTGGTCGGCCGATGCAACAGTCATCATGCACACACGCAATGTGCATGATGTTGCGCGCGCACACACACACCCAATATTGGGCGCATCAAATGCAGCACGCAGTTAGCTCAGGGAAGATTTAGCAAGCGCTGCAGCTATGCACATTGTCAGCGCACACAGAAGTCTATGTCCACCTGGCCACAAGATAATTGCTTTCTGAACTGGCCATTGATATGTGTTTATACTGTGTGTGCGGCAATCAGCTGGTGTGCAACTCAGGAGATAATAAAAGGTATTCTTAATAATTTAGATTTCTGCTATTAATATTCCTTCTGCAGCAGAGGTTGTCAGAGGTTACATGCACACACACACACACACACACACACACACAAACGTTAAGAAATAGAATATTTTAAATAACACTTTCAGTTGGCTGAGAAACACTACAAAAACGAATTATGGCAATTATGTCACCCATGCTGCTGCTAATTAACTCCTGCCAAGAGAGCTTGAGGACATCTTCTAAAGAGTTGATTCTGTAAGTGATCATAAGGATAGAGATTCTTCATGGGGTGGGGGCAATGCATAGTTACCGCAGTTTAATAAAAAGGAGATATTGTGAACCGACACCCCACTGCTACAGTGCACACAAGGGCCTTTTGGCTGAGGACATAGTCATCACACCACTAAAAGGTGTTTTCAGTTTAGCTCACCAGTGTGGAAAGGGGTCCAGCATCTTTCCCAGGAAGGGCAGAAGGTCTCAGGCAAGCGCTGGCCACGGCTAAACACCATTCATTCAGCAGAGCTGATCACAAACTCTGCAATCCAGTGGGCTTGCCAAGCTGGCTCACTGCCTGCTACTGAGCTAAGCCTTAATTAATTGGAAAGGGAGAAGCAGTCCATGGAGAGTGACGCTGGGAAAGAGATCCCTGCCTCCACTGCACCAGACAGTATCCCAGAAAGGATGATAAAAGCCTGAGCGAGGCAAGAATCCAGGCCAAACTGGCCAGGGTGCAGATTAGCAACAGAGAAGGGAATGCCCCATCGCTGATGCCCACTTCAGCCTAGTCAGCTCCAGCTAAGCACCAATGTAGCAGCCAAACTGACTTGTTGCTGGGAGAGGAATTTGATTCAGTTTTTGCGTTTAAAGGCGAATCCACCCGGCTTGCTCTTTCCAAAACTATACACAAACCAAAACACAGCGGTTCTTTGAAAATCTTGCTTCTCCAAATTTTGCAGGGCGTTTCTGCAGAAAGGTAACGCGCACACAACGATGCACGCATTAGTGAAAATAAGCATAGAGAAATGGATTGCATTTGGGAAAACTGCTTTGCAAAAACATGCATGTAAGGCCAAATTGCATACAAAAATTAGTATGTCAGGAGAAATTCACACTGCTAATGAAATTTCACGAGGACTTAAAAAAATATTGCATAGTGATGTGGAAACGAGGAGAACTGAACTTGACTTGAAAAAATTAGAAACTAGGAGAAACCGATATTGTCACATTTGCTCATTCTTACTAGTTGCTGGGAAGGAAGAAGTCAGACTCGCAGATAGCCAAGTGTATCATCTCCCAAACTGAAAACCAATGCTTAATTCATTTCTGAATTATAATTGGAGGCACCCTTCTCTACTGTACCCTCATGAGCTTACTTTCAGGTGGTGAAAAAGTAGTAAGAATAAGCAGCCCTTAGAAAAGTCTTCGGTGTGAGTTGGTTGAATGATCTGACCATACCTGATAGGCCCAATAATCTTGCTGTTTGAGGGTGGGGAGGGGGGAGCAAATGCTGTTTGTGTCCCCACCTCCATGTTAGGGTACATAATACTGAAGGCCAGCCAAGTTATTTTGGAAACTGAGGCAGAAAAGTCCACAAGGACCTCTTGCTCTCATTGGCAGTAAAAATAAAATAATAAGACATTATTATTGGTATAGTACAATGCTGTCCTTTCATGACACTCAAAACAAGTTGCCTCAATCTGGCCAACAGCACAGCCGGCCCCATACATGATGCAGAGATGGGGCAGAATATGAGCAACTTACAGCAGAGGTTGGTTGGAAATAATTGAGACCAGAGCAGCAAATCATGCAGTGATACAGCAGCAGGTGTGGGTGAGGGTGAGACACACACACACACACATCAAACCTTTCATTTTTCTTGCTTTTTTCATGATACAGTAACTGTTATCTTGCAGCACAGTGTTTGGGAATAATTGACCTAACGTTAGGAATATGCTTTTGGAAAGAGGCAGCCAGTGCTCTCAGATGGACATGCACTTTCCCCTTTATGAACATACCCAGATGGGATCTTTCTAGCGGTTACCAGTTGTCACTTTCCCACTACCGTATTGGCCCGAATATAAGCCACACCCGAATATAAGCTGCACATTTAAAAGTCGTGGGGGGAGGGGAGAGGGGGGAAAAGACAATAACCAAATATAAGCTGCTCCCTTCCTTGCTTTCTCCCTTCTCGGCCTTGGGGGAGAGGACAGGGGACTACGCGCGTGGCAAGCACCACTTTGTCACGTGCCTGGCACTCCTTGCCCCACGCTCCTGGCTGCATACTGGATAATTTTTGTAAGGTCGTGAATATAAGCCACACTTTAACTTTTCACGGTCGGAATTGGGGGGGGGGGAGTGTGGCTTATATTCAGGCCAATACGGTATTTGCATGCAGAATAATGGAAAGAATGAAAGGGTTTTATACTACAGGAGGAGATCTTAAACAGGGAATCTTACCTGATGCAACAACAGGGCAGCACCAGGAAGCAGGTCGAGGTTTTCCAAAAGGGTGGTCTGAGCAGCCATAAAACTGGCACCTCCCCTGTGCTGTTTTTGGCCTCACAAGATTTTAGGGCCCTCCAGACTGGGGTTGGTTTTTAGGGTGTATTCCACCACACATCCTTTGGTTAATTGGTTGTTCTGTGAGGCTTCCCCAATGTTACCACATTATTGCCATCTGGAAGGAGCCGTGGAAGGTGACCTTCTGAAGTGTGGAGCATTCTGCACTCCTGAAAGCTCCCCATGCATTCAGGAATTCTGAAAAATCAAGGTTCCAAAACATGTGAGGAGCCTTGGCCGATACGGAAGGCTTCCTGCTTCAAAAGGCTGCTGTCTCCGAGTGGTGCTAGATTCCAGGTGCAAGGTTCCAGGCACTTACCCAGGGTTTGTGTTTCCACTTGGAAATGAGGCACAGCAGAGACTGTGGTGTATTTAGGATATATAGTTTATTTGCACATGTATACAACCTGAACCTACGATGGAGGGATTTACAGCATCAGCACCTCAAATGGGTCTTGTTTCTCCCACAGTTGCAGCCTTGGATTCAAGCAGACATCAAATTCTATGCTTTTTAAATTCTATGACCATGCTCTGCCCGCAGCCTTTTCCAGCCTGCAACCTTTAGTCTCCTAGGTCACATAACAGCCAACTCTCAACCCTGGCTTTCTTTTCCTAACTCACTCTGAAATGATGGAGGGGCTCCACCCACTTGGCCCAGAGCCTTTGCTTTCTTAATGGCACATTACCTTTCCTTGGTTGTCTTAATGGCCCATCTCCCAGATGATCTCCTGAACACAAGAAGCTGGGTCCAGGAATTAGGAGTCTGGCATCCAGTTCAACCCCCCAAGTCTTGATTAAATTCTATCAACTATTGGACCCAGAAATTTAGGGGAGTCTGGCACCCACAAACTCATAACATTCGCCTTCCATGAACTGGAGGGAGACCAAAATGGTGTGAACGGGGGGAGGGGTGTAACATTCTCACTCCTGCAGGCCCACTCTGCACATTTATTTAAATACATTTGATAGCCTGCATATTGTTTTTGCTTTGCTAATATATCTTTAACCAGAAGAGACCCTTTCCTTTTTGCGTTAAAACCAGCACAGGACAGGCTATTGTAAATTAACAAAGCAAGTAAGGTGAGGGGGAGTGTGAGGCATGAGGACTGCAGACTCACACAGTGAGCCACGGTGTGAGAGTCAGGAATGACGCAAGCAGACTTGTCCTGATTTCCATCTGTGAAATGATGGAGGAAATTATCGCCCGAAAGGTTCGCCCAGCGTCTTCATTTTATTTTCATATTGCGCCCAAGGACATGTGATTTGATCCGATTCCGTAAATCAGACTGAAAGAGCCATCTAAGTCTAGCAATCAATGCATACCCAGATCATCTGAGGACCTTCACAAGCATGACAGCATGGTGGGAGACAGCCATTGTCTGTGTTTGCCTCCAGTATATGTTCGTCAGAGGAATCTGGGCTCTGAACACGAGAACCAATGTGGTATGGTTGTTAAATACTGGATGAGAAGAGGAGACAACCAATTTCAAATCCCCATTTAGTCTTGGGGTTCACTGGGTGACTCTAGCTAAATACATTCAAGCACAATTCCCACCACCCACCCAAAATAATTCTGGGAATGTTAGTGTAAATGCTCCTGCAATCTGCAGCCCAAATGTTTTATAGATCAGGCCCCACTGGCGACTAAGTCCAGAGGTCCTTTGGGCTTCAGCCTGTGACACAGCTGGGAGCTTTACATTTTAACCACCAGAGCAAAACAAGAGATACCACCATACACCCTGTTGCTGGAACGGTCTGTGCAAATGAGCACAATATGACAAAGGAGTACTGTTAATAACACTTAGCATTTTAAAAAGTGCTTTAAAGTGGTCAGCCCTGTAGAGCAGGCCAGTATTATTATCCTTAGGGAGCAGATGGATGGGATGAACCTGAGGAAGTGATCCGCCAAGAGAAGGAAGGTACAGTGGTACCTCGGGTTACATACGCTTCAGGTTACAGATGCTTCAAGTTGCACTCCGCTAACCCAGAAATATTACCTCAGGTTAAGAACTTTACTTCAGGATGAGAACAGAAAACGCACGCCGGCGGCACAGTGGCGCTTCAGGTTAAGAACAGTTTCAGGTTAGTAACAGACCTCCAGAACGAATTAAGTTCTTAATCCGAGGTACCACTGTATTCCTAACTTACAGCTCAGTCTCTTAGCTACTGTGTCACATGGGTTGTACAAAGCAGTGCAATCCAGCAGTTTCCCCATGTTTTACCGCATTTCGGAATTATTTATCCCCGTGACAGAATTCAGGGTTCCAGGTCAGCAGAATCTGACGGTCTGGGATGGTTTATGTGTAAAATCCCAGGCAAGAAGGATGGCCAGTCAGATGAAGCAGGAGGAGCGACGTGAGGTTGGGACAGTGATTCGCCAAGTGCAACAGCAAGCCTGACAGCAAATCACAGAAAGGGGCGACAGCCCTGGATATTGGCTTTCTTAGCTCAGCAATGCCAGCCCAGTGTGATTAATAAGCAAAAGGACACCGAAATGGCCAGCCAACTCTGGCAGAGAAACTGCTCAGAGATTGGAGAGCAAGCCAACAGGCTCTCGAGACTGCTCTACAGGGGAGGGATTAGCAGGCAAGAATAAGTGTCACAGAGTCACCCCCTTCACTGCAAGGAACAGCATGCTGCCAGCTGCCTCCAGGGCACAGAAGCCTAGAGACGAATGCTGAGCATTAGGCAGGGTCCAAGAAGGAGTAGGAAAAGATGAAGACAGACAGCAGTGGCTGGATTAGGGATAGGTGAACCTGTCAGTTTCAGTTTCTCTTGCATTTCTGCATTTTCCCAGTTTTAAATTCAGCTTGGCCCATTTCTGCCTCGGGTTGCAAACATTTTTTTTTTAAAGTCTGCATGAAAATTTGTATGCATTTCTGTATGTACTTCAACTAATATACACCTTTCTGCATTTTGCACATTTTTTCATTAACATTTTGGTGCACATTTTCCCCTAATACATCCTTGGTTTTTTTTAATACATTTTGCTGGAGGGGGGGGTGTTGGCGATGGTTGGAGAACTGCATCACAAAATTCAGGGAGGTGCAAATTTCAGTTTGTGCATTGGTTTGAGAGCTGTGAATTGGGTAATTTTGCATTAAAATGCAAACTGAATTAATTTCTCCCCCATCCATAGACTGGATAACAGTCAGAGAGCAATCACATGCGCACACCCCTTTTTTGTTACTCCTGAATAGTTGCATAGCCCCAACAAAGTGCCAGAGGGCTTGCAATCTATGGCTGTGTGCACGTTACAGTTTACTCTTATACTCCACTGCGCTCCCACTGCTGGTGCTTGAATGTACACATGACATTAGCCACAATCCATACCTATCATGTAGTTTCTTGAGAAATACTGCCGCTTGGTGCATTTCCCCCTCAAACCAGCTTCCACCTGATTTGAAAATGCAAGCCACGTTCGCTTTGCTGTTAAACTGAGGTGTGTACATCTGAGACAGTCACTGCTTGTGTGCAGATGACAGTTCATGCCCGGGTGACCCCTTCATGAATAAGAGCGCAGGGGTGGAGGTTGCAGGCGTGGGGAAACCAAACAAATAACGCACATGGGGTGAAGACATTCCCTGCCCCCTCTCTGGTGTGTACAGCAACATGCAAATGTGACTTGAAAAGCAACGGGGGAAGAAACGACCTCACTGCAGTTTAAACCATTAATGTGTGCACAGCCTATATGCGAGTCTGATTGCAGGGTAGGGAGAGGAGCAGTCACAGACGGTCAAATAAGCAGCAAGCATGAGATCAGGGAGAGTCAAGTGACTGTGTAGGTAAGATGCGGATAAAGTGGTTCAGCAAAGCTTCTGCTGGAGAAAAGGATCTCAAGGAAAGACCTCCAAAGGAAGAGAAGGAAACAGCTCAGTGAATGGAAAGGCTATCCTGGGTATAATGAACAGACAGACTGGGGGGAAAGGGGGCAAAGAGAGGAGGTGGATGATGAGTTCGTAGGAGAGCTGGAAGGGGAATATGGCAGGCATGTTAACAGTCATCCTGCCGGGCGGCCCCTAACAACTGAGAATTGCCTCCAGAAACTTCACCAAAGCTGGGCTTTTGTCCACAGACAGACAGGCATGTTTGGACAGGCAAACTAATCTAGATTTTTAGGGCCAAGTCACTTGGGCAGGCTTAACAGGCATGGCTATGTGGTTTCTGATGCTGATGAAGGAAGAGGTGCATGCAAGAGGCAGAGAGGGAAGAGTTTGGGAAATGAGAAATGGATGCTTATGCCACAGAGGGAAAGGAAGACAGCAAGAGAGGGCAGGAAGCCACGGCAGTCTTAGATGGAAAGTGGTGAGGAATGGATGCCCCAAGGCCCATTGTCTCCTATTAGACCATGGGGAGGGCAGCGAATCAACTATCTCCATCATGCCCTGCTTCTGAGCATCCCAAGGACATTAGCTGACCAGGGTGCAGTTGGACCAGATGCATCCCTGGCCTGATCCAGCAAAAAGATTGTCGCTTGCCTTCTCTGGCTCAGATGGGTGAAGCTGCCACTCTTCTTTCACCGGTGATGTGTGTTGTGAGCCACCGGGAGGGAAAGAAGCGGTGAGGCATGGGAAATCCTCCTGGCTCCAGCAGAGAGGCACAGGCCTGGATGTCAAGCTCAGATCAAAGCGATTCTGGGCTGCTTTGCGGGGAGGGAATCTTGGACAAGTGACGGCAGCGGCGGAGGCAGTGCAGTGAGGAGAGGATTAAGGAAATCCTTGGCACAATGGGGAGCCATGCTCTGCGGCTGGGGTGGTCCTGCAATTAGCAAGGATGCGCAACAATAAAGGAAGGAAAAAGCAAGCCTCGTGTTTTTTTTTTCTTTTCCCAGGCGCGGCAGGCCTGTGCAAACATTTCAGCCAGCCCTCAGAAGCCTACAGGCCTTGCCTTTCTTTTTGAGAGGGAGAGAGAAAGGGCATATAATTATATCCTAAGGGGGAACAACATAAAAGGAGGTTGTGTCTCCAGTGGTTGGAGTGGGAAGCCGGGAGCAAGGACGACTGGAGTCTAATAAATTAACAACAAGAGATCTTGGAGCCAAGAGTTCTGGGTTGCACTCCACAGCCTCTGCCAGAGGAGGAGAAGGGGTGCCCACAGCAATGGGTGGGGGAGGAAGGGAAGAAAGGGGAGAATCTCTGTGGTGGCGGGGGGGGGGAAGGATGCAATTAGGCTTCTGAAAGGAGCCCTTCTAGGGCACAATCCTCTCTGAAAGCCACCCACCATGACCTGGAAGCCCCCACTTCCTCCTAATCCAAAATGCATAGGAGGAGCAGACTGTGGTTAGCCAGCAAAGACTGGAAAAGAACTCTGCACAGGCTCAGAGAAATTCGGCTCCCCCCCCAATTGCAATTATAATCACTGCTGCCAGGTGTATCCATTTCTCCCTTGTTCACCACGCCATTTTTTCTCTGAACATGTGCTGAACGTTTTTGGTCAGAACTTGCTGATTTGCAGGAATATCAAACAGTACAGACTCCTGTCCTTAGGAGTCTACCATTTTAGGGTGAATTTATGCATTTTGTACTCTGCCTTGCAGGTCTTTAAAACTGAGCATGGAAACCTCAATTCCTTTCATCCAGCTATTCATGGAAGCCAAGTTTGCTTTACTGGAAGTCTATTTTCATCTCCCAGCAGTTCTAGTTAAAGGGCCCTGGTTAGGACTGGGAAAGAAATTCTGCCCATTGGCTTGCAAAACTGGGTTTCGGATAGGCTACCAGCAGTTCCACTGCAGGGCTAGACAACCCACTGGTCTGAGTCAATGTATAAAGTTGCTTTTTATACCCACAATTACCACAATTTGAGAGCCCTGGGCTAGGGTGGAGGGTTTGCGCTGTTTTCCACAGGATTCTGTCGTGAAGATCAATGCTCTAGTTAATTAACAGCTTCCCCATAAGGCAAAAAAAAGCTATCTTCCCACCCTCCTTTCCATCACACAGTATTGCAGAATCTCAGATTTTGTTGTAATTATTGCTATTTTTAAAAGCAAGTTTCTAGCTCTCATTGTGGCTGAGCAAATGTTTTAAAAACAAGCTCTATCCCTTGAATGCTCAGAGAGACATCTTCAAATAATTCTGCCTCTTTTTGTGGAACTCTAATCCCTGGCTTTACATACACACACACTCGAGGGGCATCCATGTGTTAGTTTTGAAAGGAGGTGGATATATTCACAGTAAACCAAAGAGTCCTCTCAGCCCTCAAGCTTCAGTCTTCTTTAATTTCTACCTGTCTCCACCAAGACAGGAGGTGGAATGTAGCCAGCAAAACACACACACACACACACACACACACACACACACACACACTTATTGCTAGCTTAGGGGCTGCTGTTTGAATTTGAGGGGAACTGACACTGCTTTAAAAACCAATGCTGCCTGCCCACTCTCAAGCTGTGAATGTGCCATGTCAAGGTCAGGCTGGGGCTGCGAACGACCCAGGAGAGAGCAGCGTCTAAGGCCGAGCTGCGTCTACAGCTCAGGGCAGTTGCTGGATCAACCTGAGCAATAAAAAGCACCATTACTGGTGTTGGAAGCCAGAGTAGAGGTTTTAGCTCACAGGACAATCCCAGGTCTGGGTGGAAGAGGAACGAGGCAAGCGGCAGAAAGGAGTGAGAATAAGCAAAAGAAGGCCAGAAAGGGGGAAGGTCATTGTCACCTGCTAAGCATTTCTCTTGTGTATATTGCACAGACATACACATTTTGAATTTGTCAATGGCAGCATCAAGACAGACATGTGTGAAGGAGCCAGCACGGATTAACGGCCAGAGAGAGAATTTTCATAGCATTCAAGACAAACTGAAACGAAATACTTTTCGAGGGAAGCTTTTCACACATTCAGCTGAGTCACTGGGTACTGTGGAACTGTGTGGTGGCTGGGTGTGTTTGCAGTACAAATCCGCCACAGCACTCCTGTCCTTAAACTGAGGTAGCTTTTGCTTAGCTAGCATCAATGTGCCATGAAGCAACGCATCTTTAATAGACTTTTGATGACTGGTGGCCACCAGAAAGTAAAGAGTATATGAGCTGAGAACAGTGTTCCTTCTTTTTTTCTTTTTCTTTTTTGGCACAGGGCTAGAAAGAAAGCTGGTCTATATAGTCGGAGCAGAAAGCAGCAGCTTGGATTTTTGTAGGTGGTTGGGTAGGATGTAGTGGTGCTCCCTGCTCTCACATTCAACCTCTTTCTAGTAACCTCACAAGGAAACTCCCCATGTAAAAGCTCTCCTGAAATGGCCCACATCTCTGATACAAGTTGGGAACAGGAAACTATTTCAATATCGTTCCACTCCACCTGATGTGCCTAACTCCACCCAGAAGATAATGCAATACGATCAAAGTCTGCAGCAGCAATTATTCCATATGTAGGAGGAGTCTGAAGTACACAATACAGCTCTCGCTTTCACTTCCTGAGTGTGTCCTTCTTGTTTTAACCTTTGTACCATCAAGATTCCTGCAGTCCTCTGCTTTAAATACCACATAACTCAAGAAAGAAATAATATACATCTTCCAAAGCTCTCCGATGAGCACTGGGAAGGGACATAAACCAAGCGCTGCTGCAACCTAAGAAATAATAATCCACCAACAGGTAGAAAATGAACACCTGAAAGGGGCCTCTGTTTAATGAGCATCCTTTCCCAGACAGAGCATAGGCCGTTTCTGCCTTTTCCTTCTCATACTAGCTAACCTTAGCATTGGAGTGGTGTTAAAGATTAACAGAGAGGTTCAGGGACTTGGGGCCTATGATATCTGTGTTACATACGACACAAGACTTGAAACCAAAGTCCACTCCAAGTCATCTGGCTTGATACAGTTTGTGCCCACCTGATCTTTTATTGTGCCCAAATAGTAACTGAAGGAAGTATGCATGTAGCCACCCACTCCAGGCAACTTTGATTTCCTCTGCCCCGTTGGTCCCTTTAAACCGCAGCTGACTGCAAATTTCTGCTTAAGATTTGAAATATTCACTACCCAGAGGCCAATCTCTAGGAGATCTCAAGCTTGTCTGGAAATTTTGTTTTTTATATATAATATTTTTTATTAAGTTTTCAATTGTACCTTTCAAAATAAATATTTTACAAACTTTAAAATATCAAATGACTTCCCTTCTTATCCTTCCATGCTTCATTTTACATGTCATACATTCCTGCACATTTTACTATAACCATTCAAATCAGTTTTCCACTTTTACATCAATTGAATATTATTTACGCCATTGAATTTATCTTAATGCGGCCAGCGTTTTCAGCTGTATACAGTAATTTTCCATATATTCAATAAATGTTTTCCACTCTTCTTTAAATATATGTTCTTCTTGCTCTCTTATTCTATGTGTTAAATCTGCAAGTCCTGCAGATTCTGTCAACTTAAGTTGCCAGTCCTCTTTAGTTGGGACATGGCTCACTTTCAATTTGGGGGCTAACAAAATACAGGCCGCAGTGGCTGCATACATAAATAACCTTTTCTGACACCTAGCAATAAAAATGACTCGGGGCGGGGGGAAGTAATTTTAAGCATTTTTCCCCAATTCATTTTAGATCATTTCCCAATACAGTGGTACCTTGGTTCTCAAACACCTTGGTACTCAAACACCTTGGTTCTCAAACGTCGAACACACGGAAGCAAGTGTACCGGTTTTTGAAAGCTGAACATCTGATGCGGCTGTCGGCTATTGTTTCTGGGGCGCCTGCACCAATCAGAAGCTGCGCTTTGGTTTTCGAACATTTTGGAAGTCAAACGACTTTCAGAATGGATTACGTTTGGCTCTTTTGTTTTTGTTATTTATTTTGCATTTTTGTTTTTGAGGCTTTTTTGGTTAATTTGTTTTTGTGACTGTGTGGAACCCAGTTCAGCTACAGATTGATTGACTGATTGATTGATTGTGTGACTGCAGAAATGGATAAAAGCCCCCATCCAAACAATGACTATCATCAGTGCAGGTAAGATTTTTTTTAAAAAAAATCATCTACAATGCTGTCTTATTTATTTTATAGCACAATACATTGATTATTGCTTGCATTTTATGGCTCAATGGTAGTAAAATTCATGGTAGTAAAATTCATGTTAAATTGCTGTTTTAGTGGGGTTGCTTTTCAAAGTCTGGAACAAATTAATTCATTTTGCATTACTTTCTATGGGAAAGTGCACTTTGGTTTTGGAATGCTTTCGTTTTGGAACGGACTTCCGGAACGGATTAAGTTTGAGAACCAAGGTACCACTGTATACTTTTACCTTTTTACATTTCCACCTTTGCCTGGAAATTTTGTGCCTTCTGACCTGGAAGCTCTTCCTTCTAGTCTCAGATGTATAGTCAATCACACAACCCAAAAGCACTTTGCACATTCCCAGAAAGAATTTGTATATTTATTCTTTTCTTGCCTGCAACAACTGTTCTGAGCTTAAGTAACTAGGCATGGAAAAATCCAGCCAGGAAAATTATCTCACTGCTAAAATTAATACACTCCTAATTTTTAAAAAACAGTGAGTAGAAAGTCCGGCTCTCCTCAACAAAAAAAGGAGAATTGTTCCCAGTATCCTGGAGGATACTTTCATTAGGGAGCTGGTGTAGTGTGCTATAGTCCAACTACTTCTGTTTACCAAAGGCAGTCCTTATTTCCTACTGCCTTGGAGACACTTCTAAGGGCCTTTAAGCTAAGTATGCTAAAAGCATGAAGTGGGAGATTGAGGCCTCCCATCTCCCAAGTCCTGTGCATGTGCCAGAGACTTTGGGGCAAAGGGACCACAAGTAGCAAACACAAATAGTGGCTGGATACCAAGAATGCCTACTCTGCAGCTAAATGTCAAAATTGTTACACAACACACACATATGCACTGACAATACTTAACTTTTTGTTACCTTACAGACAACTAAGAAAGATGGTAGCATTTTAATGCATGGCTCATGTACAGACCTTTTATATATATATATATATATATATATATATATATATATATATATAAAGAGCTTTGCGCAGAACACATAATTTTTTTTTAAAAAAAACTATTTCTCTTTAATTTTCATCACCAGAGTTTCACATCAGTGAATATAATTCTAGGTTTGATTTTCCAAACACTGAAGATAAGCCCTACACACACAGATAGCTATTTCTTTTTTAATGCATTCTCATCAAAAATTTGTGGTGTGTATCTGGCTATGGCTTGACGTGAACAAACAAATGTACAGGCGCCCAAAGTAAAAAATGTGGCGGCTTTACTCCTCCTTCAATCCGACTGCTGCCACGCTACCTAGACTTAAGCCATGGTTTAGCACAGCGTTCCACCAGTCTGGGAAGACAAACCATGAACCCATGTTCAGACTTAATGCTAAACCAAACCACGGCTTAGCTCTGCATAGTGCAGCAGAAATAAGGCTGAGGAAGAAGCAAAGTGGCCATGATTTTTCTCTGAGTACCCACACGCTTGCTTGTTCACAATTAGCCATGGTTTGCCTTAGCATTACGTGCAAACTGTGCCAATGTCCCAATGCCGCTTCAAATCTATCTCTCCAATATTCATCACCTGAGGGCTGCAACATCCAGCACCGACTACAGTCCATGTGTGGATGAACCATCATGGATTTAATGCAATGGAAAGAACTTGGATATTACTTTGCATCACCTCAAACACAATGCTTTGCAATGGAGCCAGTTCACACGTTCAGCTGCCAGTGGGGATGTACATGCAAGTGTGAACAAGCCTGAGTTCAAATGCCTGCTCAGAAATTGACTCCTTCTCTCAACCTTGTTTCTTCATGTGCAAAACAAGGATAAAACAGCCTTGCAACTCAGATCACAAAGATTACAAGTCCACATTTCAAATTAGTTCTATTATTAGTCATTCAGTGGTCTGAAGGGGGGGAGGCTTCTCTCTCTCATCTCTACAAACACTTTCCTTTCTGGTCACTTGGAAGTGTTTCTTACTCACCACAGGTGACTTGTCAAGCAGTTATTTACAAGTGTGCAGTAAAAGTCAACCTCTCTCACGAGGCAGGACAGATGTGAGAATAATCGCTGTACTGTAATACATTTTGTACTTAATAAAAACAAAAACCTAATTACAGAGAAATTAATCATTACAAAATATTTAGCAGTTATATAGCACTTTTTGCCAAAGGGTTCAAAACCCTACATACCAAAGATTATTGTCCCTATTTCCATAGACGTGGGGGCTGAAGCTAAGAGTTGCTTGATGCGAGTCAATGATTCCAGGATCGAACAGACCTGGCACTTTCTAGCTGAGAGCTCACCCTCTTAAAACTCCACTAGCTCCAGTACTAAGCTCTGGAGAAGCCACCCACCTTCTTTACCCATTCCTAGATGTCTTTTATCTTTGACCCCAGTCCTTCTTCCCCAAAACCCTACCATACAACTAGCTGTGAGCCGCCCAAAGTGGCTGGGGAAACCCAGCCAGATGGACAGGGTATAAATAAAGTTGTTGTTGTTGTTGTTATAGCTTTCACTGGAAACTTTACCTTGTGGCAGAAGCTCTTTTGCATCCACTTTCACCTTTAAGCAACCCAAAGTTTGATCTTGCCACATAGTCTCCACTGAACTCCTCTAGGCAACCCCAGGAGCAGGCAACCCTTCAACATCATAACCCCAATCACAAGTACCTACCCCTTACACCAGGGATTTGGGGCCTGGAGCCCTTTAGGGAATGTTGAACTCCTCCTCCCATCAGCCCCAGCTGGCACAGTCCATGGTCAGGGATGATGGGAGTTGCGGTCCAGCAACATGTTGAGGGCCACAGGCTCTCCACCCCTGCCCCAACGCAAATGTTCCATCTGCAGCATTCCTGCCAGCAGAGAGTGCACTCAGCAGTCTGTCTGCTCTTCCTATGTTTGCCATCATCCCTTAAACAGGTGCAATCACCAGGCTGAAGGAGAGGGAAGCCCCCCCCCAACTTTGTTACTGCCCTCTCCGCTCCTTCACTGCCCCACCCCCCCATAAAAATTCTTCCTCCATGCTGGGCCTATTTATCCAGATCAAAGATCCCAAACAGAGAAGATACCAGCTGATTATGATGGAAAGGTGAGAGAGTCTGATCATTCCGAGATCATATCCTGCTACCTGATTCTGTTCCCTGAAAATGAGGCCCTGCAGACCCTCTCAAACACAGGGTAACATGCTTGCTTGGAAATCGCACCTGGAAGCCTGGTGCTTAGTTTGGATTCTGGAGAAGCAGGAGGGAGACAGGATTCAGTTACTGAGGAAAGGGCACTTTGCACATGCTCAGAGACACACTTCAGTATTATGCCACATGTTCTGGGACTGATTCACAATATCATAGAATTTTAGAGTTGGAAGGGACCCTGAGGATCATCTAGTCCAACCCCCTGCAATGCAGGAATATGCAGCAGTCCCATACAGGGATCGAACCTACAACCTTGGTGTTATCAGCACCATGCTCTAAGCAACTGAGCTATGCAGGCCAGATAAATTGGTTCCGACTTCCAGGGCCCAAGTAAAGGCATGTCCATCTGATCCTACCCTTGCCAGTCCCTACATCGACCTGTATTCTCTGCAAAAATGTCAGCTACTGCTGCTGCCTTTCCCTATGGCACTATCAGCCCCTGATATTAGAGCTGTGAATTTTCCTTTCCTTGGCTTGGCACCTCCCACTCTCGTTCCAGGGTCTCCCAGCCTCGTCCCCTACCTGCACCGCAGCCATGCCCATGGGGGGCTGTCGGGTCGCCTCCCAGCCTCTCCAGAAGTCTTCCCAGCAGTCGATCGGGGCTCTCGGGTTCTGCCAGCGGTGCCCAGCAGCAGGTGGGTACAGACTCAGGGCTGAGCTGGGTTTCGCCTCCTCCGCCACCGCCTGGGGACAGCTCCTCGGAGGAGAAGGACGTTGGGGAGCGCAGAGAGGAATCGGGGGGCCGCAGCTCCAGCCATCGCCCATCGCCAGCAGTGTCCGTGCCTCCTTCGGGGGGCTCCTCGGGGGGCTCCTTGAGGAATCCGGGCAGCAGGATCTTGGAGACGCTTTGCCTGCGAGGCAGCTGCCCACCAGCCCCGGGGCCAGCCCGGGCAGCCAGGTGAGACCCCTGCTTCTTCAGAAATTTCTCCAAAGGCTTCATCCCGCCGACGGCAGTAGGGGCACCCAGGGGCTCAGCTGGGCCCCAGGACGAGGGGTGATCCAATGTGCCCTTTTCAGCTTAGGCCAAAATTGGGGATCAGGGGCGGCGCACTCTGCGTGCCTGCGGCGGGGGTGGAGAGACGTGCGATCAGAGAGTCATGGCTATGCCAGATGTTGGAGGCGGGCGAAGATCTGGCCAAAAAGGTGGCAGGGAGCTGCCTCTTTGGAGAAGGGAAGCGTGTCCGGCGTTGGTGGGGGTGGGGAGCGGGGGCACTGCTCTGGCCAACCTTACCGAGCGTGGAAAGGCTTTAGGGGGCGGGGTGCGCGGGGTCCTGCTTGACTCTCCCTGCAGGGGGAGTGACCAGAGGCGCCTCCGGTGGCTTCGCGTCCTGACGCCCTCCTGAAGTGGGAGGCGGTGAGAGGCAGACAGGTGGATTGCCGTCTAGTCCAGTCTTCCCTTCGGCCGCGCCAGAAACGTGGCGAGCGTAATTCCCCTTTGGAGAGAGAGGGAGGTGGAGATTCTTCCCTCCCCACCTCTGCGCCCAGCAAAGCGAGGCGCGTGCCCTCGGCCCCCGCAGGGCTTTCCCGAAGCCGACGAAGCGTCCCGGCTTGCTTGCAATCTGAATCTCTCCTGTTCCTCCGCCAGCCCGCAGCCTCTGCCTCGTCTCCTCCGCCTTTGCCACTCCGTGCGCCCTGCGCGCGCGCGCGCCCTATTCGCCAGGCTGCTGCTGCCGCTGCAAGCGGGATCCTCCTTTATGGATGCTCATGACAGCGGGGGAGGCAGCTACTGGCAGCAGGAGCGGGGGCTGAAGCCTGCCTGCCTGCCGGGGAGTTTGCAGGGGGGAGGCTCTCTGCTTGACCGCCCCCGCCCCCTCCTGCAGGAATCCCCCTCCTCCTTCTTCGTGCCTCCTGGCCTGGAAAGAAGCAGGCGGAGTCGCCAGTCGGCAGGCTTCTCTCGCAAAGCAGCAGCCAGCCAGTCTCTTTCCCTCGCCGCCTCTCCTCCGGAGGGGAGCAAGCCCAGCCCCGCCCCGCCTCCTCCGGCCCCTCCCCCGCCTTTGCACCGGTTCCTCACCCACCCGCTAATTTTGCCTGCACTTGTTACGCGGGGGCAAGGAAGCCAAAAATCCACGCCTTAATCTTGGACTATAACTGGGGGCGGGGGGACCCAACTAAAAACAACAAGCATGGTGGTGAGAAATCAGGCTGGTTGGGCAATGTTGCAAGATTAATCGGGGCTTTATTTGCATCTTGATGCAAAACATTGCCCTCAGCTTGCTTGGAGTGAAAGTCAGATGATTCATTTCGGGTCGTTGACGCCGGCTGAATTATTAAAGATTTTTATTCTATTGCACACTCAATTTCATATTACTTAATGATTGTGTGTGTGTGTGTGTGTGTGTGTGTGTTTGTTTAATGGGTTCAAGTGCAAAATGCACGCACAGACACCAACAAAGTATAAACTTTTGAATTCCGGGATGCTTTTTAAATGGTGGGAGAGAGAAATCTTATATCTTCAAGAAAACTTCAGGCACTTCTTCCCGACCATAATGGCTCATGGCACAAAGAAATGTTGTAGTCTTTAAGGCAGGCATAGGCAAACTCCGGTCCTCCAGATGTTTGGGACTACAATTCCCATCATCCCTAGCTAACAGGACCAGTGGTCAGGGATGATGGGAATTGTAGTCCCAAACATCTGCAGGACCGGAGTTTGCCTATGCCTGATTTAAGGGCTCACAAGTCTCTTGGTTATTTCTGATACATTCAGACTCTTTTCTTTGCCCCAGTGGATAAATGTTGGTTACACTAAATAATTTCACAGCAGTGGTTTCTTCTTCTTTTTTAAAGAGTTCTAAATCACCTTTATTCAACAGTGTGTGTGACCCTGAATGTCTGCCTTTTTCCTACTTAGGTATATACGCATCCGAATGTCACTACAGCTGGCATCCCCCATTACTAAACACACACACCCTATTCAATTTATTTATGTCTATATTTATAGGGCTCCTTTCTGAATATGTAAGAGAAAGAGCACCCTTCAGGGAGGAAGGGCAAGATATAAATTGAATTCATCAATACACAAATGAATGCACATATGAAGCTCAGCTGCCTGATAGGAAGGAACGCGGGAAGATGCCATGCAATCCCACCACTGGTCCACCTAGCTCTCTGCTGTCTACACTGGCTGGCAGTGGCTCTCCAGGGTTTCAGGCGGTAGCTCTACCCTGGAGATGCTGGGGATTGAACCTTTTGCATGCAAAGCAGATGCTCTAGCACTGAGCTACGTGCCCTTTCTCATTGGTCTATCTATTCTAGCCCAGTGTTGTCTACTCTCTGGCACTGACATCATCTCTCCATGGTGTCAGGCACCATGTGCAGATCTTGTACAGCCCTGCTGCCAGCAGCAATCCTTTTAGTGAAAGATGCTGAGAACTGAACCAGAGATAATGTGTGCACAAAATGTGTGATCTGCCACTGGATAATATCTAAACAGGTGGACTCAACAAGGAGCCCTCCTTTCCTTTAAAAAATGTTTAGCATGGACTGGTGCTCCCACCAAATGTCAACACTGGACTCCTGAGTTTGTTTGTTAATAGATGTTATCTTGTATGGGTTTTTGGGGCGGAATACATCTAAAGTACGTAATTTGCTTTCAAATGCTTAGCATGCAGTACAAGTTAAGTCATATTGTCACAAAGCAAAAAGAAAACCACATTAATAATAAGCTCCACATATAAAATAATAACAATGCTGTTGAATTCTGTTCTAATCTGTTAAAGTGGTTCTGGTGTCTTTTTTTTAAGGTTTTAATTCGTAATAATTGCAGGTTGCTTTATGGAAGGTTTTCTCCACCCCCGATTTGAATGTTACAATTTTAACTGCATATTATTTTTGAAATAATGTAAGGACTCTGCGGGACCAAAAGGTAGGATATTATTTATTTATTGTATGTTATTTCAGTTCTAGACTGCCCTTCTCCCTGTGGGAGCCGAGGGCAGTGAACAACGGAGGAAATGCAAGCTGTACAATAATTACAACATAGAAAAACGCACCTCTAAAACCAAAACGTATGCAAGAAAAAAAGAACACCAGCTGCTGAAATGCCAATCAATATTCATGCTTCAAAAGCCCAAGCAAACAGATATGTCTTCTTCAATTGGCACCTGAAGGCCATCAGTGTTGGGGATGGATACACTCCTGGGGAGGGAGTGCCATGAAAGAGGCCATGCCATGGGGAAAAGCCCACCATGAGTTGCTGCCCCACGGGCCATACTCGATCAGCACCATCCCACAGATCTCAAAACACAGGCCAGTAGATATTAGATGGAGGTGTTCCTTTAAGTACTGGGGCCCTGAGCTGCTCAGGCCTTTGTACAACAGGACCAGAACCATGAATTGGGCCCGGAGCTCACAGGCAACCAGTGCAGTGTTTTCAGGATTGCTGACATGCTTCATCCTGCTGCTCTGCTTAACAGACCCATTCTGCATCAGCTGCAGCTTCCGTACAGTCTTCAAGGGAAGCCCCATATAAAATATATTACAGTTACTAGAGCATGGACTACCATAGCTAAGCTATCCCAGTCCACGAATGGCCATAGCTGATGAACCAGCCAGAGCTCGTCACAGGACTCCAGTGAAGCCACCTGGGCCTCAGGTGAGCTTTAGATCACTCCTGAGCTACACACCTGCTCCTTCAGGGGAAGTGCAACCCCATCCAGAACAGGTTGTCTCTCTAAATTCCTGGGCATGAGAAAGGCCTCACCACAGCACCATCGTCTTATCAGGAGTCTGCCTCAATCCGTCACTGGAAACACAGGCAGGCTTTCCTGATGCAGAGGGAACAGAGTAAAAAAGCTGAATTTCATCCACATGCTGATGACACTGCGCTCCAAAACCCTGGATGCCAGCTCCCAACAGCTTCCTCTTAAATGTCATAAATACGATGGTTATACACGTATATGCACAAACACCAGTGAACAGAGCACGAAAGTTGCGTAATTATCCCTCAAAGCCCGGTGGCAGGCCTACGCTTTCAGCAGTCTTCTAAAGCTTAAGATGGTGTTGCACAGAGGGCTTTGCAAGGCAGAACAGTCCACAACTGTGGGACCACCATCAAAGGAGGGGCACCACTTCAGAAAGGCACAGTGGAGTGGGACTTTTTTGGAGGGGAGATACTCGTCAAAGTCTAAAGGCTTTCACCAAGATATATTCAAATTTAAATTGCAAAAAAGTATGTTTGTGTGTGTGTGTGTGTGTGTGTAGTATGAGTATTTATTTTCCTTTACACCTTAACGATTGTGAGGTTACCTTCACAAATGAAACTGGCAAGAGATCTGTGCCTTTGGCATCCATACCCAATTCACCTGCTGCTTCCTAGGGATGGGTCGGTCCTGTTCCCCACGTCCCACCGCCATGCCTGAATAACAGCTTCCAGAAGGGTTGCTGTGACTCTGTGGCAGCAAAAGGCAACAAAGAGTATTTTCGCATGCATTAAAGTGTCTATGAGAGTTTATGCCTTAATAAATAATAAACAACAAGACTCTCTGTTGTTTTTATTGCTAATACTGTTACTGATCTGTTTTATCCATTATAGTTTGATTTTTAACTGGATATTTTCTGTGCCTGTTTTCAGCATACCTAACTACTCAGGGGCAAGATGAATAAGTGCTATTTGTGGGGGGGACGGACTGTGCATTGACATAGTTACATCTTAAGATGTTCAAACTAGTATTTCAATTGGAGGCAGAATACCTAACATTTTTATCTGCCCTACTTAGGGCAGCCTTGATAAAGCCCTGCTTATCATTATTCTATTAAAACATTTTAATTAGAACATGTTCCGTTCCGGAAAGTGTTTGTGCCCTCATACAGCAGGAGCCACAGAGGAATCTGCACATCAAATTTGTTAAATTGGTTTTAACACATTTAACAAATATGTGAATAATGCTGCATTCCTAACCCTTCTTAATTGAATTCAATTACTTCGGAATTGCTGCCAGCCAGTGTGGAAAATACTGAACTAGGTGAACCAGTAGGTCCAACTCAGTCCTGTATAAATCAGCTTTCTGAGTTCCTTTTCACTGCATTTTCCTTCAAAAAGCTCGTAGCAACAGCAGTTGCTTACACATAGCCAGGGCCTCAGAGGTTAGGAGAGTACAAATTTTGCGCTAAGCTCAGAAAAATGGTCCTGAGGTCGTGACCTGGTTGTGGGTCATGAGCCACTAGCAGACAAACAACAGCCAAGGGTACAGTGAGTTCTCTACTGTTTGCCTTTGTTATGAAGCAATACTTAAATGGCCACAGACATCACCATGGACCAGTCTGAGAAGCCTGGAGCTATTGCTTTGCCTTATGCTGCTCACACGGGTTAGGTTCCCAAAGAAAAAGAAAGGAAAAGAAGAGGTGTGGGGATGGGGAGAAATCAAACATTAGAAGCTGGTGATCTCTGAGGAGTAGGTCCTTCCTTGCTTGCAGTATAAAAGTGCACTCAATTAAAAGGAGTGGCAGCAAAATAACCAGCCAGATGAACCTGAGGAACTGCCTGCAACAGGATGTGGGGAAAACCACGAATGCATTGTGATTTAAAGAGAGATAGGGCATCCCTAATGGTGATAAGAACTACAGTATTATAAGATGGCAGAATGAGAGCAGCCAAATGTCTGGAATGCACCCTGGAAAGCAACAAAAGTGGGCCCCAAAATGAACAGGAATGTGTGCCCCCATGTTCTTTTTATTATGCGATCTGGATTATTTGCACTCATGATGGTGTTCTGGGGTGCTTGTTGTGCTGTAATGCAAGAGTTCCACTCCCCCGGTGGCAATAATGTGGTAAGATTGGGGATAGCATCGTGGACCAACTAATAAGGCAGTATGATGTGGGGTCGGTCCAGTATAAATCCACTACTAATGTACTATTGCTGTGTCAATGCCATGTTGCAGAACACAGCTGCAAAAAACAACAACAACAAAAAACAAAAACCTCCACCAATCTTCGGTTGGGCACTTTTGTGGTATATAAAAAGTTTGAGGATTTCAGCAGGAAGTTACAAGACACACACACTGACCGGAAACAGTGCAGTATGTCTGCCCAGGAACTTCTGCAGGCACAAACATTATTGGAAGCAGGATCACATATAACTGCCCCAGTGCCATCATGAGCACACACCATCAAATTAGCTACTGAGCTGTTCAAGGTGCTGCTTCTAGGGTATAAAGTGCTATATAGCTTGGGACAAAGATACCTAAAAATAATAATTAAAAAATATCATCTTGTTCATTACAGCATATACCAAATCAAACACTGTACTCTGCAAGAGAGGGCCTCTTGCAGATACCAGGAGGTCTGTTCTGCACAAGGAATTGGGCGTTCCATTATGGACAGACCACTGAACCTACACCAGACACTTTCACTCACGGAGACCTGGGGTGGCCCTGTCTAGGTTGCAGGCATCGCAACTGTGAAGCAACACCCTCCGTCGGTGTTGTGCAATCCGACAATCAACCAAGATAATCAACCAAGATTAAGAATTAATAAGATGAAAACTAATAATGTTGATGAAAAACACACCCTTGTTGGGCCAATGCACCAGAAATGCCATGTAGTGTACACTCAGCCAGGAAAACCACCTCCAATCATATAATGCATGTGTTCACACACACTTGTTCAGTACATTCACAAGTTGCAATTTTAGCCTTTCCCTTAAAACATTTTAGATATATATACCTAAAAATATACAGTGCTGCAATCCTCCTGCAAGTTATCCTTACACAACCTTTGCTGAAATTATTTACTGCACGGTTGTGCAACACATAGCTCCTATGTATTCCAAAGTAGCTGTCCCAAGAGAACTTCTGGGTGGGTTACATGTGTGGCCAGCCCTCAGTGTAACGTGATCGCAGTGTTAATTAATACAATAAAAGACCATTACTGTTTACAATGTCAGCAACACCATGAGATGCTTTTCCCTTTTTGCTTCTGTAAGGCTAAATATTTTCCAAATGGCATCCATTAAAAAAAAGGAAACCTAAAATCTGAATCACGCCAAAACTACAGACAGACAGAAACACACACAGACAGACAGGGGATGGGGAAATGTACTTATTCACCCCTAAAATCCTTCCTGATTTTTGAACATGTTAACAAAGGACATGTTTTTACAACTTGCCCATACCTGTAAAGAGAACAGGGTGCACACACCCAGTTTTGAAATTTGTGATAAACCTTAGGTAGTCTGAAAAGCACCATGAATGGCACCTTCCTCAGTCTTACCCACAGGATACAACTAGAGTCAGGGTGCAATGCACACCTGAGTGTCATACCTTCTCCCCCACCACCCAACTAAGACATATTTTACTGCAGCAGCATGTCCTAGCAGTGCCACAGTGTGGAAACTACTGTTTCAAAAGACCTGTCTGCAACCTGGTGCCATCCACAGCTTACAACAACACAACATCCATCATCCCTGACCATTGGCTATGCTGGCTCCAACCCCTATTGGCATTTGGAAGCCACCAGGTTGAGGAAGGTTGCTTCAGAGCATATATAGTCTTGGGCAAAGAAATTATCCATCCATCTGCCTGTCCATCCATCCTGCCATCCAAGGCCCCTTTTCCAGTGTTCTGTCACACTCCAGCAAGAATGACCAAGAAACAGCACCCACGGTGGGTTTATGCAGCTAAATTGGCTATGGTCAACAGCAACAGGGAAGGATTTTGGCACTCACATTCATCTGTATAGAAGTTAACCTGGGAGGAATGTTGCAACAAGTACAAAACCTACACATCACAGGATAGCATCCGACTGCTGTATCCTGTAGCTTACAGAGAAGCACACCTCCCCACAAGAATACTTGCAAACATACAAGTCATCTTAAGCAAGGTTTTTTGAGCAGGAACACAGGGGAACTGAGTTCCCTTACCTTTTTAAAATTAAATAATTAAATTCTTTTTGTCAGGAGGGGGCAGCTGGAACAGCTATACACCGATTGCCTGAGCCAAAAATCCACCTATATCTGTAATCAATAAAGTTGTGGCCATTTCAAATCCAGGTCATTGTCTGCTTGATTTATTAATCACATCTTCCATTTAGCCACGGCCCAGCACTGCAGCTGGACCTGCAATAAACAAATTTCGTGTTGAGTTCCCCCACCTTCTTCCAGAAAAAAGCACTGCTTTTAACTCACACACTGTTCAACGTAAGGATGATTCTGCTAATCTGTATCTGTGGCCATCCAGATATATTTGGACTACAGCTCCCATCATTCTCTGCCCATTGGCCAGGGTAGCTGGGCCTGATGGGAGTTGGTGTCCAACAATGTCCAGAAGGCTAGGTGTTCCCTATCCCTGGTTGACACCATCATCTTACCATTATTATTCTCATTACATTCAATGGTGAACTTGAAGGCAGTGCCTGGTTCTTCAGACTGGATGGGCAAAATACCCCTAGCGTGTAGGTCCCCAAAATTGTCTTAATGTATAGTGGGCCTTGCCAGGTGCCCAGTGATGCTGGTCCCGTAGCTGCTTGGCAGTCCTGCACCTAATCAGCCTACTTGTGAGTTTCCCCAAGTACATGCAGGTGTGGAGTAATTTAAATAAAATAAAATAAAAACTCTAAAGCATCCTTATGGAGACTGAGGATGCTCATTGTCTCATGGTAAAGGTAAAGGTAAAGGGACCCCTGACCATTAGGTCCAGTCGTAACCAACTCTGGGGTTGCGGCGCTCATCTCGCTTTATTGGCTCATGTGGCCAGCATGACTAAGCTGCTTCTGGCAAACCAGAGCAGCACATAGAAACACCGTTTACCTTCCCGCCAAAACGGTACCTATTTATCTACTTGCACTTTGACATGCTTTCGAACTGCTAGGTTGGCAAGAGCAGGGACCCAGAAACAGAACCCAGCTCATCCCGTTGCGGGGATTCGAACCGCCGACCTTCTGATCGGCAAGTCCTAGGCTCTGTGGTTTAACCCACAGCGCCACCCGGGTCCCTGTCTCATGGTAGACAGTAAAAAAAAAAAAAAGTTAAAAGCCTCAGTTTAAAAGGAAAACAAACAAAAGCAAAGCCATGTGTGCCTGACTGAACCTCTAATAACCTCTTGGAGGAGGCAGGTAGAATTAGGGTCTTTCCCTCTGGTCCTAAATTAATTCCCCTCTGAACTCTTATGTTTGAAGAGGTCGGAGCCCTTAAGAGCTTACAGCAGCTGACGCTGACTCTGATTCACCTTCCCTCCCATTCCAGGTGGTATAAGCTTTTAAGGGTCATTCCCCCACCCTCATCGGGAATTTATGGGTAAGGTTTCCAGTTCACAGAGTAGGAGTTTGAGGTATGCTTGAGACATCGCACCCCCTGCAACTCCCTGCATAAATTAACCACTGTCAGGGGAATTTAGAGCCACATGGGTTGGAGAGTCATCACTTTCTAGAGCATTATTTGCTGGTTTGCCCTAACAGCTCGCCCCACACAAATATGATCTTACTTGTACTGTATTTCGGAGTTAGATTTATTGACTACTACTTAGATATCAGAGCCCCCAAAGCCATTCACAGAACACGGCTGAGACAACAGAACTCAAATTCACAAACACTTAGCAGCAATAATAGCAACCATAGTTTTTAGAAAGCCTCGCAGACTAAAAAAACCTCTTTACGGGTTTCTTAACAGTCATAATGGAGTGAGCACGGCAAACATCTCAGTGAGGAAACTCCACATTGTGGGGCACCACTGTTGACAAAGCTCACTTTCTCGTCTTTGGGATCCTTTCTGCTCTGACAAAGAGAAAAGATGTGCTTGAGCTGGATAATCCCTTCCATTTGCCAGCTCTCCTCCCCCTGTTACTGTTTCTCTGGCCGTTCCACGGCATCTCCCAACCAAGAGCAGGTTCAGGCAGCTCCTGTCCCTGCCTCAGCCTCCTTTGTTGGCTTCTGGGCTTTCCTCTCCTTCAAGGTGAACAGAGCCAAGCAGAACAGGTGGTTGCGTGCCCCCATGAGGCAAGGGCGTGGGGGAACTGGAATGTCAAGGTGGATGAGCAACAGGGCCAGCAAGCCCCAGCAAGCAGTGCAAGCGAGATGTGCCAGGGCAACCTAGTGGCAACAGCAGCTGTGCCAAGCAGAGGCAGAGCAGAGCAGGTACTGGTGGGAAGGAAAAGTAGGGCCCACACAGGCCCCTAGGTGGAACAATGTGATGGGAGGCAAAATGCAGCAGGTGCCACTTCTGCCCTGGATTCACTGTGTCACCTTCAGCAATTCTCCCTCCTTCCATATATATCTATAGCACACATATTTATGGTGTAATTTCAGCTGAGAACTACCCTTCGAGAACTGCAGTTCCCTGGGGTAATACAATGACTGTTAAGACATGTATATCAGTAGAGCAGAAACATGGCCAGGATATGTATCAGCACATATAGAGTAGATATGGCTTAGTTATAGCCCATCTGTAAAACAGGTATAATGGTAACTTAGCCAATGCTTAAGCTCAAGAGTTAGGGAGAATCTCCCTGTTTTAAATTCTCTCTGTGCAGGAGCTATAGAACAGAGCAGGGCCTTTTCTCCTGTGGCCCAGGGTTCTTTATTATTGTTGGCAGAATCCCTGTTCAGCATACCTGTGTAGATTTGAAACACAGTGAAAGCACTACATAGAAGGCTAATCAAGGTCCGAGCATTTCACAGTTGTGTTATTTATGGTTTGTGCTTACAGATTGTTTTCAGTCTTTATAATGCTTGATTTTATCAGCTGATAGCCATCTTGAATTTACAGACACATAGTCAGCAGGGTTTTTTTGTTTAAATCGCATAGCCAAGCTAGTGCGTTGGACTCAGACTAGAGAGAAAGAGATCCAGATTAAAAAC